TTTTTCTTCTTCGACACAGATTCCTTTTTATAGCTATGTTCTTTTTCTTTTGGCGTCTTTTGGCGTCTTTGCTTTTGAGTGGGGGATCTTTGCTGAGCGATAGGACCCCTGTTTTAAGGATCTTGATCATCTTCCATCTCAATGTCTTGACGACGCCTCTTACGGAGGACTCGGCGAATCACCCTTGGACCGGAGTTAACCGCACACACACTGTGGGCGTCTTCCCTTTCTGCACCAGGATCAGTGCCACCTTCAGGAGGAGAGCACTTGATAGAAGCTTGCCACTAGGGAGATGTTGGTTGTTGGCGTAGCATCGCGATGGCCGGTCACCAAGGCTAGGTTCGCTAGTAACCAACCCAAGAGAAGATTCTCTCTCTCTCTTTCATCACATCCATGATTCCGAGACTGTCGCCAAGGGAGCGGAAGATGTTTCCACGGATTATCAAAGACCAAGAGCTTGTGAGGCGACCCGCTAGGTGCATCAAGTGTTCCGTCTCCCTGAAAGGGTCTCTGACTCGGCACTTCCTATTTTATGTGTGCCATCTCGGTTCTAGCTTCCATCGGAATACCTCGGCACCGCCACTTTTGACGTCGCCGTTGCTCGTGGGGAAGCTCATAATTCCTGCTCCTCGAATATGGCGTCCGCTCTGTCATAGAACTACGCTGAATGCTGGGTACATGTGGGTAAGACGGCCACTCTTAAGGCCATTAAGCTTATTATCAGGCTTGTATCGTAATCTGATGGGGTTTGGATGGCGGCGCTAGTCTGCCTGTTTGTCGCGCCATCTACCGCGGTGTTGTCTCGGATAAGCCCTTCTATGGGGACTGCTTGAGCACTGGACCGGGAAGTCGGTTTCTTACTTGAGTTGGGATAGGCGGGACAGCGTGCGTCTTCGGATGCTTAGTGAAGATGCTAGTTCTGCATGTCCTCGTACATATCCAGAATGCATCCAACCACAAGGGTACTATCTTGTCGCAACGGAGCCAGGCAGATCTTGGCGCGGTGAGGTGCCGCTCGGAAGGAAGCAATGACTCTGAGCTGTTTCTCAAAAACAATCAGGAGGAAGTGCTTCGCAGGACGGATAAGGCGCGACAACAGCCATCTCAAGCAGTCGTGTGGGTACATGTACGCCGAGATGGGCGTGCTTTGAGCAAGAATAAGGAGAGAAGGCACCAGGTCATTAGCTTAGGTCGAAATTTAGGATTCAATCTTACCGCCAATTCCTCTTTTGTGCTAGTCGATGAACCACCTATTACTCTTTCCATCCATGTTGGGGTGGCCAGTCTCAGTTTGCTACTGAGGTATATTGGAAGGGATAAAATAAAATTTAAAAAAAAAAAGAAAGAAAAGAAAGGGCAAAGAAAGGGGTGGACAAGAACCGAAGGCGCCTACGAGCCGTCATACGGGTTGGATTGGTGATGCTTCACAGTCCTACTCAATGGACTCACATTGGACGACATCGCCTAACCCGTCCGCCGTGTTTGATATAGAAGGAGGTGTCTCGTGCGGCGGCTCAGTCGTGGGTGCTACCTTCTTCGGGATATGCGTCGATATGGCATATCGATATCTGAGAGGCCCATAGATGGAGACATCTAGACCTGGGTTCGACTGTGGTCGGTTCAATTGAATCATTGATGGATCTATTGTTACCTCTTGACCAAGAAGAAGGCTTGTGTAGGGCCGCCGGTGAGTTTATGCTTATTTTAGGGGCCATCGTCACCGACTAGCGCTTCCATCACGGCAGCAAAGTGACTGATCAATTAGTATTTGCATTGATCCATTAGATCCATCTATTCCATCGATGTCTCGCTAGCTACCTAGTTCCGCCCTTCACTGACGTCGGCACGCTCTAATCACGGTTGGATACCTAGGAAAGCGCATCCTTCTAGCTTCTAGCTTCTCTCCTATTTCCTTCTCGCCCTGACACCCCATCTCTGCCATTTCGGCAAATCTCTTGGTCGCACATTACCTTGATCCAACCCCAAACGGGTGAGTTTTCTCACAGCCAGATCATACCCGAGGGTTGCAATGCACAAGAAGCAGAGGAGATACCAGCACGAGGAGGCACCGGGATATGACGGGCCACTCGACCCTTCCCGAATGGATCCATTGTGACGGAATGCGGGAAGGAGAGGCTAAGTACACTGCCACAACCTTTGCCCCTTGAGTTTGGGACGGACCAAGAAGACAGGAAGGAGTAATCGAGGGAGAGAAAGAGCAGAGCGAGTGCAGAGAGAGGGTGTAAAAGGGAAGGCAGGACGGGGGCAAGCTAAGGAATATGGTGCGCGGGCAGCTATATCGGGAGTGGCGAGAAGACGCGGTAAAAACCTCACCACCAAGATCTGGCAATCAACATTCCATTTCCATGGCGATGTCCGACGTCGATAAGGGGAAATCGAGTAGAAAACCGAATCGGGACGGGAGTTAGACACCGATCTATCCTGGGGAGGGGACTTCAACGTATAGAGATGATTGACATCCGCAGGTGTAGATTGGGGCATGGCTGATATAGTATTTTATATTGGCTTTAATATCCTTATACCCGGTGCCCAGCCAATTAGTCTGGGAATTCCAACGTGTTCTCCAAACATCCGCGCAAGCAGGCACTCAACGGATGAATGCGGTTGGCTGCGGCTCCCCAATCTGCTCGCCGCGGTGGAAGTGCAATGCTGCCATTCAATGATGTGGGCTAAAATGCCCAAGCTACAAATGGATCAATTGAGCAATGGATGGACGGACCCATCGATATGTCGCTGCTGTCACAAAATGTGGAATGGTCAATATCAGTGTAGGCGATGGGCAGTGCTCGTAGATCAACCGGATTGGTCGATCAAATGCGTCCATTGATCACATATCGATCATATTGACAATGCAATGGATCCATGAATGTACACCGGATGTAGATATGGGCACGAGAATAGATCAGGCTCGAGATGTGCCAGCGTCCTCCATGGATATTTCAGGCAATGGACTAACTCTATTGATCTATGGGCGGATGGATCCATCCCTTGATCTATACCAATGCAATGGATAATAACATCAGCCACACCAGACACATCAGACACACGAATGGAAATGGCCCCCCTCTCTCTTCCTCTTCCTCCCCTCCCGCCCCGCCCCGCCGTGCACTTGCGCACTCACGCACCGCTCACTTACACCCTCTGACGCAGGGCGGCCCTGTCTTTCCTCAACGGAAAGCGTCCCACCTGGAATATCACGACCATCTATTGAAATATATAGACCTTGTCTATTCTTAGAAAATACCAAGGCCGACGTTTTCATGCATCGGCGTCCCTTGATTGACATGGGTGATAACACCCGTTCCTGGAAATTCCTTTCTCAAAGGCCCTGTATAGTGTAAATCCACGTTCCCACCCAACCCCCGGACATGCCGCTTCCGCGCAGTTGCGAAGGGGAGAGACGTCGAGTATATGGGCGAGCCCCCGTCGCTCGCTTTCCTCCCGCCTCCAATGTAGTTTGGCGTCCTTGGCTCCAAGACCACGAGGGCATCACGACGTATAGTGGGTGGCCAGAGTTGGCCATGACCTCCAGGACATCCCTCCCCCATTGTCACCGCGACCCTTTTCAACTCTGCCTACTACCATCAATGTTGTCTTTTTTGATGAAGCTCAGAATATTGGCTCAGATACGACGTCCCATTCGCTACCTAGAATAAAGGGTAAATACAGATTGTGGTTCTAGAAGCAGAGATCATGCCCAAGAACAGAAGAGGTCGAAAAGAGAGCATCTTGAATATAACGAAAAGGTGAGCTCTACAGAGGTTTCCTCTATCCTTTTCACTGTACTCAGATCTTCCGCTTCCTCTTTATCCTCTCCTTAGTTTGTTGTCTATACAGTAGGCGTCCCGCGCCCTCCTCTACCCATTGTTTTTCTCCTTCTCCCTTTTCTTTTTTTTTATCTTTTTCTTTTCAAGCCTAGCCTAGGAAGATATATAGTAGAGACGGAGAACGGATTGCCTGAACCTAATCTTGTCACATCACCCGGCTGCAAACCAGGGTCACGGATCCCTTGATGTGGACCGTAGCGGAAAGGAGAGGGTGACACCATCTATCTGCATATGCAGATCCTGTAGACGGAGGGAGGCCAGTCGGCGTCCGTACCAGTCGAAGCAAGTGTGGAAGCAGAAGCAGAAGCAAAAGCTACGGTACTACTACGACCTAGGCGAGTAAAAGTCTGCATGGCGGACTAGGCAGGGAAGGGGACGGAGAGGGAGTTGAAGTGAAACTCGCGCACCAATCTTGTGATAAACTTGTTCATCTGCAACGGCCGCAAACCGCAAATCGTCTATTTTTCGCCGCCTCCCTACGAGCTTGTCTTCATTTCCAGAGGCTGCCCTTGTCTTTTGGGAAGGTGGAGAAGGGGGAGGAGAATTGGATGCTCTCTTTATCCCGGTTACCAGAACGAACCTGGAATCTGGCCACTCCATCTCCGTGACTCCCATCCCCTTCTCCCCGTCTCCTTTTCTCTCCGGCCAGTGTAGATGGGTCCCGCTCCCCACTTGAGAGTAGATTGAATCTAGGGCCACACCATGGCGCGGTAAATCTGGGTGTCCTATGACGCCCCGGGCGGTTTTTTATATACATATTGTTGTTTTCAGTCACCCTATTTCTTGGCTCTCGACGAAGCCAAGTCTAGAAGTAGCGGGAGTAGCATAAGGGGCTGAAAAGAAAGAATATTAAAAGGACGGCACCGGCCTTCTATGGCGAGGAAACCAGGAGATCACTACGCATCGTTTTCTTTTCTTCCAAGGAAGCCGCAAACATCTTCCGAGCGCATCTCCCGGTCTCACTTACTCCACCGTTCTTCTTTTTTCCCTTCTTGCTCGGTGCCACACCGCATCTCATTTTTATACGCAGCCGAGTCTTGCATTCTTTCCCGACCTTTTCAAAAATAAACCAAGGGCGCGTTTATCTCGCCCGAAGCGCCTTTTGTTTTCCCTTCCAAGCTTTTATACCTCTGCGTATTTTCCACATTCGACATGAAGCTTTTGGCGGTAATCGTGGGCGGCGTTGCCCTCTTCTCCGAGGTTGCTTCTTGCCAGGGCTTCTTCGCCTCGTGCAAATCCAATGTAAGTCTGATCTATCTTACGGCCGTATGAGCTCCTTTAAAAAAGAAAAAGAAAACCCCCGACTGTCTTGCGCCTCTCGCGGCGAGATGGCAGGGGCGAGAAGAGAGTAGTGAAGGCTTCTTGTCTTTATATAAAATGAAAAGCCGCACTATCTGGTTCACAAAGGAAAATACCAGAGACGGCCAAGGGGAGGATAGTGATGGGTGCGTGCTGACACTAGAACCCTCTCCCTGTGTTTAGTGGTACGTTGAGCGTGGAACCTCCATCATGTATGCCGAGTGCAGCAACGAGGATGGAGACTTTGTCGAATCCAGGTTGGACTTGAACAAGTGCATCGCCAACGATAACGGCGCTCTATCGGGCCGAGAAAGGTACGTGTCAGCCCCCGGTGGCCCGCTCCCCTTTCCCACCCCCTTGAGATGAAGTGGCAGACGGGTCTTCATGACTTGTGGTGGTAGCTAACTGCCCCCATTTCTTCAACAGGGGTAACTTCTACAACGCCTGCCGGTCGTGTCTCCCGGATACTCTCCTACCCGTTGCCGGTGAAGATGTCGGCTCCGGAGGACTGGTCCCAAGTCTTCCACCGCAGACCTCCATCTTGACCTGTGCGTGCTCGCAAAAGGATGCGACCGAAGTTCTCAACTCGGACGTTGATCTGGGTACGTTTACCCCTTCCCTCTCATGGTGCAATATTTGGATATCTCGTTCACCCGCTTACACACATTCCTTTGGGGGTCTCTATAGACGCCTTTATCGGAAGCGATGCCGATGGCATTCTGAACTGCTTTGGCCAGTCTGGCGAAGAGGTGGATGAGTAGGAGCTAGCTCTCTTAGTGGAAGTAGGAGCAGTAGAGAACGTAGGTAGATATGGGGGTGGTGAGGAGCTTGCTGCTTTTCTCCGACGGCGCATTATTCCGTTGGTTGGCAACAGCCCGTGTATGATACCCACCCATACTTGCCGGCCGCGACGCAAGAAGGCGAAACACAGCCCGTTGTAAAGGACTAGCCTGGGAAAAAGGAACGGTGCGACACTCAATGGGACTCGAACGGCCTGTCCTCGAGGGGGTGGGGGTGGGGAGCAGGGACTAGTGGGAGGGAGGCTAACAGCAGAGTGGATCGCCACCGCGCGTGTTCGGAGGCAGGAAGGGCTTCTTGTTTTCTTTTCTTTCTCTTTCGTACATACTATCTTGAATTTTTAAACCTTTTTATCGTCTTCTTCCTTTTTCCAATCTGTGATTTATACCAATCTTGCCTCTCTCATTGATGTGTTTCAACGGCCATCTGGGATCGTCTTCTAGCGTGACGGCGACCACGACCTAGTATCACTAGTCTTGGTGGCCGCTCGTTATACTATGGGGGCTGAAGGGACATGACTTCATCTGGTGGGGTATCCGGAGCCCGCGCCGAAGCCGTCGTTGATCCGGGCCCGGGGCGGGGACAGTGGGAGCCAACCCTCGGAGACGCCCGCTCGAGTGCCGTTCACGCTGATAAACACCCATGAAAACCGGAACACCCAAGTCGATTCGCCTTACCCTCCCCCAGCTTGGCCGGCGGGCGTTGGCAATAAATACGATACATAGAGGGGGTTTGATGCACTCTATAGAAATTCCATGAAGTAATCGGTGCGAACAGATGATACCCCTTCCCAATCAAAAATTCATTGATTGTTAGCCGAAATGCCGATCATTGTCACAGTCAGTCATATCTCGCCAACTATTCAAGGAGATTGACCTTGGCAATAATGACGGCGACGATGAGAATGAACATTGGAAGGGCAATATCGATCTCACGTACCCGAGGTCGAGGTACACCTGCTTTTTACCACCGACGCTTTACTTGAACCTCGAGAGTTCTGCACCTCTCAATTAACCCATCCTAAACATAAACATTTCAGGCCGAGTTATCCGTTGTTGAAGCACACTGCCCGACCAACCGACGTATCCGCCATGGTCAATACATGGATCCATGTAGATATTAGAAATGCCTTCCAATAGGCAGAGTCTGGGTAAAAATGGATATGGGTGAATTAGGTCATTACATGTACTATGTAGGACTGCAGGGCTTGACTTCATGGGATCACATCATTGATGGATTCTAGGGCGCTGAAAAAAGAATAGACGATGGCATAGTTTGGAGCATAAGCTTGTGGTAGCATACAATGTATGTACATAATTAAAAGGGAAAGAAAAAAAAAGACATCATTAGGATTTAAGATCAGTTGTAAAAACACAAGTACACCCCCTCCGTTACAGAGTCTCTCACCCATTAGAGCGCAAAGACTGCCGCAGCCAACGCCGCAATCAAGGATAGGCTCGCCAACGCCGCCGCACTACCCTCGGAAGGATTGGACTCCACTGGCGCGCTTTCTTCGGGAGAAGGAGTGGAATCACTTCCGTCTGTGGGAGTCCCCGTGTGCTCGGCGTGGTCATCATCGCCGTTGTCTTCGCCCCCGTTGTCACCCTCGCCATCGGGCTTGTCATCGCCCTCGTCATCGCTCAAGAGCGCAAAGTTGGCACAGGTGATGCGCGTCTTGTTGGCAAAGTGCAGCACGATGCTTCGGTTGCCGAAAAAGCTCCCAGGGCCCTCCTTGAGGCTTACATATCGGTCGACATACGTATCCTCAAAGGTAGTACCGGAATCCGCGGCGCCGTACTTACCGCTCAGATCGCCGACCTGGCAGGTAGCCGGCGCCTCCGGGTTGCAGGCTGTAGCCTCGCCACGGATGAAGGGATCGAGATGCGCCAAAGTCTTGGTACAGTTGCCATCTTCCGGGACGGGGTCGACGTGGAGGTGGTAGCCTACAACTGCATTAGCACACTTCGGCTCGTCTTAGGCTAGGTTCGGCGATAGGGGACGTCCACAGGAAGGTAAGACGGCCCCCGTCACTGCAAAAAAAAAAAAAATGGGGAGATGAGCTTACCAAACGGGCCACCCTCCGCTGGGAGGTTCTCGAACTTGACGTGGAACTCTACGCCACCCTCCACCGTCTTGGCAGTAATGGAACCCTTCACGTTGCCTTCGATGGCGACAGTGCTGAAGGGCTTCTCGGGGAATTCGGCCTTATAGGTGACATTCTGAGGGTTGTCTTCGACCACAATGGCATCGCCGAGTTCCTATCAAAGACGGCTAGTTAGCTCTAGAACTAGGAATTGGGCGGCGCGGGATGAGGCAAGTTAGGGGCCAGTCTTACACCAGTCTGGGGCACGTCTTGCGCCTCGGCAACGGTAGCAGCGAGTGCTAGTGCGAGAAGGGATTGATACCGCATACTGGGCTAGGTGGAAACTAGGGTATCACTGGCTGTATAAGATTGCGAGGCAAGCAAGCAAAGAGGTGCAGAAGATCTTTGAAAGTAGTGGAAAGTAGTAGAAAGTAGGTGCAGTGCAATGGGAAACAAGAAACGAACAGGAACACAAGAAGACTTGAGGGGAGGGCCTCACCGACGTATTATAGGTCCCAAGCCCAGTGTTACCTACATGGTGCTGGTGCTTCTTGCTTATGTTGGGGGCCGGATGTCGGTGGCGGGGCCCAACGCCAAGGGGGGTTACGAAGTAACTGGCTACTATATCGCAATAATGATGGGCGACTAAGATTTCCTACGGTGGAAGCTCGAGGTGGTGATCGACGGGGTGTACCCGAGGGTGTGGAGGATCAGAAGCAGCTTGAGTGCTTCAATCAACCCCTCCCCCGGTCATTCCTCCCTTTCCAATCATCCTTCTTCTGCTAGGTAGATTTTTGCATTCCTTTTGCCTATCTAGATCCATGGGCGGCGAGGGGAGTGGCAACTCCGTTTACTCCATGGCTCGATCCTCCCAATTCAGCCCTCTGAGACCCTCTGCGACGAAAAGCCACAAGTCTAGTTTGAAATCTGAGGGCGCTAGGGCTCGGCGAGCTTCTGGTCTACGCAGGGCCCCATCGTGAGAAAGAAAAAAAAGCTTTGCTTTGCTTTGCGTGAAAGGGCGTGGGCTTGACGGCCGTGCGTTGTGCAAGCCGAGCTCCGGGGATTAGAGTTGTGGGGAGCTGGAGGTGTGGACATGGATCACGGATTGAAATGAATGCAACTTGTCGGTTAATGCCCAACGTCATCGTCGACTTCCTCTTGCCTTGCTTCAATCACCTTGACCCAGATTGGTGCAATATATACGAAGCTCGGCACCGGGGCTCACCAACCTATGCATCCCCGTGCACTGAGCCCCGTTTGAGTTGCCGACCTGCGACGTGCCTTGCAGGGAGACTAGCTCGCCGAGCCCTTTGGAACGACTGTCTAATCTATCATTGCTGTGATGGTGGGTGCCAGCAGCAGGTTAAGGTCTAGCCCAGGAAGGGCTCGGCAGGACCTCTAGCCACGAACCGCATTGCGCCCAGTGCAACGGAGCCGGCATATCAATGCTGCCTTCAATGCTCACCCACCCATCTATCTAGGCTAGCTATTGAAACGGGGATAAAGAGGGGTAGTAGAGTGTGGCCGTCTCGTAGTTCTCAGCCCTCGATCAACTGGCGAAGGCCGTGAGCGAGCAAGGGGAGGGAAAATTCCTCGGGGAGTTGCAGAGTTGTGCCTCCTTTCGAAGCGCCGTGGGAGGCTGGCTGTGCTCCCTCGCTTGGCTAGAGCGATGCAGCGTGCTTGCTGACTGGCGATCCGTGAGAATCCTGATGGTTGGACGGCGAACAATTTTCTTGGGACACGATGGATACCCCTCAATCCTTCCCTGCAGCTCGTGGAAGCGCGGGAATGGGTAATTCCATTGGCTTGGCTTGTTTCAACTCTAGCCACGGCGGCGCAAAGGAAAACAAACCTACTCGATAGGGCCACGGCTGCCACGAGCCTCATGCTGACACGATGCACTGCGCCAGCTCCTGCTTGAGAAATTCAGCCGCGGGGAGGTGTGCACTGACCCCGTCGTTTCGTTTCCTATTTGAACGAAGACGGAAATTGACCTGGGCTTGTTGGCCCTGGCTCTGATACCAACCGATTGCCTCCTTCCGTCCCACAGGCTTGAGAGTCCTGCCGCCTCTCGATTGGAGGACCGCTCCATGAAAGCATCACGATAGTATGTCTTGTGTTGAAATCTTGGCAGTGGCCAGACAAGACTGCACCGCTTCCAAGTCCTAAATATCGTCTTTTTTTTTTTTTTTTTTTTGCAAAGCAAGGATTGCTTCGAGACCCAGCGCCGTCGGATGCCGTCTCAATCAAATAAGGACTATTAGTTCTTGCTCCCAAGTGTAATCACGGACTGAGATATCGTGGTGGTAAAAGTAGTGATCAACCTGACCTTGTTGGAGCTGGGCTGCAGGGACCTGAACCTTGCTGACATAATACTTTCAGTGGCAGGGCCGCTGTAGCCTGCGAAGACTGAGCTGGGACTAGTGTGTAGGTTGGCCCAGGCGGGCATAATCACGTGCATGTGATCTTAGATAATCAGACGAGTTTCCTGGATCGAAACAAGGAAGGAGGCCGTGGAGCTATGGAAGGAAAGAGCTCTCCGAGAATTATCTACTTGATTTGCTGCTTCGACCTGCACGATACTCGAGACATTTGCGTCACGACCACTGTCGACAAGCGAGGACCCTCCTAGCAACCTTTCGCCTCCTTGAAAAGCAACCCTTTGTTTCAACATGAAGGTCGGACTGCTCTGGTTCTCGCAGAGTACCGCTTGGTACTGGTATGTTCTGTCCTCCCGCTCTAGGCAGTAGCAAGATCAAATTGAGGCGCCTAGCTTGTCCGCTCTCTATGCATCTTTTACACATCCCTTTCCATTAGAATGTGAGGGGATATGCTTGAATAAACGGTTCCCTCCACGATAAGCTTCCTTTACTAACAGCTCCCGGTGCGCTTAGCGTGTTTATTTCTGTTTTTGCCGTCATCATCCTCGGTGTCATCGCATCTCTGTTCCATTCTGGCCATGAGTCCATGGTAGGCCGTATCGACGACCCGCCTACCGATGCGATACCTGCTGTTGTCTCAACAATCTCTGCCGCGATCTTCGTTTACGCTGTATGTACCGGCTACCACGGGCCTTGCCTAGTCGCCCTCGGCGATGAAGACGTCCGCTGTCCTCGGCTACCCGTGCCTTCTTTATCTCCTCTTGATCAGGTCGGGGCTTGCTAACCTATTTGGACGACTATAGGGGTTTATAGTATTCTGCCTTGGCCAAGTTTATCTGGCAAAAGGCAAGCTCGGAGGGCAATTGCTTTGTAGAGGATTTACGGTATCAAGCTCCTCGGCGATTGGATTAAGTGGGGTTTTGACGGGGTTCTGGCGTTATTACTCTTTGGACTCATCTCAGTGCATCTCTTTTAAATCCTTTGTGGTATGAAATGGGCATCAGTTACGCATGGTAGTCGTTTCCGCTTGTACAGTCACCCTTTGCCTCAGACTAGCTTGCTGTGCTCTTCTGTTTCTCGTTGCAGTTGTTCACCTGTATAGTTGCAAATTGACGGCATTGCACTTAGGCTTAGGCACGGCCTTGTGCGGGTGAACCCAAGAGAGCAGATGGCCTACATCTTGGCAACGAAGGCCACCCAGTTCACGGGCAATAATGGAAATCTGATCTCTTTTCAAATCGGCACTGAACAGTGGTATAATCAACGTGATGTCCCGAGGTACGAGACAGCTCTTTCCACCCTCAAAAGGACGACACTCTACGTTTGAGCCTGCTCGAGCTCGAAGGCTTCATACAACTAAGTCTCTTTTCGTGGACGGTGATACACAAAAAGCCTTGCATGGTCTAGATGGCATCTTGTACTGCAGCACGGCTAATCACACCTTGTCGAGGGTCATGGTTGTCCCCGTCTCACGATTAAAGGAACCTAATAATGCTGGGTCGTGGCCAAGGTGAAGAGCACGTCCTGATTTGGAACAGAAAAAGAGCCCAGTTAACTAGCGGAAAAAACAAGTGCCCATGTACCTTGCCAACCCTCATTCAACACCCAGCCAAACCGATAATAAAGAGAGAAAAATACATCAGAGAAGTAACACACTGGTTCCCTAGGGCATAGGCATTCGTCTGCCGGAACGTTTCATTGCATCATATCTCATCCGGTGAGTTGCATTGCCCAGGCAGTGGCGTCAACGGAGAGCCGTTTACGAAGACTCATCATCATCGGCAGCATCAGCCTTAGGCGGACTAATTAGCTCAGCATTCGTTCACCGAGGGTTGGGCACTAGAAACTTACATTGTACGCCGCCTTCTCGTCCTCGTACCGCTTCTTGTCGGTGGCAGCCTTGGCCTCATAAGGAGCACGCTGCTTCTCGTTCAAAGCCTTCCAGCGCTCGCCGAGAAGCTTGCCGACCTGGCCTGTTCAAGAGGTCAAAAACGGCTCGATTGGGACGTTTCAATGGGACAAGGGGACACATACCGAAAGAGATACCGGGGTTCTCCTCACGGACGTTCTCACGCTGCTCGTTGGCGAAGAACATATAGGCGGAGAGACCACGCTTGGGGGCGTTGGGGTCCTTCTTTCCCCTCCTGCGCTCAACCTTTCCGCCGCGCTTGGTGGTAGCCTTAGGCATTTTGAACTAGGAATTTGCATGTTAGCGACACTCAGGTCATATTATGTGTGGGTGTGGTGGCCGGAAAGCAAATTCGGGCACTTGCGGTCCAAGGCCGTGTAAGTGCCGTTGTCGTTGCGTGCCCAGGTTTGATGCTCGTGGGGTTTTGGAATAAGTCCAGTCTGAGAATTGGGGGTACGTACGTGGTGGGTTGGGAAAAAGGTGGGAGTTGTTTCGGTGGCTGACAGACAGCTGTTTGGGAAGCTGACAGAGGCGCGTTGTTAGCTTGGAACGAGCTTAATACAGAGCAGCTCTGTAGAGTAGCGGTGGTAGAGGTGACGATGTGAACAAGTGAAGGTTGATGCGAAATGGGGAATCAGGGCGCAATTTCTGTTCCAAAGACACAGCGAGAGCCGGAACTCTTTGGTGCAGCTAAATACACCCTGACTTGTGGTTTTGCGACAGCGTTGCGGAGAATGCGATCGAATATAATTTTCGTCTGCTGCGCTCATCGCGCTGCGAGATGCTGTGCAAGTTTTGTATGGTGATGGTGATAGAGAATGGAAGAGGGAAAAAGTGACTTTGGTTTTGCGGGAAGTGCGTGCAAAATGGTTGTACCTACTGGTTGATGAGTGTGGGAGTTGGAATTTGCTGGGAGATTTGTATGAGAAAGAGAAGAGGGGGAAATTTGTATGGGGGAAGGGCTCAGCAGCCTTTTTACTATGGGAGGGTGATTGCGGACAGGAAGGTGGGCTGGGCTTATGTGAGTATGGGAGAGACGACCCGGGGGCGCGCGTGTGGGTGGAAGGGAAGGTACACACACGCAGCTCTGTGTACTATGTACGGGGTACAGCGCAGTACAGCTACACTCCCGCCTCCCACCCATCGCCCCAACCACACTACACCAGTCCTGTCCTGGTAATACTGTGGGCAGTTGGAAAGGAGGGGAGCGTGGAACCAAGGGGAGCAATGTTGTCAGTCTGTCTAGCGATACGCGCCAACACTGCCTTCGAACACGGGCACGGTACTGGAGAACTTTGGCTGTGACCATCCAGGGAGGTGTACCAGTACGGTGCATTTACCAGACATTGCCAATGCATGGGCTCATTTGCGGAGTTCAAGAGGGAACCTTGGAATGTATGAAAAGTACAATCCTCACACAAAGCATTAGGAACCTTGAGGTGGATTGAATCAAGTGGCTGGGCGGGATCCTCCTCCCACCTCTCACTCACGCCTTCGCACTCCACGCAGCTCGCGCTCTCCCTTTGCGGAAACTCTTTCGTGCGCGAGTCTTCGTGCATGACGGGGATGAGCGGCGGGGTTTCTCTTTCTCTTGCTCTTCCTCATTTTTACTTTCTGCTTCTGCTTCCTTTTCTTCTTCTTCTTTTTTTTTTTTTTTTTTTTTTTTTTTTTTTTCTTTTTTTCTTCTGGATTTGGATTCGGAAGGGCTACTCGTCGCGGGCAAGGACGCAGATTTCACCTTCGCTCCTTCCCTTCTTTTTCAGTGCTCTATCTGTTTTTCTCCTTGGATCTCTCCTGGTCCTTCTTTCTTAAAAATCTGATATTATCAGTCATATTCCTTGCTCTATCGCCTCCCACCTCACTAGTTTCTAAATCTTCTTTGTGAGGTCCCAGACGAACTAAGCGTGGAAGGCAGACTTTGAATGGTGGAAGCTATCGCCATGATAAAAAAATGTTCGCAAGAGCAGGCCTGTGCAGAGCTGGCAATGTTAGGTGGCAGAGGGGGGGCAATTCCCATACAAAATGAGTAGCAAGAGATGGAGGAATTGCTTCGATTTGGGTGGTGGGGGACCTTCTGAAACCCCGTCCTCGCCCTCACCCATCCGACATGCAATTGCTCCTTGCCGGCCCCCTCACTGCGGGTGCGTGCTCATCCCCAAATGGTTATAAGACCAAGTTCCTTGCGATGTAGCGCAACATGTGCATGGCACGGTTACTGTACATTGCGCGCCAATGCCCTCCTCCACCCAAATGATACAGCCGATATGAATGGGCCTTCCGTGCACCGCACATGGTCTTAGGCGTTTCTCTGGCACCGCCGGCGCTAATATGAGGACATGCCCACGATAGTTCCTTTCCTGACTGACAGGGACAGACAACGGTACCTCACCTCAACTGGCTGGTCCTCCTCCTCCACTAAAATGGTAGCGACCAAAAGCACTGTATACAAAGCCCATTTGCACTCAATAATACCTCCCAAAACGAACTCTCATCCCTCCCTCAACAACGGCGTGTCAGTCAATAGCTCCATCCTATGCGGGAGCTCTCCTCCATAACGCCTCCTTGTACTGAAGCTTGAGACGGGGATGGAAAGCGCCGCGACGTTTGTCTGTCCCCGCGCCAGCCCAAAGGCCCCGCCTTCGCAATTGAATGTGTGGAGGAAGCTTGCCACCTTGAGTATTCGCTTTGCAGCATCCAGCGTAATTTCAAGAGGCAGACTTGGTCTTAACCTTGCCAACGTCCAACATTTTGGAGCTTGGGTGTATCATGCAACAATTGGTGGAACATCCCGGTTGGAAGCATGTCAGGGCAAGTCGTCGACCGCCGCTGCTCTTGAAGCTGGGGGTAGCTGCGACTCTGCAAATTTTCACCTCAATTGGCAGCGGGAGGGCAGTTCGGTTCGGGTTTCCGCGTTTTGACACGAAGAACCTTGAAAAGTTTCCTCATGAGGGTGAGGAGGCAAAGGATAAATGAGTAGCTGCGCCTTATTTTGTCGAGTTGCGCTTGACTTTGGGCAAGACCGAAAGCTCTGCAGGACGGAGCAAGCTTTCATGCGAAACGGTCTCGGGTACCTGTACTTATTTGATGATGATATCTTTTATCAGGGGCGCAGTGCTTGAAACGGGAGGGAGTGCAGGGATTTGATGTTCTGATCATCAAGTGCGCAATGTACTAGTACATTCCTACTCATCATTCTTCGTTCATTGATGGCACCAACGAGGTTGGTTACTCCACCTCTTCTCTTCCGTGAGTATGTGAGTGAAATGGAGAGGAGCTGGAGTTCACCAACGGGGCCGCAACGCAACCAAAAAGCTTCTCACTGCTTGACCCTCCACAGCTCAGAGAGAAGCCGACTGTTCTTTCGGTTTACACCCTTTCAGTACCTCGGTATCATAGCTTCAGTTAGACCATCTCTTTGACTATGTAGTATATCAACAACGCACGTTGTGTTGCTTGTTTCTTCTCGTTTGACGACACCCTGATGAGATGGTCGGTATGGCCATTTGCGAGGTCACCAGCATCGGACTGGAATGAATACCGGCGGGTCGCTCCACATCTCCTCCATCAAGCTCAGAGACGGGTTCCACTTATCGATGTGATTTTGGGCTCATACAGCTACAACCCCGCCACAGGGGTGTCTACAAGTAGGTGAGAGCCTTTTCCCTTGATGAGATGAGATCACTTTTTATCTTCCCTGTACTTTCCAGGTTCCCTGCAAACTCAGCTCCTCATCGTTCACACCAGCCCAAGTGCAGTACCCCAGTGGTGAATTTATGTGGGCAACTTGGCGCACAGTGTTAGCCGGTTGTTGTCAATCAATACTGGGTGCATATTGCTTGTTGGTGCAGGGACCTCTCTCCCTCTTTGCCTAGATCCAGTTGACGCTTGTCTTGAATGTCTCGAGTGTGTGAACTTTTCCGGTGATGATTTGCCCGGTACGTCCAAGCGATGGGGCCTTGGTCAAGGGAAAGAAGAAACCACGACACCAGTCAAAACTTGAGCCTCGGTGCACGGTGTGTGTCTTGGAAATTAATACTACACTATACGCGTGCTCCGTCGTCCATTTGCTTGACCAAATTGAGAGGGACAAAAGTATCAGTACCTGGGTTTCCCAAAATCAAGCCCGCTCTACTTCCAAAGCCGTCAAGTAGCTGTACATCAAACACTCGACACAGTCCGCCTCCATTGAGCTTGTTGGGATGGCTGGGTCGATTTTTCTCCTTTTGCCAAAAATCTGTTCAGACGCGAAAATTGTTGATGTGCACCAATCAGCCGATGACTAAGCACTCGCTTTTGTCGCCCACGCTCTCGCATTCGGCCATTTCCTTCCTCCTTCCTCACCCGCCAGTCTGGCGAAGGGTTGAGGAATACTAGGTTGAAATCTTGGAGCTTGTCGATGAATAAACTCGAGGGCTCTCTATTCAGAGCAACTTGCCGTACTATTGAAGCTCTCGGGCTTATTCTATTTTCTCTTTTTTTTTTTTGGTTCTTTTTCTTTTTTTCTTTTTTTCTTGATTATTGCTGAGACGTAGACTATAGTTAGGTTACTTCGCAGACTGCCAGTTTTGCGTTGCTCTTAGTATTTTATGACTTTTGAACGTCATCAAGAACCATGTCAAGCAGTTCAGGATCGTTGACCCAATCGATACCACTGCCAGCGATAACTGCACTCACAGTACCTTTGATAACTTTCCACCTCTGTCGGCTGTCCTTGACCTCTTGCTTAAGCCGTTCAAGTTCCTCATTCTCCACATCAGTAGTCTCTCCAAACTTCCTGCGCTCTGCTGACTCCGCAAGTTCAAAAGCTCCGATGTCCTAAAGATGTTCTGGCGCGATATATGATCCGTCTTATTTTGTATATCGATGATTGTGGCCCAGGCCTGCCGAAGTTCACTAGACTGTTTTGAAAGGGTCACTGAGTCGAAGTCTCGCTCCCGAAGGTAAGGGAGGATGTCGCTGCCAGCCTGTAAGTTTTGGGTAATGGGATGGGACGCGTTGCAAGAGGTAATATGAACGATCCAGGGACTAGATGACATACAGTTCAAGGGGGAAGTGTCATTCCTGTGATGGACGGATTTGAGGATGGGCGTCACCGTCAAGAGGTTGTCCACGATGGTGCGCCCTAAGGAGTATGATGATCTCGCCTGGAGGAGCTCATTCTGGGCTACAGATAAGTCTTGATCGGGTGCCTTTGAAATATCTTTTTGCGCCCGGTGCCTCGCTTAGCCATGACTGTGTTAGGTAGAAGAGAGGGGATACATTCCATTTACCTTGCTGGTAGGCCTGGTGCGACTGCAGGAGGGCCATCTCAAGCTTGAGTTCCTGAAGCCGGTCATATAGCCTCAGGACCTCCTCCTCGGTCTTCGATAGTGGGGTCACAGTTTGGGCCCAAGGGCCATGTTCTTCTACAACCGGGATGGCACTCATTCTTCTCTCCAACTGCAACCGCCGTTAACGGGTTAGCAGGGTGTGAAAGAGAGCAGCTCTCTGATGTTGGCTGCGTTGTCTCTGCTTACAAACTGCTCGGACTGCTTACTTTCACGACCAGGTCCACCGCCAAACTTTAAGCGGCCCAGAGGAACAGAAAAAGGTCGGTCTGGTTATAGGCCTTGCCCCCGCCTTTTCGAGATTTCGAACCGTGCACACAGAGATGGCTCGAAATCAGAATTTCAATGGAGCAGATGGCATCGGCGGTTGCGTTCTGTCCGTGGCGGCAGCCAGCGTGGCGACGCGGTTGTGGCTTAACATGGTGGCCGGCGGGGCTGAGAAATAAACAACGGATGATCAGCCAATCGAAGACGCTGTGGTCGCAAGGTCACGAGGCGGCGTCACGCAGGCCTCGACTTTCAGGCTCGAGGAGATCAGATCCAAGCTGGAAATCTCACGAGGTTTGCTCAACAAATAGTCATTCTCCCACCCTGACAACGCGTAGGCATACAACCAGCCTCGCGAATCTTTCTATAGAAGTTGCTCCAGCTCCTGAAACCATGGGGAGCTAATAATTCTCCTTAACCGCAGCCATCCCCAAATTTCTGAAGCTCGAGCTTAGTTTCGGACACTCCCCCATCCCTCCGGCCATCGATTCCTCCCTGGAATTCTTGATTTCTTCCCTCCTGCTCGACATTGCCTCTTCCCACCCACAAAGTAGACCCCGCAAAGAAAGATATGTATTGCGATGGCTTCCGAAGTGCTTATCGCCCACACGGGGCAGCGCTTCCAGGTAGATGCGACGCAGTTCACCTCGTAAGCGATTTTGGTCGACCTCGAACCCGCCTAGTTGATGATTGTCTTGCTGATCATTTTTCTACCTTGTCCTACCCATTCGCAGGCTCGATGAATTCAGGTCATGGGTTTCTCGCCATAGCTCGATACCTGTGCAGAAGATGATTGCCTTGACTCCTGAGGGCCGAAGCCTAAAACTCCAAGGCCTACACGCCGAGGCAAGTCGAGGACTCCCTTTCGCTGATACAATCCCACCGACTTCACTCTAACAGTGCCTCTACAGAAGGAAATTTTCATCTACGATATTAGAATTACGCAACCGAACCCCGCCAGTGCGAGCCCATCAGTATCTGAATGTCCGACTCCTAAGCGATATGCAGTTCCTCCTGCCCCGAACTCGATAGGTGATATCAAAGCCATGTCGGCATGGCATGAGCTCTACAAACATCGCCGGGGCTGGGCTCTCGATGTCGCCCAAGAGTGCTCCCACATGAATGTCACAATCCAGGAGCGGTACCAAGAGATCGACGCTATGGTCAAGTGTTTAGACGCCGCTGTTGCCAATCTCGAATTCTCCATCAAGCAGATCGAACCCAAGTACACCGAATTGAAAAAGTGGGTGGAGCCGGCATTGTCCGAACATGAACAACTGGCATCAAATTGGGAAGCGTACCTTGGCCTGGCGCGAGCGGTCCCCGTCTCGCCGCAGATGGTGAAATTCATGACATCCAAGGAGGTCAAGCCAACACGAGCCAGTTTAGAGGATCTCGTAGACCTCGACACCGCTAGGAAAGCAGGACGCTTAGCACCTACATCCCTGAGAAAGTTTACCGGCAAGGCGGCGGAGCTCGATAAATCCGCCGCGCAAATGTACCAGTCGCTGCAGCAGCTCGTGAACGAATTTGATGCGCTCGTTGGCCGTTCCGCCTTGTTACACAGTGGCGAATCTGCTCAGTTGCAGCAGGATATTGAGGCCCTGGCGAAGAAGATTGACTCTGACTACCAGCTCATCCTAGAGTACACCCTTCCCAAAGGGATGTGCTACAGGCATCCAAGACTGCGTCAACTCATACGGAACGGCTGATACCAAGCCTTACGAAGCGAACAAACGAGATGAGCGACCTCGTTCAGTACGCCACCAAGTCCCGAAATGCGATCGCAGCTGAATCTATCCGACTTATGCGTTCAATCACGGAAGTTACGTCCTTACATGCTAGCGTCAAGTCTCAGATAACCGTACTCAACCAAGCCGAGGAGGATATGACGACCTTCGACTACCTGCGCCTCATCTACCAACTCCCCTACATGTACGCTTCGTTTGTCATTGAGGCTGTCAGGCGCCGAGAATGGTCTGACAAGGTCAAATCCGACTCTTCGACGCTTGCGAACACCATGGCGGTGTTCCAAGATGAAGAGACCAAGAGACGGCGCAAATGGCAAAAGATGGTTGGGAGCACCTATGGAAGGGACAAATTTGACGCAACTACTTTGGGTCTTGAAGTCAATCTTTTAGGAGAGGAGGATGCATGGCCTTCCATGACGAAGCAAGACATCGAAACCTTTATCGAGAGCTTAAGGACCCAGAATGCGGAGCCCACAATCACCGAAGACGTCGTTAAACTTCTAAACGAGCTCAAATCCCCGACCAGGCAGCAGTCTAAAAGGATCAAAGCTTTCAAAAATGGCAGTATACACGAGGCCGCCCTTGGTATCAGCGGACTCTTGGTTAGGGGATGACGATCTTATACGGTCCTTACAAGACGACAAGACGAAGCTGGAGAACAGAGTCAAGACAGCAGAAAGCCGTATTCGAAGGCTGGAGGACCTACTACATAGACAGAGCCAAGCATCGCGGCCAAGCATAGGCAATCTTTTCCAGATACAAAGCTGTGATTCCACTTCCTCTATCAAAACGGCACCATCCAAAGGCACCGACGGCACTGAAGCGTTACTTGCGAAGATATCGGCCTTGGAAGCAGACCTGAACTCGGAGAAGAAACGGTCCATGACTTCCCATAAAGAGCTTGAGGCCCAAACAACATTAGCCACGGAGATGAAGGGACATATCGAAGAGGCCAACTCAACGAAAAGGACCTCCTCGAGAATATGGAAGCACTCAAGCGGGAGTTTGTGGATGAACGCAAGTCTTTGGAATCAGAGATCAAACGCCTTCAGGCTCGCCTCGAAGATACTGAGGATGAGATGGAAAACTTTGGAGAGTCTAGAGAACACGAAAAGGCGTCGTTTGATGAGAAGCTTCTCGAGCTCCAAGATGAAATCGATCGCCTAGGGAAGGAAAAAGAGCGGTAGAGCTGAAAACTCAAGGCCAACTCGACTTTCTTCGAAATGATTCACGTGTCCAGAGAGACCAATGTGAGGCGCTTGAACGGCAAGTCAAATCCTTACAGGAGGAGCTCGAAGAGGCTACTACCTCCGGAGAAAAGGCTATCGCCTCGAACCAGGAGAGCCTTTTGGCCCTAGAGAACGTTTTACGCGAGCTATCGCCACAGGCAGCTATGCCAAAATCAACAGAAGATCTGATCAAGACAGTTGTGGCGATGGCCTCGGAAACGATGGACAAGGTCAAGGACGCAGCGAATCGTATTGCATCGCTCGTTCCTGAGCTTGAGCAGGCTCGAAGCAGCGCAGAGGCGCACCGTCTTGAAGCGAGTGAAGCAACGTCAAAACTAGCCTCCAAAGCATCCGCATTGTCTCAAGCACACGCGTCCTTGGAAGAGGAAAAGGTCATTCGCCAAGATGTAGAGTCCAATCTTACCGACGCAAGACAACAATTAGAAGAGCTGCGGATCCAGATTGCTGACGGCGAAACCGGGTCGGAGTCCCTTCGTAAAGCGCTCGAAGTCCAGGAACAAAAGGCTAGTCGACTCGTTGAAGAATTAGCAGCTAAACAGTCTGAAACTGGCCGGGTGGAAGAAGAGCTACATCATTTCAAAGAGCGGCTGCAGGAAAGCCAAGCCCGGGCTCTTAGTCTGAAGCGACGGGCGGATGCGCGGGGAGCGTGCCAAGGACTTGTCGCAGCGCATCTATACGCAAAACGACCGACTGTGTCGCCTCCTCGAAAGGCTTGGCTTCGCAGTGACGCGCGAAGGTTCGAGCATGGCCGTTCAAAAATACCACGTGCAGAGAGGGCATCGCACATGCAGAATACGACCGAGCTCTCGGACCCCGCATCTCCGTCGACTCGCCGCTCGATTACTCTGCCAATCAGCGCGTCTCCCGATCCGACGCAGCTCGAGCTGCTCTATTGGATGAATACTAATGACGAAGAAGCAGAGCTCGAGAGATACCAAGCATTTATGGAGAACCTGGGGACGTTCGACATTGATCTATTTTCGGACACACTTTTCCGTCGCGTGAAGGATATGGAACACTTGGCGCGCAAGTTCCAGCGCGATGCTCGAGCGTACAGGGAAAAGGCCCTGGTGTTGCAGCGCGAGGCCCACGAGAAGATTGCGTACAAGAACTTCAAGGAAGGCGACCTAGCCCTGTTCCTCCCGACGCGAAACCAAAGCTCGGGGGCTTGGGCATGCTTCAATGTCGGGTTTCCCCATTACTTTTACGCGAGCAGGATACGCATGGCCTTCGCAACCGAGAGTGGTTGGTGGCTCGCATCTCCAAAATCCAGGAACGTGTTGTGGACCTCTCGCGAAGTGTCCAGGCCCAAGGGGACGCTGACTCGCTGACTGACGAAGGCAACGATAACCCCTTCCAGCTGTCGGATGGGCTTCGTTGGTACCTTTTGGACGCGCACGAGGACAAGCACGGCGCCCCGTCGACTCCAGGCCTCGGGAAGTCGACGGTCGCGGCGAACAAGGTGGAGGCCGTAGCGGACATGCGGGCGAGATCAGCAACCAAAGGAAAGGATAAACAGCGGCTCAGCCAACACAGCATAGAGGGGGTCAGCAGGACCTTGTCCAAGAGCCTCGAAAGCCGAAGGGGAGCACGAGCTCAAGGAAAACGTTGCCGTTTACGATCGGGGCCGGAGGGCTACTGAAAGGCACGCCGTTAGCGAGCGAGACGAACTCACTTCGGGCCGCCGCGTCGGAGACGACCTCCGCCAAGAGTCCGCCCCAGGGTGGACCGGCATCTCTAGCCGACGGCGGAGAGGCAGCCGGGCGTGTTTCAGCGACAGCCACCACCGGCAACGGGCAGGTCGCCAACGGCGAACGGCCAACGGAACGAACAGAGGTACCAGAGGTACGAAGCGAGATCGATTCCCTCCTTGGCCCAGGATGATGCAAGAAAACTGATACGCGGTGGGCCTCGCCACGTCGCTCTTCCTAGGCCAGCTCGTCACGATTAGGCCGAGAGCCCAGCTCGATATCAGTAGAGAGCCCGACCAAGAGAAGCGTCGTTTTCGAGTCTCTCTGGAGCCTGGATCTCAATTACGAAAGCCCGCCAAAGAAATGACGGAACGACCAAATGTCTCCACCTCCAAAATAGCTCTCTGTACAAAACCCGGCTCTTCACTCGCCGTATTTTCCCTATTACATCGGTGTCAGAGGCTCACGGCAGCAATACCAACAGCGCATCGGTTCATTTCATAATCTGCCTTCTTTTCGTCTGCATGTAGCCTCTCATTGAAAGTCATATACCGAGGTGCCTACCTCACATTGCGCAACTACTCAGGGTTTCCCGAGGGTATAAATTCATTTTAGCACTTGCATGGAGCATCGGCTTCACGAAGAAGCCTTTTCAATTCTGTTTTTCCAATTTTCCCCCATGTTCACAATAGAAAGGTGTAGGACGGCTTTGGGGGTGTTAACAATTTGAACTCGTAATCCTACCGTTGTAGCGGTAAATTCTCGTGCAGCCGTATCCCGCACATGTGCGTTCCTTGTCTGTATCTCTGTGTGAATACCCTCATGGACCCTTGCCTCGGTGAAGGATTCGGTATCCTGTCATCTACCCTTGAGGGGGCGCAAGTCCAGAGCGTCCTCCCAGACGGCTTGGCGCACATGTATGTATCGAAGTAGGTTTCGCCAATGTGACTGCTCGCCAGTGTGCGATGTCCAGCGCTACAGGTATTCAAATCACTTCCCACATACCTCGGTAAAGATCAATATATCTCTGGAACTGTGCCGTTTTTGTTTCGCTTGTTTTCTTCATTTTCATTTTCTAGCTCCGCGTCCACACTTTGACACGGATTCATTAACACAGGTCGAACGAATCCTGGGAATCTCGCACCTCACAGCCAGTTAGTTGCCTTTAACCTCTTGACTTGAATACAATTGGTGCTTGCTCAGGCCATGCCATCCCTATCAATACAAGTGATGATACAATATCAATAAAGGGACGGATGGACGAGCAGGGGATGCCCCTGGCCTGGCGGAGGGGAACTTCCCTTTGCAAGTGTGACACTTGGTGACCAACTAGCTCACCGAGGACGCGGTCGACCCATGACGAAAAGGGTTCACTTGACTCGTCGGCACCCCACACGCACAGTTCAATAATACAGTGGTAGGGGATCAAGGGAGGAGCCCTATTCGTGCATGCCAACGTCTTGCAAGTCCTTCTATCATGTGGCATCGAATCACGAGCAGGAGATTTTGCACTCTAATGCGGAGAAGCGGCCTAGCAGCCTGCACGTTCACTGACCATCCCAATGCTGGTCCCTTGAAGGGCGTCTTTTAAGCAGTAATAACCCCCTTTGTTTGAGGAGATGAGAAGGTAGTCACGCGACTGCTGACGTGGTTGAGGCTGAGATGTGATGTCCGGGACAGGACGGAAAGAGATGCAACTGTTCTCAGTGAAGCCACCATTCCCCACATGAGATGGCGTGCCTCCCCTTTTCGTAAGTAGCCACGAAATAGGGTGAGATTTTTCAAGGAAGAATAAAAATAGAAGAGCGAAAAGGAGAGAAAAGGCATTCAAAGAGTGTAGAGGGAAGAGACTCCTCAGGGAGGTGCTACAGCACAGCATCCGGTGCAATAATTGTAGGGCCGGACAACAACTCGGACTATCCCGCGATGGGTGATCTTGAGCGTCAAGTCAAGGGCTCCTCGTGGAATATACGAGCAAGAGTAAAAGCCCGAGTGGGGAAAGAATTCCGATATCCCCTCTGCCCCTCTCGCGGGTTTTGAACCTTTATCCAATCGATGCTGCTACCTAGATCGAGATTTTTCTAGGAGCGGCGTGTGCCTCGTCTCTTTTTAGACAATGGGGCGTTCTAGTTTAGAAAGCACAGGACTTCTTGAATCCGTTTACACAATGACGGCTTGACAGACACACGACTGGATGATCAGAGTGGACGAAATAAAGCATCATCACGGCAGGTGTCGACGCTGCTAGCATTCGTAGGAAACCAGGCTTGCTTTTCAATGCCGAAGCGGACATAACCACTTTTCCACTACAGGCTCGAATATAGCACGTGTTACATTGTGGACGAAATGGAGCTGTCACATAAAGAAGAAAAACCCGACTTGAGGCGGCAGTGGATTCAATTTATTTTCGGGGAATAGGATGTCAAGGGAAAAGCAGTCTTCCCCATTACGGTGTTATGATGGAATTGAAAGCCGAAAAAGTCCTTCAATGCTCATTTCTAACCAGTAGAGGGACTCTGTGGAATAGAACGTTTCTGATGGCCAAACCTTCAATTGGTTATGTAGGGTTTGATACAGGAACCAGAAGAGACCTTGTCCGCTGTTCCACAGGCCCACAAGACGCCCACCTCATTTCAATGACAACCCCTGGTCGTCGTTTCGTCCAGCTGTGCGACGTGAATTCCGGCATGGACCCCCACGCCCGCCGGGTGAAGAGTTAGGCCTGGATCTCCAACATGCCGTCCTTGCATTGGAAATAATAAGTGAGGCCGGGGCTCGCGCGTTGGTGGACAGAGACCTCCATTTGCTACTTTGGTACTCGCACGCATATGAAGAACTCGATTGATCTCTCGCTAGTGTTTCCGCTTTCTCTCTTTCTATCAAGCCATGTAGTGTAAATCCTGCCTCTCTGCGTTTCTGGCCGTAGCCTAGGCCAACCAACCAGAAAAAGGTTCCATCAATGCAGAGAACGAATCGAATCGCTGCACGAGGGGAAAAGTCCCCCTCCGAACAGGAAAGGGGCGAAGAAGGAATTGATGAATGAGAAATCTCAAATCGATGGTAGCCGAATCTGTCAGAGTCTGCTCCAGCCTGGCCCCAGGATCATCCCATTCTCCACAACCGCCGAGAAGTGTTATGGCGCGTGCATGTGCGATGTGGGAGATTTTCGGGTCAACACCAAAAGATGCTTCCAACCTTGGAGTTCGAGAACGGGCAAGGCGCTTCCCCAAATGGTTTAGTGATCGGTTGATGACCCGCCCATCCGTATCCTGGACCAGTACAGAAGCCCGCCTGCTCTCGATACTCACCCTACGACTGGAGACGGTGGGGAGCTCAAGCTGCTTGCTACTCGACGCCTTGCGCCTTGCGCCTCGGGCTCAGGCCAAGCCAAGCCCTCACTCGGCAGATTGATTCGTAGCAAAGCTGTAAGCCCTTGAGCTCATGCTCATCACCGAGATTTTTTCCTTGCCGCTGGCCTTAACCGGCTGCATAGGTATTAGAGGTGGCTAGCACCTCTGGTGTCCATCCATGAAGCATTTTCTGCTCCACCACAGGGGTCCGATTTCGAAAGCCGTGCCCCCGCTGACACAAGCCAAGCAAGGGTCGAACCGCTATTGCACGGGGTTCATGATCGGGTGCTGCCCACTCCGACAAAAAATTTCCCTAAAAAAACCAGACTCATGGGATTGAAAGGTCTGGCCACTCGTAAAGTACTCTCGAAGTCGAAGAGGGAGATGGCTTGATCAAGGGGAAGAAGTGTATTACCTCTCTCCATGTCACCCGCTACCGAGGCAGGCGGATCTACGGAGTAGCAACTGATCTCGAACATCCGGCAGGATTCCGTGGCCGATTTGATGTGCCCATATTATTCCACGGCCACGAACTCAGTAGGCACCCAAGCACCCAAGCACCCAAGGCACCCCCACTCTTGTGAGCCCTGGGCCGTACCTGCCCCAGTCCCACGAGTCCCAGCTTGCCCAGGTAATCAATGCACGCACGCACCAACAGTGTTGAACCCACCAACCCCACCCACTCCCCTCTTCAGTCACTTTCTTTTTCCTTGTCCCTCCTGTGCCCCCTGCTCCGTCCTCCACCTTATTCCCCACGGAAACCTGCCCGCGCCCTCGAACTGATCCCAACCATCCCCTCGTCCCCCAATCACTCGCATCGGAACAGACCAGTTTCGTGACACTATAGATCCAGGGGTCGGTAACCAAGACCGAAACGCCAAAGGGTGTAGCTGATCGTCGTACTCATACTCTGTAACAAAAAGCGTCATGTTTTTTCAACATGGCATGCCCCAACAGCAACGGCGCCGAGGGATCAATGGGGTTGATGGAGTTGATGGATCGATTTTGGTGGAGCAGAAGCGGTCAAAACCCCGGCACTATGAAAGGAGAGGGCCGCACTAGATCTCACCGACGGATCAATTTGATAGAAAGCTGGGTGTCCACTGGAGCCGTCACTAGTGTAATCATGTAGCCCATGGATGGATCCGTCCTAGATGAATCAATGGACCACCACTCTGACGGCCACTCACCAAAGGTACGAGCCGTCCACCCAGCCCTCTTTCGTGAAGACTGGTTCACTAGTGTAGAGGGATTCCGGCTTCTTTCCAATTCGCGCAGTGAAGCACGAGTTTGGTACTTTCATAGTTCAATCTGGTTCAAGCCTAGCTAGCTGCTTTTACCGTTCGCTGCGTGAGCCATCCCACCATCACTGGCTTCGATTTTTTTCTTCTTTTTTTCCCGCGGCAGAGCATTAATTTCGACTGCAGTGTCCATCTTGTGTGGGGCCTCGACCGTGTACCGAAACTCCGTACCATCACATCAATCGTGCTTTCTGTCTTTTAGCGGCGCCAGCCCTCTCTTCTCTCCCCTGCGGACCCTTCTTTTTTTCTCCTTCCTCTCCCTTTCCGTCCCAGAGGCTTTCGAGATTCCTCGAGTCCTCCAACAGGCCAGCCCCTTCGCAGGCTCAAGAGCCCTTTTTCAACTCTTCTTCGCTTTTTTCCCCTGCTCACCTTCCTTCTCCCCGCAGACTCGCGCCCCATTTTCCATCCGCTCGACGGCTTCGTGCGTGATCGCGACACCCTTTCCGATCACGGCATCCCACAACCCGGCTTCAGCCGATAATTTTACAGGCGCTCCGCTCCGTCAGCCCCCCAAACCGCCCGAACCTGGCGCCAACAAATCGAGGTCCTCGATATTTTGCTTTGATCTCCTTGAAGCTTCGCGACGCTCTTGTTTGAGAACCTCCACTATTTGTCGCCCAGCGCATCCTCGGCACCGCATCGCGTACTCGCGCTGAGGGAATGACGGCTATCTGTACCAAAAGTTGGAGGAATTTCTTGAGAACCCGGAATCATTCGCCCACATCCGCACTTGAGCCTCATGGCACGGAAACCCCTCGCCTTAAACGACCGTAACTAGCGCTCAATCATTCCTCTACACTTGGCTTTTGCCCTTCCTAGTGGATTCAAATCGACGACTACCCTACCCACCGCTTGCTTATCAACTTTGAACCTTCTTTTTCTCCTCCTCTTTGGGTCGAAGGCGCGCCATTCCCATCAGTCGAACCCCACGTCCGGTCCAGACGCCACCGCCGTCACTCCGCACCTTTAAAGCCCCGACGTTAATCTTCCATTACCATCAGCGACGAACTCTCTCCATTTCACCATGATGGATTCTTCTGGGTGGAACCCCCAAGACCAGTCCATGGCGTCGGCCACGGACGACGACTTCCAGCAGTTCCTCGAAATGCAGGGGATGTCGACCATGACTGACACTCTCAACTTCGATTTCCAGTCCTTCCAGGACCCTTCCACCGCCTCCATGCTATCGCAGGCACCCCGCGATCAGATGGATACCTCGATGGGCGGCACCGAACCTTCGCTGGTTATCCCAACGACGGCCGGCTTGAGCCAGGAGCACATTGCCGCCATCACTAGCGGGGCGAGCCACAACTCGATCCAAGCCCACATCTCCCACATGCCGCCCACCCCCAACGATGCTATCACGGAAATCGATGCCCAGATCCAATATCTACAGCAGCAGCGACTCCAGCAGCAGCAGAGGCAAGCACGCGAGCAGCACTCGACCTTTTTGGTGGCCGGAATCATGTCATTCCCCGACCCTCAGAGCTTGGAACTCCAGGCGGGAAGTGGTCAGTTCTTCTCGCCCCTCGAGACTCCCATGTTCGACAACCGGCCCCATCACCTGAAGGACGCGCAGCAAGAGGTAAATTAAGAAATCCTGACATATCTTCGTACCCTCTATCCATATCCGTCCATGCCAGCGCGCCTTTTTTCTTTCTTTTTTTTGCCAATAGTTGCCCTTTTCTTTTGTCATACCACAACCTCAAGTGTATTAACCATGTCTCTTGCTACCACAGATGGCCTTCACCCCCTAGTCTCGCCCGCCGTAACACCTTTAGACCCCCACTTCAACGTCGATTCGAGTTTCGCCCTGCCCGGTACCTACTTTAGTCCTCTTACGTCGCCTGCTCTTCATGCTCAAAACGACCCTAGTGCCTTCTACGGCCCCCGCAAATGCAGCAGCCTGTTATGAACACAACCTCGCCAGTCGAGATGGACCTCGAGACGGCGTTACCCATGTCTGAAGCCGCCAAGAAGGCCCGGAAGCCCGCCAGCAAGACGAATCGGAAAGTCAACGTGCGGCAGTCGCCCATCACAAAACCGCAACGCCGCAAGACCACCAGCTCGGCGATTGTCAATCAGGTCCTTAATGAGGCGGTGGAAAACCGCCATACTTCCAGTCCCATCGTCCTCGCCAACCCGCTCGAGGACACGGACGAGAATAGCTCCGTGTCCCCCGAGGCGCTCTCCGATATGCCTCCGCCCCCTACCCCTCCCAAGGTCTCGGCCCAAACGAGGGCTTTGGCGGCCAACAAGAGAACGAATCTTGCCACACCTCTCCCGCTTGCCGCGATGCCCTCTCCTGCCACGCCGGCCTCGCTCATGAAGTTGCCTCCCTCTTCATCCTCTAATGCTAACAAGGTCTCGTCGTCGCCCAACAGCCACAGGGGATACGTCTCGACCGACCCCATGGATACCTTTTTCCAACTTCCCGAAGCTGTTGATGTGGCGCCCGACGATTCGTCTCCCTCGAGAACCAGCCCACCGTCACCCGGCAGCGCGTCCCCGGAGATTCGAACGCGGGGAAGACGCCCCTGATCCAGGCTGCCCGGTCGCCGTCCTTTGGTAGGCCTGGGACTCAGTCAGCCAACCAAAGTCCAATGTTGGCGCCTGGTGCTTCCACGCCCGTGTCCCGGCGGACGCCGCAGCTAGGCCCCCGCGCGAACAAGAAGCGTACGGGCTCTGTGACGGCCTCCCCGCGCTCCTACCGAAAATATCACCCAACCTCAAACCCCTCCTACCTGGTGCGTCAGACGAGACGCTAGAGGATACCGCATCCCGGCTACTAGCGACGAAATCAAATTACCAGAATATCCTAGAGGGGAACAAGGTCCCCGGCGTTTCCTACCCTAGTGAACTCTCCACTAATCTCACGTCAAAACGCACGTCACACAAGATCGCCGAGCAGGGCAGGAGAAATAGAATCAACTCGGCTCTACAGGAGATCGCCTCTTTGTTGCCGTCTGGGAGTGCGAAGAGCAGCGATGAGGGCGATGCGGAGAAGAAGGACGCCAAGGGCGTGACACCCGGCAGTAAGGCCAGCACAGTCGAGCTGGCCATCGAGTACATCAAACATCTCAAGAGGGAAGTCGCCGAGGCTACGAAACGGGCCGAAGACGCGGAGAGAAAGCTCGGTATTAAACCGTCGCCGGATGCGGAGTCATTAAAAGAACCTCCTTCCCCGAAGCAAATCCAGACCACAAGCGAGACGACAACGGCGACGAGTACTGAGGTGACGGAGACGGAAAAAGCAAAGGCAACATGAGGCAGTACGGTGCGCGGAGGGTTTCCATGCGCGCACGCACGCATGAGTTGAATATTGCCAGCGTTCTTTGGGGTTTTTGTTCTTTTTCGTTTTCCTCCTCAGTCTCCAAAATATCCACTTTTTCTTTGTCTTCGCTCTCAGAGAGGATTCCCAGCCGGATGATTTCTAAAGCGAGTTCTTGGCTTCGGGAGCGGTTGCACCTACTATGGTTGTTGTTGTCAATGTTGTTGGTATCAGGCATGAGATTTCTCACTCGGCGGGACGGTTCATATGGCATGAAGGAAAGGGGGTGGTCTGTTTTTTTTTTTATATCTTTTATCTTGTCTTGTTTCCCTTGCCCTGGGGGAGGATCACCGCATATGCTTCCCTGCGCATCCTGCTATCTACCTTGGCGTCTTGCTTCTTTTGTCTTGTACGGTGGGGCGTGGGCCCACGAAATATTCCCGGTCAGTGTGCATCTTCTCCAACTAGTTATATCCTATAATAGCAGAGATGCCTCTCTAGTGGTCCTGCTGTGTAATCTTTCAAACAAGGGGAAAAAGAAAACGAATAAAAAAGGAAGATGGCCAGAAAATACATACACCCAGCATCATGCAAGCAACGCGAAAAGTCTTTGGGCTCATTGCGCCCAACTTACAAAGTTCACGCGACTGTGACGTACAGCCGGATGAAGGCGAAGTTTAAGGTGACATCTATCGATGTAGGCATATGGACGCTGAACAATATATGATTGCCCTTCTGTCCTTAAACTACTACGATTCTACACCCATGCCCAGTTCATCTTTTGAAGTCCTATTCCGTACCTCCGCATGTACTCTTCTTCACCATAGCAAGGAATGATAAGAACCGACTCTATATTTGGGAATCTTTGGGGATGGACTAATAGAAGAAAAGAAAAAGGAAAATTACTGAAGGGAAAAGAACAGAAAAGAAAAGACCAAGGCAATACCTTCGCCCAAAGCCCAAGGCGGCCACCAGTTCAGACGCCCTGCACATCGCAGTCTGGGGGCCAGAAACCGACTCGTTGTGCTTCCTTCTTAAACATGTCCCCCATCAACTCCCAGTGACAGCAGCGGTAGCGAGCGGCAATGGGTCGCTAGTCTTGGGGACGAGGGCGGGGACGTCCATCTTCTCCATGACTTCGAGGACCAGGCTCAGGCTTTCCATAAAGGAGTTGGTGGCGACGCGGAGCATGCGGTTGGTGGTGGCGCGGTACTCGACCTCGAGGACGGACCCCGGGCGTCGTCGGGGCCGCTCGCGCCGCCGCCGAGGGAAAAGGAGCGGCGGACGAGGGGGATAGCTCCTTGTCGACGGAGATGGCGGATAGAGCTATGGAGGCGAGGCGAGGGGTGGGGAAGGGGATGGAAAGGGATCTGTAGAGAGAGAGCATGAGAGAATGGTCAGCGCGGGGTTACGTTGTTTGACCAAGACAGTCTTGGTCTTCTTTTAAAAAGAACAAGAAAAAGTCCTCCTTTTTCTCTTCAAGGGACTTCCATCCTGCGCGACGAACTTTCTTGTGTCTGCGGGATGTACATGGATCAAGCTTTGGCGGGGGAGGAGAGTACGGACATTGAGCAAGGGAAGGCTTGGACGTCAGCCATCTTTGTGTTTGTTTTCTGTTTTGTTTTTCTTCTCTGTTTGCTTTTTTCCCCTTGGATTTCCTTCTTCTTCTCTTCTTCCCTTGTGTTTCACAGTCCTTCAATGTCTGGGCCACGGGATGACGTCCGCTGCAACGCGGTGAAAGGACAAGGCAGGAGTGGCGAGAGCTTCGCTCTGGATAGGCGACTCTGCGATTACGGCTCGGAAGGATGATGTATCAGGTCGCCACTGAGCATCACATGCGCGCGGACATGGTCGACAGGATTGAGAGCGGCCGGGTTGTTTCTCTGTTTCTCGGTTCGAGCAATGTTTAATTCTCTGAGCTGAGATAGTTTGATCCAGAGTGCCCCTCCATCCTGACTACGTACAAGTACACTACAGCGGTCTATTTTTTTATTTGTTGGCGACTTTCATGGTGGGGGCGGGGAAGAATGTGATGGGCGAGACAAAAGGAAGCGATGAAATGGGGCTCTGTGGCTTGCAAGTCAGCCAGTGATAGATGTGGCTGTCAGTAGAGATTTGTGGCTGGAGATGTTTATTGCCCACCATATGCCCACCATGATACATCAATTGTGGATGTAACCTCTTGAAACAGGCCGGACAAAACATTCACTTATTGCTGAGTGGGGGATGGAACTGGGAAACTGGTGGGACCAGGCTGTCAAGTTGTTCTTTTATTTCTGGAAGCATAGCCTCAGGTATTAATATCAAAACAATGGGCAAAGACGAAAGGAAATGAAGAGGGATATCGGCATGAATGTGGATATGTGGATAATGTCTACCACGGCTGCATGTGGCTATTACTTTAAGGAAAAACAAAGAAAGAATAAGGAATAGTGAAGAAAAAGGACCTAGAAACAAAACATGAACAAAGAAAGAATTTTATCGAAGAAAATAAAGACAAAGAAGATTGGGAAAATTCAAAGAAGAGAAAGGGGAAAAAAGAAGTTAAAAAAAGGGAAGAAGAAGAGAGTAACACAATATTATCAGGAGTTCATTCTCATCCATTCATCCCATCGTCAAGTCCCCATCTCACAACATAATATTATTATTGTTGGTCTGTGAGTAAGAGGAAGGATACATTGCTAAAAGAACGTAAACGTAACGTGCGGTCTCCGGGTCGCCGAGGCCACATGTGGCCGTCGCTTGGTTCCGTCCCGGGGCGCTGAAAAGCGAAGGGTTAATGCACCCGCCATCAGATCTGAAGGAACCGCAACGGCGTCTCCATAGCAAAGGAACAGGGGACAGCTAAAAACATTCGGAGCCCCGGGGCTGGTTTGGAAAGGGAGGGGCGGGCGAGGTGTGGAGGAGGGAGGGGGGACTCTTTCAGGGCGTCAATCAGATGGGAGGATACGCAATAATAGAGCTGGTTAGGAAACCACGATTTATTATCATCAATTGATTATCTACCAAGTATTAATACTGCAAGTACAGGACTTGCAGGTGTGTTATGATGGCAGATGAGGGGAGGGATGGGATATTCAGCCTCCATTTGCACACCCATCCACTAGATTCACAATTGACACATGACGGGAGACGGGAGACGGGCAAGACGGGATGGGATCAATTGATATTATGGAATAATATTATTATGGCCCAGTGGTGCTGCTGTCTCCATTGAATGGATCCTTGTGCTCTTTGTCTGTCGCCCAGGATTTGATGTACCTTTTTGCCCTGGGTCGCTCCGTTGCTGCATTGCTTGCATTGCTTGTAGTGGTCGAATTGTCGGCGGGTTGTCATGACAACCCAATCTGGCCAATGGCAGGCACCGCCACCGCTGTTATTTTTGACCGGGTTTTGGAAATGAGAGGTCAATACGGTCAAACATGGTGGTACCGGGGGCCCTGCTCGCTGCTCACTGTTTCTCTCCCAGTGAGAGCAACAACATTAAAACATCGTCGTCGCTCACACGACAGTACAAAATACAGGTTCATATCTTGGACACACCGCAGCATCATATTCTCTTCTCTTTTCCCTCATTCTCCCCCATCTTCTTTTTGCCCTTTTGCAGATTCATCGTGCTTCCAAGTCCACGACCCCGAGCCCGAGCAGCTTCTTGAGTTCCCATCTCTGTCTCTGCCTCTGATATACGCACACACAAACATACATTCTCTCTGTGTTTCTCTCGCTCTCTCTCTCTCTCCCTCTCTTCATCTTCACATCCGCCCCATTGCAGATTCGACATTTTAGCTCACAGCCGTCTTATTCGAAGCATATGATTTCAGCATCATTCGGGCTTCTCCTCTGACATTATTCACTCCTCCCTGCGGCCAGCCCCGATATCCACCATCCGTGGACCAAGCCTTCGTAGCAGCAGCCATCAGTAGCCGCTCCCCTCCGCTCCAGGCTTCTTCCACCCGTCTGTTCTTGTTGTAAGAAACTCTCGGCGGTGGATCCAGCCAGCAGCCCCTTCACAATGCCTATCTCCAAGAACACCACAAATTTGGGCCAGATCGTCGAGTATATTCCCGGTAAGTTTCTGTAATCCTGCTTTCAGCGCACAGCCACTTCACAGACGAATCGCCTCCAGGAGAGAGTACCCAGTTCCAAACAAACGAAAAGGCTAACCCTGGATTCTTTCCGCTTGTCTAGACCGACTCTACCTCGCCGCCTACGTCCATCCCCCGACGGCCGACACACTCTTCCCTTACTCAGACACACCCGTGGGCGCCAGCTCCCGCTCGCCGTCCAAGAGGACGCCGGCGCAGAAGAAGCAGCCCTTTTACTTTTCCGTTGACGACAGCCTCCTTTACAACGCCTTCCACCATGACTTTGGCCCGCTCCACATTGGCCACCTCTACCGCTTTGCCCTGTACTTCCACGAGGTCCTCGCTGCCAAGGAGAACAAGGACAGACCCATTGTCTTTTGGAGCAAGGCCGACCCTAGGAGTGAGTTATCGATCCCCGTATCTACGTTTGGTGTCATCTATAGGATTGTGCCTGTACTAACATGAGATCCCTTTCGTGAAAAAGGCCGAGCAAATGCCGCCGCCCTCCTCGCGTGCTACATGGTCCTCATCCAGCACTGGCCCCCATCTGGCTCTCGCCCCGATTGCCCAGGTAGACCCCCTTCATGCCCTTCCGCGACGCCGGCTACAGCCAAGCCGACTACGGCATCACGGTGCAAGACGTCGTCTACGGCGTCTGGAAGGCCAAGGAGGAAGGCGTCGTCGACCTCGAAAATTTTGACCTGGACCAGTACGAAAGGTTCGAGAGGGTGGAGCACGGCGACTTCAACTGGATCACCCCCAACTTCCTCGCCTTCGCCTCCCCCAGCACAAGCCCGTGGCCGCCGTGCCCCGCAACACGGACGCCTTTGACGCCCTGCCCAAGACCCTCGACGCCGTCGACGCCCACCCCACCCTCCCCCAACCCTTCAAGAACGTGATTCGCCACTTTGTCGAAAAGGACGTTGGCCTCGTCGTCCGGCTCAACTCCCACCTCTACTCCCCTCGTACTTCGAGGCCGCCGGCGTCCAGCACCTCGACATGATTTTCGAGGACGGCACCTGCCCCCATGAAGACGGTGCGCAAGTTTATCCGCCTCGTCCACGACATGATCACCAACAAGAAGAAGAACATTGCCGTGCACTGCAAGGCCGGCCTCGGCCGCACCGGCTGCCTCATTGGCGCCTACCTCATCTACCGCCACGGCTTCACCGCCAACGAGGTCATTGCCTTTATGCGCTTCATGCGACCCGGCATGGTCGTCGGCCCCCAGCAGCACTGGCTCCACATCAAGCAGGGCACCTTTCGCGAGTGGTGGATCGAGGAGCGCGCCGAGGCCAAGATTCGCCGCGAGCTCATGGCCGCTGCCGCCGCCAACAACCCCGCCCCCAGCACCCCCATCCGCGCCATGCAAAGGCCTCGCTGCGCAACACCCAGACCTCGACGCCCCCAACCGGAGCGCCTCCAACCGCACCCCGCTGAGCGAGGTCGACGACCGCAATAACATTGTCCAGGAAGACTACCTCCCCGCCCCCACCCCGGCCAGCCCCGCAAGGCCGCCCGCACGGATCGCCACCACCCTTACGGCCGCACCGCCTCCGCCTCCCACAACCACACCACCGTCGAGGAGGAGACGGGCATCGAAGAGGAGACGGAAATTGTCGCCGTCCACAGGACGTCCCACGGCGGCGCCGAGTCCGACGAGGAGATTCACCTCCGCGTCCGAGCCCACCGCAAGGCCTCCCAGTCCCCCTCCGCCCGCTCCGTCAGCCACCAGACCACCACCACCACAACCACCACCTCGACAAAACACTACAGCCTCGTCAACGCCGACGACCCCTCCCAGGACGTCGAGAACGTTGGCCCCCACCGCCACGAAACCCGTCAGCCGCGTGGTTAGCACCCCCGCCGGCGTCGGTAGCACCCTCGCCAAGGTCCGCGGTAGCCAGCGCCGAGACTCTCCCCTCCGGTCCCACGCCAGGGAACCCTCTGTGCCCTCTGCCGGCGTACGCAAGACGAGCGGTCGCATGGGCAGCGTGAGCGCTCAACCTTCTGCCACGGCTCGCAAGGTCTCGGGCGGTGCCTAGGTGGCTCCGGGCCCGACGTGTCGGTGGTAGCGAGAGGGCCGCCCCTCCCCCCTCATCTACCCTCGGTTGTTTTCCTCCTCTTTTTAATCCTTTCCTTTGTTCTGGGTGTACATATATACCTCGGGCAGCAAGGCGTTCTTCTTTCCATCTCTTTCTTCCTTGTCGTCTTTCCGCATTTTCAGAGTTTTCGCCGCTCCGGATCCGCATCTGATGCTGCCATTCTGTTGCCTCCCAGACAACAAAAAAGCCTATCTTATTTTTGCGCTGTGTTAATATTTTCGTTCTGATTCATCCGTGTAACGACGAAACGAAATCGCAATGAGCAAACGATCCGCTATGGGAGGAAGGGCTACCATTTTCTCCCTTCCTCCTCCTCTTCCCTCTTTGCCCTCCCCATCTTCTCTACCCCACATCTCGTCACTTGGTACAGGAGCGGGTTCCTGTGAAGCCTTGACTAGGCGGTCTTGGATGTGGCCGGAAGTTGGTGGGGTTTACGCAAGGGGAAACCGCTCTCAACTTCGAGTTTACTGTTTTTCTTTTCTTCTCAAGCTTCTTCTCTACTGCATCATTGTTTCGGTCTGGTCACGGTCTGCTTTTATATATACTTCGTGGAATGCGTTTGAGTGTATTCTCTCTTCTCATAACCAATGATAAATTCTACGTCATGATCAACAGTTCAACGTGCAAGACTCTCTCCAACTTGGTTAATGACTTGTGATTGCCTTTTGCAGAATTAATCTATACCTGTCACAACGGAAATCATCTTGTAGAAGCTCATAACTTTTTTATTCATCATTAGGGATTAAATATGGTGGCCTCGCCGGCCTTCCTTCTCATTCCGCTCACGTCCTCACAGTGGGTTCATCAGTATGAATAAACTCCTTAAACTTAAGGAGGTCGGTAGCCATCTTGATCTCGGGAGCCAAGAAGTCCTGAGCATCCTGGTCGTAGCTTGAAGGGTCGTTGCTATGCTGCTCGACATAAAGGCGGATCGTCGCGCCTGAGGAACCGGTGCCGGAGAGTCGTACGACAATTCGAGAACCTGATGAAAATCGGGCGTAAAGGCCCTGGTTCGAGGCAACGGAACCGTCGACGGGGTCCTTGTATGAGAAGTTCCCTGCCTCGGTCACAGTCCGGTCTGTTAAAGAGAAAAGAAAGCGATTAGTTTGACGATTCCGCACGCTCTTTGAATTAGATGAACCATAGCGGGTTTCCTTACCTCCAATCTTGCTGCCAACGAACTTGGGGTCCGCGACAAGGTCCTTCAAGACACCAAGGACCTTGCTGGCACCGTCGCTGTCAACGTCCTCGTAGTCATAGCGGGTAAAGAAGGTTCGACCATAGACCTTCCAGAAGTCCTTCTGGATCTCCTTGATAGAGGGGCGGTTCCCTTCTCCTCTCCAAGGCCGGCGATGACATTCAGCCAAGCCACGATAGCCCAAAGACCATCCTTCTCACGGATGTGGTTACTTCCGGTACCGAAGCTTTCCTCACCACAAATAGAAAGCTTGTTGGCATCAAAGAGGGAGCAGAAGAACTTCCATCCAGTGGGCACCTCGTAACACTCAAGACCCTGGGCCTTGGCGACCAGGTCAACAGCACCACTCGTAGGCATGGAACGGGCTAGGCCTTGGACCTTGTTCTTGCGGAAGTAAGGGATGAGGTGCGCATGGTGAGCAATGATGGCGAGAGAGTCACCGGGAGATACGAAGGAGGCGGCGCCATAAATCATGTTACGGTCGCCATCGCCATCCGAAGCGGCGCCAAAGGGGATGTTCGCCCTATCAACAACATCGACAAGGCTCTTAGCATAGGTAAGGTTAGGGTCGGGATGACCGCCGTTAAAATCGGGACTCGGAACGCAGTTTTGCGTCGAGTTCTCGAGACCCAGCTCGGTCTCAAAAATAGCCTTGCCGTACGGGCCTGTGACGCCGTGCAAAGCATCAAACAAGACTCTATAGTCTGGGTGGTTCTTGAAGAACTTCTTGATGAGGTCAAAATCAAAGATATCCTTTAGCATCGTAACATAATCGGCGGTGCTGTCGACAATCTCGACATCGAGGGAGTCGCCATATGTCTGAAAGCCAATGGTGGATGTGTCAATGTCTGGGATGGAGGCGATCTTGTAGCTAGTTAGGCTCTTCGAGACCTCATAGATTTTGTCCGTTACAGATTCCGGAGCAGGCCCGCCGTTGGCGAGGTTGTATTTGATACCGAAATCGTTGAGAGGGCCTGAACAAAATAGCCATGCGCTGGTCAGTACCTATGGTCTCCGTACGGGTATACACACTCAAGAGTTTCTGGTAGGGCAGAGAACATACCGCCGGGGTTGTGGCTAGCCGTCAAGAGGATACCACCGGTAGCCCCATACTTGCGGATGATGTGGCTGGCCGCGGGGGTGGAAAGGATGCCATTTTGGCCGATGAGGAGCTTCTTCACGCCATAGGCAGCACCAATCTTGGCAATCAGCTGGATCACCTCTGGGTTCAGGAATCGGCCATCACCGCCAATCACAAGAAAGGAATCTATTTTGTGGGAAAGAATTGTCAGAGCCTGATTTTGGGCGAGCACGCACTTGAAAAACCACTTGCACGGCCCGTGTACCGTCCTTCGTTCCATATACCGTCCTCGGTCGGGCTGCTTAGAGCTAGAAAGAACACTTGTGAAGCGTTCAAACCTGTTTTTTTCCCCTTCCTTTTCCTCCAATTGCTCCGTGAGCTAGAGGATGGTGGTACATGAAAGCCGGTACGCGAGGGGCAACAAATCCATGGGTAAAGATGTGCTCAAAGCCCGGGGGTCTTCTTACCTTTAACACCCTCGGGGATGGAAAGAAGAATGCTCGTGATGAAAGACTCGCTGTAGTGTTCCTTTTGGAAAACGGTGACCTTCTTTCGCAGACCGGAGCTGTAGAGAAAGAAAACGAGTTAACAATGCTGCTAGACCAGCGCAATGAGGGGCAAATTTGGGTGGGTGGTCGGAGGAGCACGAAAAGGAGGGGCACTGAAGAGAGCATGACGTACGTGCCGGCCTTTTGGTCTGTGAAGGGAGTAATCTGCACGGTCTTGATCTCCATGGCGAAGCTCTGCGCACAATCAATTGATGTGTTGGTATACTAGGAATGAGAGAAAGCGCTTTGTTGCGTAGGCGGATGAGTCTGCCGAGGAGTAGTTGAGGCGATGGGAATGAAGAAAGCGTTTTTCACAGTTTGGGAGCTTCAAAGATGGAAGCGTGGATGAGAAGTGAAGAAGGAGGAGAGTGGGGGAAGGCAAGGTGGGGAGGGACCAGGACAATTCAAGGAAAACAGGTGGGAGGATAAATCTGAGGAAGACGCAAAGCTACTGGGCAGGTCCAGTAGGTGGGCCTGGATGGGTTTTATTTCCCAAGCTGTAAGAGGCGTACAAGGAGCTCACGAAGACGGATGAGCTAGCAGGGAGCTCTATGATTCGTGTCTCGCTCGCTCGCCATCTCCCTGCCCCTCTCCGAAAGATACGATATCACGGATACATGTAACAGTACCGGATGTTGCCACACGCCCGAGGTGATAGTGCTTGCTTTCCTGAGCTAGGTGCAGATCGTATCATTTGTGTTGTCATCTATTAGCGGCAAAGCTCAACGATGCTCCTTCCTGCTATCGAGGGCGGGGCGGGTGTTGAGCTCAGGTACATCGCACTTGTACAGACCAGACAAAGCCAAGCCGCTTCCCGCCTTCCAGTTTACGGTAATATTAACTACACTACTTGACTAGGTGGAAACCAGGAGCTCGGGGCTTCGAGGTTAACCTTGACTACTTGTCATGGACAAAAAGACTGCCCAAGCTTCGATGCTGCTTGCCCAACCACGGGTCGTCTACCGGCTACCCCTCTCACCTCGCTATCTCTCTCTCTCTCTGAGAAACCCCCAAAAACAAAGCACACTGATAGCCGGACTCGGGGCTCGGGGCTGGGCCGGGGAGGCTGAGCTTTGTTCTTCGAGCAATTTTTCGAAGCTTATCGAAATGGAACTAGCGATATTGAACCCCAGAATGAGCGCCGCAACAAAAGCTGGCGTATCTCCAAAGCGGTACTTGGACAATACTTAGCTTGCGCGCGATTGACCGCCAAGGCAGGAGGCATCCATTGAATTTTGCTTGCTTGCATTTTGTTCAGCTACTTCGTGTGCGCCCGTTACAAAGAAGTAGCCTATGAAGTAGCAATGACACTTGTGAGGTAATAGTGTGTATGGTATGGGAAGGGACGATGAGCCAGACGGGAAAGAGTGGACCTGCATCCATCTCAGCGCCTTGCCCATCGTTGACAAGGGTTGGTTGACGCCTTTGGGAAGTTCCTTGCGTGTGGCAAGTGGCAAGAGTTGCAACCATTGGCCGCGGGGTTTGCTTGTGTCACTCTCAGCATCTCCCCGACCTCGAATCAAGCCACTCGCTCTAGCGTACCAAGCGTACATCACCCACCCCTCCATCATTGATCCCTTCATCTCTCTATCTGAAATTACTTCATGATCTGTACAGTGCAGAATGAATTGATCCAATTCCCTAGATAGATCCGGTTTTGGGGTCAGGCATTGATAATTTGTTCTTTGTTCTACGACTAACAAATTCCATCAAATCTATATGCCGGACTCGAGCTTGATGAGAGGCACTCATGGCTGCTAGCTCGCAAAATAGCTACATTCCACACCAACGAGAGATGCTTGAGAGGTCAGGCTGTACCTGACGCTAGACTTTCCAGCCAAGGGCAAGCTCTATTACTGTCTCACCATTTTCCTCATCCTCGGCGTCATTATTTTTTCTACTCCTCTCGCTTCGATGATCCGTTCTTTGGAAGCCTGTAGGCGGTACTAAGGTTCCTTGTATTCTGGCTGGACTCACCCCCTTACCCTTCAGAGCCACCCTTCTCAGCTAAAGGACGATGCTAAACTTAAACAGAAATCAATTCAAGGCCGTGAGACGCCTTGGCAAACCCGCGGAAAAAATACACGCCCATCCCCCATCTAAAAATGCGGTCCTTTGGAAAGTCGGAAGCGCAATATTATCTGTTGGGGACAACAACCACGCCGCACACCTTCCGTAGTTTGTCGGCGTTTCCGGGAATAGACAATGAGGGTGTTGTTAGACCGAGTACAAAAGATATCCTTGACATTCCAAGTTGAACAAAAAAATTCTCTGCCCCCTTCCCCTTTGTTGGGAAAAGCGTTGATGTGACTCGAACTGGAGGGCATTGTTAGATGCTGCGTGTCGAGTATTTCGACTATGAGTGGCTTAACTTGACTCGGTTATCTGCCGCCCTGTTCCTTTCGGGAACTAACCCTGAAAGCTGACTGGTCCGAGAGCCTCGCAGCTCTTTTTTCCTCTGCCCGTTCATATCCGAGACCTTGGGAGGCTCCGAGAGACAAGCTTCGAGTCCCGCCATCTTCGCTCATGGAGCTCCGGAGCGGGTGAGCGGTGGCCGCGAGAGGGTAGGAAAAGGATCAGATCTCGGCATCGCCAGTACCCAAGCTTTGACCAAATGGCAAAGAGGACAATCCGCATCTCACAAAGAGGTAGAGGAGGGGAAGAAAGAAACAGAAAAGCGCCTACCAGCAATGCGGAGCTCTCGGCGGATGCAGGGTTCGCCCACGAGAGTGCGTTGCCCTGATCACTTTTCCTCTTCTTGTTGATCTATGAGCATGGCGGTTGAACATCAGAGCAGGGAACAGTCCTCAGGTCAGCGATATTCCGTGTAAACCAATTTACCTCTTGGGTCAAGAGGAATCCCCCAATTCGCTTTATTCGCTTTGGGCCACGCTCAGGAAGCCATTGTTTTGCGCATCATGCCCTTTCATTCATGCCCTTTCAAAAGACTCGTGCCTCAAGTCGGGTATTGTTTTTCTTAGTGCCATGCTTGGACAAAGTTGAGGCAAGAGAGTTTCTTGTCCAGAATATGTCAACAAAAGAGACTCCTCCATAGTTCATCTGAAAAGAATCTGAAGTATATTACGGAGTGATCTCGTCCCGTTCTCATCAATCTCTCGACATCCAGCATCCAACACATCAAGCTTCACTTCAAAACAAGCTAACTACCCCTCTACACCCTCTCCGTTGAGATATATCCCACAAACAACCAACTAACAAGACAGCAGACACAACCGAAACTTAGCAACATGAGTCCCAACGACCCCTTCCACAACTACTACATGGCAGCAAGTGGGGCTATCACCCTGGGACTAGCCCTCTCCTGCCAGCGGAAATCATGACCCAGATCTACGCAGAAGCGATAGTAAGCGCAGCGAGAACGACATGCATCTTCCACTTCTTTATGCCGTCCTGGGACCTGTGCTCCCATCATATGACGCACCACACCCACCGCATCGTCTGGCAGACCTACATCGCTCCCGAAGCGCCGGGCGGCCGAGGTACATTCTTCCACAACCACGCCCACCAGTGTACCCAAATTACTAGGACTAACCTTCTGCAGCCCGTCGCCGAAAACGGGGACGACGGGGACGACGTGACGTCGGTGCGGATCGCCCTCGCCGCGTACGAGCACGATGGCATGCGCCTGGCCCTCAAGCGCCTCGCCATGTGTTACGGACTGCTCCGCGAGACCGAGTTTCTGCCGGCCTGGCTCGGCAATCTCCGGTGCCCCGCTAATCTCGCCGGGATCGAGAACGGGAGGCCCCTGGCCATCGAGCCCCAGGCCATCCACGAGCTGCCCTACCGCACCGACAGGGTGCCCCTCGCCTGGCGCGGCTGCCGCCACCGGGAGGCGCCTAACCTCTTTTCCGAGTACATCTCCGTCCTCGCCATCACCGTACCCGGCGCGGACATGTGGCACGAGCCCGAGATCGACATGCTCCGCATTCTCGGCGGTTTGGCCTTCTCCACCCTCACCGAGCCCTCTTCTAGGATCCTGCGCAACCGCATCGTGGCGGACCGCGTGTCTAGCGTCCTCCTCGACTGGTCCAAGTTTGACCCGCGCGTTCTCCGCGCCGTGTTCCTCGACCTCCGCGCCTACATTGTCGGCGCCATGACCGACGACGAACTACTCGACATCGCTCGAGATATGTCTGCCCATCTTTCCCTCGAAGTGCTCTGCCTCGTCGGGAGCCGCGGCCGCATCCCCTGGCTGGATCGCCTGTTCCTCGGCGATTTAGATATCAGCCTCCTCGAAACATCACCGCAGATCGTAGACACCCAGGAGGGACGCCACCTTAACCCCATTGCGCTGTTCAGGGGCGCGCTCCGGCCGGGAGGTAGGCTCATCCTCATCGACAGCACGGGTACGGCTATGACTGTGCCCCCGTTCGAGCTTCCTATCCCACCAGTGTCTTTTGCCTCCTGAGACAAGGCGCATGCAGCAGAAACACACATCTTTATATCTGCCATTCATTGCATTTTTTGGTACTGTTTGTTTTTCCCCTTCTATTATGTATCTCCGTGGTAACATGTGGTAGAAACTTCAAGAACGCTGTTTAGGGGAGGGAGATGGGAGGATGAGCTGGCGACGAGGGACGTTGCCGGAAATCGGAACGTAAACCGAACAATCACGAAAGAACTAACAATCAGAATATGGACGATTTAGGATATTATAAACACGAAATGGAAAGGAATTCCCTTTAGATATTTCAATATGTCCATCATGAGTTCTAGACCCTTGAAAGAAGCTTGCGTAGTCTTAGTGACTGTCCTCCCAAGAACCATCTTCGGAGATCTTACACACGAGCGGGAGGCACATGTAACTCTCAAAGTCGACGCAACGTAGAAAAGCCATTGAATCTGGTGGAACAAGGAATTGGCATCCGTCCATGCTATACCTAGAGTAAAGCCAAACTGGGGGACGAACTGGTACAGAAAAGTCCTTGTCTTCAATATCATTGTCGCTTCACGCTTGGGTAGTTTCGAGATGAAGGAAAGCCTTTCATATCCTTGATTTCACTGAACGTGATCCCACCAACAGCGCGTAATACTTCACTGCAGACTATTAGAGGAATGGGGTGCCTTTAGAATCGCATCTGTAGATGCACTATCTAGTAAAAGAAGCATGATGACGGCAGTCAACGGTAACTAACACGGACTCGGCTGTAAGCTGCAGAAAGACGAAGCCTAAACCAATCACCCTTTGGTTTTTTTCCTTTCTTTTTTTTTTTCGAAGGGTTCTTCTTAAGAACAGGGGACCTGCATCTCGGCGATCCGACTACTTTAAAAACTAGCTATGCTTTCGAGGTTATAGCTGCGGATTTCAAAAGAGTCTAGCTAGCCATACTGCACACCGGACCCCATCTTTCTTCACCCCTCGCCTAGATCAAGGATCGCGAGGAGGCGGGCTGTTTCGTAATATGAGGCTAGGTTGAATATCATAGATTCAACGGACTCAAACATGAGATAGTCCTTGCTTTGCCTTTTTTTTTTTTTTTTTTTTTTGGTAAGTAAAAGTAAACAAAGCGAGGGCGCACATTCGACTATAGAACTGTGCTGAAACATTGATACTGATCCATTGAAACATCTGCCTCATCCTCTTCTACCATTTAAAATCTCTTCACCGATCTTCATAGATGGGGAGCTACCTCGGTGCCTGTATGTGATGTGATGTGAGTCGGAAAGCGAGGGCTTCTCTCGAGACCGCCTAGTCCACGCACCCAATGTCTCGGTCTTCTGTCTCTCCTTCCTAGAATCCTGAAGAACCGTATCCTCAAGATTTTCTTCTCGCACCGTTTCGACGAATAAGACTGGGGTGGTTAGGAAGACAAATATATCCACTTGACGTGCATATCGTCGGCCGCGTCAATTGGGTTCTCGTTTCACGCCAGTTCATCCAGACGCGGTGTCGTAGGTGATAGTAGAGAGAAGGCGCTGCCACAAAGAGGGCGACACGCTGATCTGTGTAAAGCTTCGATACTGGGCGAGATGGATACACTATAGCGGGGAAAGAGAAAGCGTGTTTGTGACTCAAGGAGTGAACAGAAAATGGATATCTTTATTGGAAACCTAAGCTACGAATGACCGCCCAACGTCCTACTCCGAACCGCACTAATCACCCGTCCAACTGAAACCGCCTTACTTTCCGCCGTTGACGCGAAATCGGAGAGAGAGAAAAACAAAACCTCCACTGCAGCCACATGCATCAAACAATTATTACCGATCGTTGCCGCGTGATAGAATGGAGCGAAGCTCAAAGAGCTAGAGTATGAGGGAGAGAATGTGTGTGTTTGGTATGTGTGTGTATGTGAGAGAGAGAGAGAGGGAGAGAGAGAGAGAGAGGGAGAGAGAGAGAGAGAGGGAGAGAGAGAGAGTTGAGAGGAGAAAGGGAAGGATTAAGAAAGGGACAAGTCCAAGGCTAGCCGAACTTGCAATGGAGGGCAGCTATGGCGGCGTCTTGGGCTTCTTCAGGTACCCCCGGCTAACATGCTAACGGAGCAAGGCGAGAGAGCGACGGCAGCTATTAAAAGACGACAGCAGCTGTTGCTGAGGGCGTAGGGGTATCACGGGACATCGTTCGTCCCTCAATGCCAGAAAGCCGATCCGGGGCGGTACCCTATGAAGAGAAAACCCAATAGCCTCCTCCCTCCGTCACAGGCGCACCGTCGTGACCAGAGGTGCGAGCCTCCTGCCTAGGACGGGCACCGGTCCAAGCCAGTTCTTGCACCAAGCCTTAGATGAGGAAGGCGAAGAGGCCGAGAGCGGCAGCAGCAGCGCCGCTACCAATGATGACAGCAGAGGCGCCGCTCTCGTCGTTGCTGTTGGACTGGTCGTTGCTGCCAGAATCGCTCGAGGAGTCGTCGGTGGTGGTGGAGTCGCCGGTCTCGGTGGGAGTGGACTCGTCCGCGTCGCCGGTGCTAGTGGGAAGCTTGGTGACGTCGAGAGTACCACACTTGGCCTGGATGTTGTCCTCGCACTTGGGAAGCTCAACCGGGTTACCGGCGTTCTTCTCGACGCACTGCTTGAAGGCCTCCTGGCAGACGAAGGAGTAAAGGGAGTTGGAGTAGTACTTGAGGCCGGGCTCGGTGCCGTTGTTACAAGTGCACGAGTACTCGAGGGTGTTCTGGAGCCAGAAGTCGTTAGTTACCATGATCCGAGAGAATCGTGCCCTCGGCCAGAACAGGCAACGGCAGCGCCGGACTCTCCACCCGCTGGGTGAGCAGTGAGGCAATCCGAGGTCGAAGGGAGGAAATAAGGCTTACGATATCACAGGTGTTCTCCTTGGGAGAGCCAGGGCAGAGGGCGGTGCAGGTATTGCGCTCACCCATGCACCAAGAACCTATCATCGCGGTACCTAGTTAGCCAAGCTCGCACGTCGCGGCAAAGCGGCGCATCGCCTCCTATCGCGCCAATTGATTTGGGTCACTCACCACGCTCAGGCAGGTCAACGGAGGTGGGATCAACAGTGAAGTCGGTGATCTTGGCGGCGGAGGCAAGGCCGGCGGCCATGGCGAGGACGAAGATGGAGCGCATGTTGTCTGAGTGGTGGTGGTGACTTCGGAGTTAAGAGAAGAGCTGCAATGGTTTGGAGCTTGAGAGGTATGATACTCTGTAGAATGCGGAGAGAGGATTGACGATGAGAAGTGATGATGCGGAAGGGAAGGGAAGAGGGGAAAAAGACGGGGGAGGGTGTGAGTGAAGAGGGCAACGGTTTGAGGAAAAAGGTGGAGGAAGGGGAAGGGAGCACAGATCAGGTCCGGAGGCAGAGGATATCGTGGGACGGAAAGGGAAGGGAAACTGGGGGGGAGGTATTGTTGACAGGGGTGTACCGGGGGAGGGGACCTTTTGGGGGTGGGAGTGACGAAAGATTTCATGTTTGAGCTTCTTGGCCTCGGGCTGTCTTTTGGTTCTTTTTCTCTTTTGTTTTCCTTTTCTTTTCTTTTTCTTTTCTTCGCTTTCTTTTCTTTTTCCACTCTCTAATTACCCCGACGGTACCTCGTGGACACCGTTCAGTTATTTCGCTACTGAGTGGGCTCACTGTTATTATTTTTCTCGGCGTAGCGCAGAAGCGCGGTATCAATTGAAAGTCGTTCACGGCCCGGCGGACAAGAGACGGTACCTGGAGGGGGAAGAGCTTCAAGGGCACCAGACGAGCCAGATGAGGGCTAGCGAGGCAGGTACGGAAATCCCGTGGAGCGGCGATAGCGCGAGGGCTCGCCTTGATTTGCTTTACCACGGGAATACGGAAGTGCGCTACTCCCCCAACGCAATGCAAGCGTGGTGCCTCTCCAAGTAGGTCCAAGTATTACGAAGTGGCTCGCCAACAGGTTGCTGCGACCCTGGCAATCTGGGACCGCGCCGGTTGCTCGTGCGACTTCGTACTTAGTGGGCGGGCCCACGATCGTAGTGTCTGGGTCACGGCTGTTTCGGGGTGCGTGGAATACTTCGTAGTAGTGTCTGTCCATGCTCGGAGAAAGCTCGTCACGCACTGCTCTTTCCCTCCCCTCCCAGGTCGACTAGCCTTTCTCGGCAGTCCGTGCCGTCTTGTTTCGCTGGCAGCTCTTGTTTGCGAGAAGGTGGATCGATTATTATTCTTTTCTATTCTGTTTCTTTTTCTTTTTCTTTTCTTTTGGGCTCCTCCAATCTATTTTGCCAATACGAAGACCAGCATTGGCGATGAGTTATTTTACGCCTATCGCGATCAAATGCCCATTTGTGAGGGGTTGGTTCCTCTCAATGCCATTCTCCGATATCCGACGAGGTGGTTCTGGGTCGGTTCAACCGACCCATGTGAAGTAGAGGAGGAAAAGGAAAAAAAAAAAAAGAAAAAAAAAAAGGAAGAGAGCCCGGTATCAATCCATTTCCCTTGGAGGTTGGGCGTCGGAAACCAAACCAAGAGCTGCGCTAATACACCACACCAGCTATTACCACCAAGCAGAAGGGAAGGGAATGGCCGAGCCAATTCGATCAATTATAAGTCAGTCGATGCTAGCCCGATTGGGTGAGGGTGTCAACTCTTGGTCCCGGTTTCCTGTTGACTTGATAGCTCCATCCACAGCGCAAGTGGATTCGTCCAAGATGGAGAACGCGACGGAAGCAGCAACCCACAGCACCTTGCTGGATTCGCTCCATTCTCCTTCCCGAGGGCAGACAGCCTGCATCTGCATACATCGTAACTCGGCGGCGCGCTCCGTTGTCCTCGTTTGAAGAACATGATCGTCGTCATCAATCAATACTAGATTTGCAGACTTCCCGGTTTAGAGGCAAAAGTTCGAGTATCGCCTTGTTTCTGGCGGACCCTCACTTGCCTCAACAACCCACGTCCGGTCTCGACACCTGATCCATTGTCCCCCGAGTTAGCCTCAGCTCTTTGCCCCCTTGTCTTCCCCTTCGAGTGGTGGGTTCTTGGCGAAATGGCATTTGTGGAACCGTGGTCATGAAAGAAGCTGGTTTTTGTTTTCCCGCCTGTCCCCCACTGGGGCCCTCCCAAGTTGAGAGAAAGAAAAACCCTTCATCTTAGCACAGTTCCCTCCCCACCTGAAGAAAGGAAAGGGAAAAAAAAGACTCGGTGGTTTCTTCTCTCACCGGATACTTCCACTGCCTGCCTGCCTTTGCCCTTTTCGGGGGTGATGATCAGGTTCGCTGGCTGGCTGGCCCCGGCACTCTGCAGCGGTAAACTGAGTGCATGCATCCTGGATGCTGGATCGATTGATATTATCTCGCTGACCGGCCCTTTGTTCTCAAGTCAACTGCTGCTTGCTCTCTAGTAAGAATCCCAGCCCCTCCGCCGTGGTTCGCCAAGTCAGGTCAGGCACTGTAGTCGTCCAGGTCGGTGGGAGGCATGGTGACGTCGACCAGGACCAATTGAATCATGGTCTGTGAGCTAATTCAGCACTACACGCACTGCACGCACCATGATCAATTGATGTGGCTGGATCGATCCATTGGATCCATTGGATCAATTGGTAATACTTGTACATGTCAGAGATGGTTGGGCAACCGACCGATGTGGTTAACCAGCCAAGCCAGCTCAGGTCGACCCCTGGGCCTGGCCTGGCCAGGCCAGCCTTCTCAGCGGCATCCACACCACCCACTACTTCTAGGTTGACGTGGAGCCGGCTTCAGCGCGACTGGGGTGCTTGCTGTGCAGGCCCGCCGCCACATCGTGAGAAGATGGTAGGCCTCTTGCCAAGTCGGAAAGGGCAAAGAAATTGTGCGGTGAGGCCCGGCCAAAATGACTTGGCATCAAGAAAATGTCAACGATTTTGCCATATGCCCACCAACATCATGAGTATGGACGCGAGCACATACAAGTATCATGATGGTAAATGGGGGAAGGACAAGTCTGGAGAAATTTGTCCAGCAACCAGCAACTAGCAACTACAAGTAGCAACCGGGAGAATATTATTAGAGGCAATGGTCTCATATCGCAAAGGACCACTTGCTCCCGATGGTCCTCATAATTCCGTGGCGGGAAGATGCGGCCGTTGGCTCCAACGCCAAGTGTTTCTGCGGATTGATTTGCTGATGGTGATAAGGAATTATTGACCTCCCAGCCAACCCTAGTGTGTTTGTTTCAATTGCCAGGAGTGGTCTTGTGTTTGAGAACCCTGTCCCAAAACCACAGCGAAATGACGATAATTTTTCTTTTTTTCTTTTTCCCCTTCTTTCCTTTTTCACTTCTTTTTCTTTGAGAGGACGGGAAGGCAGGATATTACTCTCAGGTAATTACTGGGTGGCCTCGCCGAATAAGGTCGGGGATCTGCAGAACGAGATGCCTCCCCACACATACCCAAGCCGGGAAGAACGGCTAATACTGGAATACTGGTTGGTACCCTTGACTATCAGTGGAGACGGGCAAGAAAGTTCGATAGACGGAAAAGAAAAATCGCGATGCCCAATTTCATTTTCGGGCGTGTCCCGCGATCGACATCGAGTTTGTGATCCCGCTATTATTATCGCCCTCTTGCCCAACATTGAATGTACAAAGTTCTGTGCACCTATTAGCGCGACAGCCCCAATCCACTTCGTAGCTATCATGAAGCCGTTGTCTTCTTCTCTTTCTTCCCTTGTTCCTCATTCCCGAGGAACGGGAGAGATCAATTGGGTGCACATATGATAATGCCAGCGTTTTATACGATGACGGGACTTCTCCCTTATTTTCCCGCCCAAACGATATTTGCAATTGATCCATCATTGATGTGCATAGTGAGCCTTGTGAGCCTCTCGGTGTTGCCTTTCCAGATTTATTGAAGGCTCACACAGCCGTCCAATTGAAGTGAAGAGCCTATTATCAATTTGATCCATTGATCTATGGATCCTCTTGTGGAATCAATCTCGCTGGCGAGTGCTCCCAAGCCACAGCCGGCACGAATCAAAGAGCATGCAGACTGGACGCAGACTTGACTCGGGAACCACGCCAGGCCAGACGCCCGATGGCTGATGGCTGATGGCCGATGGCTGATGGCAGATGCCTTGAAGGCCCGCACGAGCCTAGGCCTGGTGTGGGCTTGAGCATTACCACCAATCAACGGTGAATGGGCTGTCGATGTTCTTCCTGTTGCTTCAAGCCCCCAAGTATAGAGCGTATACCGAGGTACGCAGAGCATATATCTCATGGCACTGCCCAATCCTCGAGTCAAACCCTTGGGTCTCGGAGAGGCTGCAGGTGAGCTCAGGCTCAGTGCTTCTTCCCTCCAAGGGAACATTGAATATTGTGTATAATAGCGCGCGAAACAACACATTGAACAGCACGAAGGCAATGGCACAGGTCCTCGAGGTCTTCAAACCAATGACGTCCCTCCCCTACATGGGGCCCTCCCGCTGCGGGAGGCAAGTCCTCTACCAGGTGTTTGTTTCTGGGCCCTTGTTCCAAAGCTGGGGACCTAGGTTCGACTAGAATTGCCCGAAGCCATGATGGTCAAGTGGTGGAGGGTGAATAGCACCATTGAGCAACTCCTTGCAGCCAACCTCACACCCTCAGAGACTGCGTCCAACTTCGCTGCCTGCGTAGGACATTCACCCACTTCGTGGAAGACTATATGTAGGGTATGCACTCGGCCCTCGAGATTCAGACAGTAACGACAGAGAAGAAGAAGAAGAAGAAGAAGAAGAAGAAGAAGAAGAAGAAGAAGAAGAAGAAGAAGAAGAAGAAGAAGAAGAAGGAAAAGGAAAAGAGAAAAGAGAAAAAGAAAAGAAAGTGATGGAAGAGAGATCCCCTCTAGTTCGTTCGTCATCATGGCACCGGATCAGAGCTTCCCCAGAGTTACACAGAGAAATGTGAACTGAGCATTGTGCGACCGCGCCATTGTCTGCATCGCTCCCCGGATTGGCCCACAGGCACGCCACCACAAGAACACTGAAGGCGGCAGGCAACATGAGCGCCTCCCGCCTGCCTCGAAGCAAGGGGGACGGGGACTCACAACGATGGTGACATCCATCTCGTCTGTGTTGACCTGCTCTCACCATCCTCGGGCTGCTGGCTCGTTGTTTTAACAATGGGTAATAGACATGGATGATTTCTTTTTATTTCTTTCTTCTTCAAACATTCACCCTCATTCCCTTTCTGGCGTATCGTAGATCGCGGCTTCGAGGTCGCTCTCGAACATGGCAGGTCTTCTGGTCTCCGACGCTCCGGGATTGCGGGCCAACTTTGGCTTTTGATGCGCTGTCGAGGACACCAAAATCTGACGCGCCACCAATAGTTTGTGAGAAGGTCTGGTCCTTGCTTGCCCTGCCTCGCCTAGTGACCCCAACCCTAGAATACGAATTCGAGATCAATCCCACTCTACTCAGGCTAGCCCCGCCGCTCTGTGACCCCTTTGCCGCCCTAACTGGCGCCGTAAGCTGACAGCATCTCCCGCCTATCTTCCGCTCATACATGGGCCCCCTTGCCCCCTTTTTGCGGCTGTGTTCATGGACCCTTTCCCCTTCCATATATTCACCCGCCAGCCCACCGAGAAGGTGACAAGGTCAAAAGAAGAAGGAAGAAAGAAAAAACACGATACGCGCGCGAGAACAGAGAGAGCCTCGCCCGAACACACACACTATCCCTTAAAGCTTCTAGAAGCTCCGAGGCGGAGGGATAACGAACCTATAAAAACCAACGCCCGCAGCAGCCATGCCCGAGACAATCCCCACTGTAATCGGCGGCGGCGCCGTCGCCTTCGCCGCCCTTGCGCTCTGGCTCGCTCACATCAACCGCTACATGGGCACCACGCCTCCCGAAGCCCTCGCCTTCACTCCGCACCGTTGGACCAAGAAGGAGATTACCGACACGTATGACCGCATCAAGAACGGCGGTCTCGACTGGACGCCGCACCTGCCGCCCAAGCTCGACCGGAGATACATCGTCGTTGGCGGATCAGGTCCGTCAAGAACAGACACCCCCTTCCCAACACGAAGCCCCCAAAAAAAGGTTGTGTTGCGGTTAAAACTAACAGCGTCGCATCGTCAGGTCTCGTCGGCACCACCCTCGTCCTACAGCTCCTCGCCCGCGGCCAGGACCCCGCCGCCGTCCGCATCATCGACTTCCGCGGCCCTTCCCACGACGAGCTCCTCTCAGGCCCCGGCGCCGAAGTCGACGTCGCCCTCGCCGACATCACCTCGCCCGAAGCCATCGCCGCCGCCTACGCCAAGCCCTGGGCCGACCACGTCCGCGACCTGCCCCTGACCGTCTTCCACATCGCCGCCGTCATCCGCCCCTCCGAGCGCCACCCCCTCGTGTACGACCGCTGCGCCCACGTCAACGTCCACGGCACCGCAAACTCCCTCGCCGCCGCCCGCGCCGCCGGCGCCGACATCTTCGTCGCCACCTCGAGCTCCAGCGTCGGCCAGCTGCCCATCAACTTCTTCATCGCCCCCTGGGAGAGCGAGCCCCGCCACTTCACCCAGGTCATGACTGAGGACGACTTCGCCAAGCCCGTCCGGGCCCCCGATCAGTACTTTGGCAACTACGCACACACAAAGGCCGTCGCCGAGCGCCTCGTCTGCGACGCCAACGAGTTCCCTGCCGGGGTCGAGGGCGCCGCCCTCGCCAAGCCCGGCGGCTTCCGTACCGGCATCGTCCGTCCCGGCAGCCCCATTTACGGCGGGCCCCAGGACGCCGTTCTCGGCCTTCTCCTCGCCTCCAAGGATCCCTCCCCGACCTTTACCGCTCCCTGGATCCAGAACTGGGTCAGCAACCGAAACGTTGCCATGGCCCACCTCCTCTACGAGCAGCGCCTCCTGTCCCCCACGCTCGCTCCCTCGCCGCCCGCCCCTTCCTTGTCACCGACGATGGCCCCCGTTCTCTTTGAAGACTACTACACCCTCGCCCGCACCACCGTTGCCGAGAACCCTCCCGTGCTCCAGTACCCTCCTCCGGTGCTTCTCCTAGTTCTCGCCCAGCTCATCGAGTGGTACTGCATCCTCCTCTGGAGAATCCCTCTACTCAAGCTCGTCTTCTCCGAGCCGGGCTTCCTCTGTACTGGCTCCAGCCTGCTTGCTTCACAACCTCAGCCAACGTCATCATTGATGATTCCGCCGCTAGGAAGCCACCCGAGCAGGGCGGCCTCGGATATAAACCCGTGTGCACAACGATGGAGGGCCTGTGCCTACAAATATACCAGTGGAACGAGACACATAGCAAGGGTGCCGGTGGGAAATCATATTATAAATGATGCAATGACTAAAGGAAACGAGGCAAAGGAGCTAACAACCAACCTACACTACGGCATATCCGTATTGGTTTAAGAAGCTTTAGAATCCCAAATACACATTTTTTCTCCTTCCCCTTCTAAAAGCTCATCATCGCCTGTCTCCATTTCATTTCGTCTCTTTTTGTCCGTGACACATGGTTACCTTGGAGAGCCCTTCCAGAGAATGGCAAATCCATGAAGCTGAGAGGATAATAACGAGACATCTAGTTACAGAGAAGCCAAAACTAGGCTCCGATAGTCCGCACCTAGTTTTCCAATTCACTTCCGTTCCGCTGAGCGACGTGCCGCCCACTCTGTGTTGAGTGAGTGATACCGGCCATTATCGTTAAGCCCCCACGCCGTCGGTCCACTCTACCATACCTACTGCCGCCGTGTAAAAGCTTTCAAGAATCCCCTCCCCCTCAACTCATCAGCTGTCCAGAGAGCCTCTTCGCCAAAGGCTAAGTCTTGATTCCCACGCAGCATCCTCTCTACCGCCATAGATGATATGCACGCCTCATACCATGTATTGGCTAGGCCATAGTTCGCATCCTTATCCGAGGCCGTGAGGATGAACCGAGTGTGCATATAGTCCCGGCCAGCCCGTTCCCTCCTGCAGCGCGTATCTTGCAGCATGCTAATTGAAAGGCGGACCTCTTTACAAGGATCTTCGTAGAGCGCAACGTGAATGATCTCCGCCCCATAAATGACTACGTTGAAGCGAGGATCGAGCTCAAATGCGAAGTGCGGCTCTCCAACCGATGTGGCTTGTCTATCAACGCATCAGAGTCATTACCAGGTTGCTTCTTGGGATTTTGGATAGGAGAAAAGGACCCATGAGGAAAAACTTACATCTCCATGCTTTCCACAATGGAACGAGCAAATTCAGCGTACTTTCCTTGCAAATAATCCGTATCGGTAACCTCAAGAACAGCGTGCAGGTCCCACGATCTGTTCGCGCAATGAACATAAATGAAATCCACACGACTACCCTCATTGTTAGACGTAAAACTAAAAGTCGAACCCTCTGGCTTCACGAGCAAAGTGAACTTGGTGCCTGTTTTGGCATCCCGGCACTTCATGCTGTACAGGATCTCGGTTGACTGCAAGGCCCACGAAATTTTCTGTCCGCCATCTATGCTCCATGACGCTTTGGAGACCCTATTCACATCTTGTGCCCGTGTGGACAATATAGGGTGGAAACGAACGTGATCCTCGCTTAGGAGCGCAAGCTCGCTGAGGAGGTGGCAGATACGAAACTTGGCGGTTGGCGTGTCACTTTCTGCACTATGAATCGCCCTCTCGTCAATATCTTGCAAAACTATCCGTCCGAGAATGAACCGCATCTCGACGCAGCCCGTAAGCCCCTTTGCCTTGCCAACCATCTGGATTAGTCGCTCCTCCAGGGCACTCTCGAAAGATTCCCTGTTGCTTGCGCTCGCTTCCGTGAGTGGGAAGAGTATCCGACTTTCCAGGGACTCACCCGTGAGGCCTGTACCTCGAACATCTGGGTCATACATGCTCTGGGAGCTAGCGTTTAGGTCGTCCATTAGGAAATCAGCAGCGCAGAGGGGTGGGCCATTTGCCAGAGTTCGCGGACCTTCGCCAATACTCTTCTTTATCCCCAAGCGAAACGGCACCCCCGAGTCTTGTTTTGGCAGGTAAGAATTCTCCTTACAAGCATGGTCATCAGCAAATTGGTGCCCCTCCGTATTTCGTGCCGAGGCAGGCGCAGGAGTCAATGGCGCCATGAGGCCCGCTAGATGAGTCTGAGAGTCATCGTCGTTGGTAAGATAGTCTATGGTTTCCCGTGTCGTTGGGCACTGGGCGGCTTCCTTTGATTTCGTGGCTGGTAGGGAGGTAAAGCTGATGAGGCTCGATGTGTCAGATATAGGAATGTTACACCGCCCGAGGAGGTCCCTGAAGCACGATTTGGGAATGGGTGGAGGATCCCAGAGCATGAGTACCGACATCCTCTCACCCCCAAGAGCCCAAAGTTTGGGTTCCCACTGTATTGGCATCGAAGTGCTTATTTGCTTCTCCTTGGGCTCTTTGTCCGTCACTGAACCGCTCGAGGCTGAGTCACTACTTTCATGGCCCGGGATCTTGACACTCTGTGCCCAACGCAGGATACGATCGTCTGCCGGTGCCTCGGATAGCGTATCCACCCTCCTTGAACTATCAGCGTTTGACAAAACGTCATCCACCACCTCTCCTCTCGTCGTGTGGTACAACCGAGCAAAAGTTGACATTTTTGGCGAATCTGATTCGGATACGGTAAGGGCCCGACCTTGGGGTGATGTTCTGTTGTCGATGGAGCTTTCTAGCAAGGACTGAGGTGACATGCCCTCGCTGGCTCGCTCTGGAGGAGTGGCGGCGACGTATGACAGTTTAGAAAAGGGATGAAACAGGCGAGGCTTGCTCAAAGTTTGCTTTCCTTTACGGCAAGAGGCAAGCCTCGGTCCCGCCCACTCTCTCTGGCCCGCTTCTAGCTCGCGATAAACTAGTACGCAACCCTTGGTGTACAGATCTCTGTACTCGATATCTGCGCGAGCTTCCGTAGTCTTTATAATCGTCGAATGGACAATGTCAAAGTCCCGGATACGTCTGATGTCAAGTGGGTACGACGGGACAAGACCTCGCGGAAGGATAAAATGGGAGGATGAGGGCGGACTCTGTTGCTATTCGGCAGGTTTCCAAGTTAGCGTTTGTTTCAAGTAAACCTCGCGAACCTCCCTCTGCCACTCACACGGTATCGGAGGAGCGTCTCTAGCTTTTGAACGGCGTTCTCAATGTAAACTTGCTCAGTGGCGCCGAGATAGATCGTGTCTTGCCCCAAGTTCCACGAGATCTGGCAGCTCCACAGCGACAAGAGGCTTTGTATGGACCCCCGAAAGTCCCCTTCTCTCTGCAGAAGACGCACTACATCGACTTTGTGCCTCCCAGCGCTGCATCGTATTCGCTGCCACACCGCCTTGAAGGGGAAAACTTGGAACATCTGCGGATATCGGCAGAACCCATATTCCCCATCTACATCTATATCCTCTACCCGGTGAGTGATGTCTTGTGCCCACCCAGCTTGGGAAGAGCTTGCATGGCCGAGTTCGTAATCTAGGTCGTTTCGATTCCGGAGCTTGATGAGGGTGGATTCTAAAAAGCGAGCTAAGGCGTCCTCTGCAAACGGGCGAGTGAGGCATTGAAACCAGGGGACGGTTGGCTCGTAAAGAATCTCCACAAACTAAGAGAAAGACAGGGTGATTCATCGGTTAGCATGGCGGGAAATGAAGAAACCCGCATCAGGGGACCGCTTACGGGGATTTCAGTCTTCTTGACTTGCTCAAGGACATATCTAACCCCGCTAGGTTTCAACAGTCGAGAACAGGGGATTCTGAACTCCACAAGCGGCATCCTGGCATACAGGATCCTGGGGAAACTGGGTTCAATATGGTGTGGTGTAGAGGTTTTGAGTGTAGGAGTGCCAAACGGGGTGGTAGGTAAAAGGATGATGATGGATTGGATTAGGAGGTGATGGTGGACCTAGAGGTGGTGGAGATGGTGGCAGGATATAGGCAAGAAAAAAGTGGCTTGAGAGGGAGGGGGAGGCAATGAGTGGGTTGGCACCTCTGTTGTTACTTGTAGACAAAGGTTCAGAACAAGAGATCTAGGGAGGAAAGTTCTTCATATGCAGCGTTGATTCAGAGAAGGTCGGAGAGGCGATAGAACCTTGGAACAAAAGGAAGGCACAGGCAAGGAGTATGAGATTAAAGGCAAAGGTGATTAAGAGTGGAACAGGCCTCCTTGATGGCTGTCTGGATGACACCCTCATGATATCAGAGCAGCCATCAAGTCGATCAGAGGGACCTCGGAAGGAGAACTGGCTGTTTCCATCAATGCTCTTCAACCCGAGGCTCTCAAGGTGATGTGCTCTATCAAGGGATCCCTCACAAGAATAGGACGACTCACGATGAGGACTGAACCAAGTATCCCCCTGACGGAATCAAATAAGTTGCATGTATTGTATCAATGTATCCTAGGTGTAGAAATAAAACAAGCAGGGTATAAGTAGCCCTCCCATGGATGAACCCCTAGCCATTATATTCTTCTTTCGTTACAAACGTATATGCGCGCTGGATGAGGATATAGGTATCCTCATGTCCTCCCTTGCCATCTCATGCTCGCCCAACCAGGTTATCTTGACTTGGGTGCTAGGTGCTTCGAGAATAGAGAGAGAAGGGAGGGGGAGGAGGGAGAAGAGGAAAGAGAGGGAAATTGAATCGAAAGCAAAAGAGGTACTTGGTAGAGTACTGAGAAAAGAAACAGGTAAACAGATGTCATGAAGGAGTGTATGTAAAAGGAAGAAGGAAAAAGAAAAAGAAAAGTGAGCTAGTGCATTGGTATGTTGGAAGCATCAATCATTCTTTGTATCCCCCAATTTTTCGCCTTGGTACTGTGAGTGTGATACCCGATGAGGATGAAGAAAAAGAAAAAAGGAAAAAAATCCCAGTCCCAGCTGTACCTTGCCTATAAACGCCACCCGATGGGGAAAAAAAGAAGCTTTCAAGGTTGGGGAAGAAGGAGGATGAGGAAAGCGGAATCGGGGTAACTGTCGAAAGAGAAACCAAAAAGGGAGGGAGAAAGATAGGTTATCGTGGAGACCAGAGCCTAGTGCCGAAAGTGGCAACGTTAAATGATCGAGGCGGAGAGAGCCAAGGTCAACCTGATAAGGGGCGACGGGTGTTTGACCGCCTTATCATCGTTTCTGACTGAGAGTTGCTGGCTGGCCAGGTGAGGGCGTGGGCGACGAGGGCGCGTTTCATGTGCGCGTTGGTCACTGAGAGATTACTGCGCTCCTTTAACGTTTTCCTTCACATTAAGCGCCCACTTCAACTTGGCCAAAGTCTGTCTCGTTTCTTCGAGGAGCCGCTCCTGCTCCTGCTCGCGGGAGTGAGCGTTGAGCTTGACGTCCCTCAGCCAATTCTCCTGTTCCTGCTTGTACGCCTCAAACTGCCGGGCAATATCCTCCTTTTGATGTACCAGCTGCTTGATATTGCCGTCCTGCTGGTCGCATAGCTCCTGGAGGGTGGCAATCTTCTCGTCGTCTTTGCGCCTTTCCTCGACTAGCTCTACAATTTCGCCGCGGAGCACGGTGGCGGCGCGCTTGACCTCCTCTCCCTGGTCCTTCCAGTGGGATGAGATGGAGTTGTAGCGACCTTCCATGAGCAAGGCTTGAGCGGTGGCGTCTTCGACTTGGATCTTGGCGTCATGTTGGGCCTTCTCCATCTCCTCACGCCAGTTGCGTTCGCGATCGAGCGCGACAGATGCCTTTCTCCGTTCCAGCTCGATGGTGGCGTTGAGCGACTCGACCTGGCGCTCTTTGCGGGCAAGCAGCGTCTTGGTCACGTTCGCCTCGAGGAGGCGGCTCTCGTAATCCTGGATCAAGCGCTCCATCTTGTCCTCTACCAGTTTTGCCGCCTGCTTGGCCTCGTCGGCGCGCAGTCTCTCGATTTTGATATCTCGCTTGAGGGCTTCATTGTCACCGACAAGCTTGTTGATCACGCGACCCGTCTTGCCTAGTCCAGCCTTGCCGATTGTCGAGTCCCATGGTTGGGAAGATTGTTGGTCTTGGGAGTCGGAAGGGTTCGTTGGCGCATTGGTGGTACTGGGCATCATGCTCGTGCGGGATAGAGGGGTCGGGGACGACGAAAACTGTTGTTGAGAGGGTAATGCGGGGAGTTCGCGGTTAAACCTCGAAGGGGCTCTTCACTGGGCTCTCTTTTGCTCCAAGGGCTTGGGGAGTCGACCTTTAACCGGACTGTAGGCATGCTATCGTCGTCGTGGTTGCTCATCATGGAGATTGCGCTGGCGTTACTCGTCACAGAGCTCGAAAAGGCCGAGGTCTTGGTTGTCACGGATGGCGTATCGGAGCTGGTATCCGACAAAGGTCCTTCAAAACTAGGAACCGTCCGAATAGTTGACTGCATCTTAGGGGTGTTGTTGTTGGGGTAATGATGGGTGGAGGCAGCGTTGGGCGGCGGCTCTGGGGTGAGCTTTCGTCCGGGTGCCAAATGATCTTGTGAGTAATAGGTGCTCGCGACCGTCATACTCTGCGAGTGGCCGTGACGAGCAGCGTGGGAGGTTGGGGGCGCATCGGCGCCTGGCTTGCGGTCGGGTGTGCCGGGACGAGTGCGAGATTGGGCGTGTTGAGGTTCTACTTAGCACGAGACCACGGGGTTCCAAAATTAGCCACCCAGAGCAAAATCTCGGCACTGGTATCAAAAAGTGGTGGGACCCTGAGACACCAAGAGTGGAATGGAAGGGCACGCAGGAGGCAGGGAGAGAGAGGAAGAAAAAATGTCTCGGGATGCGGTGCGGTACTGGAGGGCTCCTCTAAAAGGGAAAATGGATGAGGGACCCAAGAAAAAGAAGAAGAAAAAAGGAAAAAAGACCAAAAAGTCGACCAGGCAAAGATAGAGAGGGGAAGGGCTGTTTGTGGCCGTGTGGACGACGACTTCGACAAGCACAAGGACGAGGCTTAAATGTTTAAGAGACTAGAGGCAGAGACAGAGTGTGTGGAAATGTGTGGAAGGAAAGATGAGCATGTGTCGTTTCAGTGTCAAGGATAGGCTGGCTCTAATGCATGAGCCATGAGGGCCATGAGCATGACGGGGTTGAGTCGAGGAATATTAAGGGACAAGGTGCATAATAAGATGCACTAGCATTTAGCACCAAGGGACCGCCCCAGAGAGGAGTTGTCTTTCCCCTTTCGATTGAGTGATTGATGCTTGATTCTTCTTTTGATTTGATGTTCAAATAGTGACTTACCCTTTTCGCTCAACGAAAATACACTAGAAATAGAGGCTTTAAGATTCCTCGAAGATTTGGATTTTCGGTGTTTGATAAGTCGGTTCGCCATTGTTAATGGTTCATCTCTGGTGGAGAGAGACGAGTGGGGAGTCCAGCAGAAGACCCGGAAGAGGGAAAATCAAAATAAAAGGGTTGGAATCCAAACAGGATGAGATAAATAAATAAATGGTCTAGGACGCGCGGGTGGTGACACCGGCGTTCGCAGTTCGCGGTGCGTGCAAGGCAAGTATTGCGCTTCCTCCAAAGTCGCCAGCCGTGTTTGCTCTCGCCTTGTTATGTGGGAAGTGGGAAGCGAGCGACAACGAAAACCAGTCGCTTGAAGTGGTCGCGTTGACCTGGCCTTGGATCCCAAAGTCAATTGATTGCGGATGTTTTGGCTGGAAGGGGTCGGGGTCGGGATCTGGGTCTGGGTCTGGGTCTGGGAGTGGCCGTTGCTTGGGTATTTTGTCGACGCTAAGACGAGGGTCGAGGTACTTGTCGGGCGGTGGCGTGGCGAAGCCAAGCCTTGTATCGCTGAAGTGGGTGTAGAACAAGAATGAAAGAATGCGCCTTTCAGGATCAAATCGATGGATTCCTCCTTGTTTCGTGGGAGCCTAGTGTATAATAATCGGGAGAATGGCACGACACAGAGCGGACGCTAAAATGGCTTCTACTTGGAAAAGAAAGAAAAAAGGCCGGTTTATCGATTAGTCAAAACAGAGGGTCGCTGGGCGTCAAACGAACGAACATCCACAATGGCTCGTCGATGTAGCACAGGGGACGGGTCGAGGACAGGAATCGATCGCGGTTATTCGAAGACTGTGTGGGTGGACGGGTTCCCCAAAATGGCTGGCTGCCGTGACACCGTTTTGGTGTGTTCGCGACGGCAGAATGGGCGTTGATGGCCGTGGTGCCGGCTTCGTCTCGCTCGCTCGCTCGGGAAGATCGCGAAATCAGGCGAGAGACGGGAGTGAGCGTCCAAAGGCTCGAGATCCGTGTAGGAATACAGTTCTGGTGTGTCCAAGGTTGGCGGGCGGGGAAAGAACAGCACGAGGAGGAAGTGGAAGAGGTTGGCGGCCCGTCGATCAGATGTGTCTGAAGGGACGGAGAACGATAAAAGCGAGGAAGATCAAGGCACGGGAAGGGTGAAGGGGGAGTGGGTTGCTGGGATCAAATACTCGAGTGCACCAGGTGGAAGAAATGGAGACGAGAGGTTGAGAAACCATCCCCTGAAGCTATTGCAACCCTTTTGTTCCCTTCTCCTTCCTGACTTCCTGAGAGAGTCACAGTGGGCGCGTCATCCCAGGGGGTGGCCATGGTCATGGTCATGGTCATGGTCATGGTGGTCTACATGTTAACGAGCGTAATATTCGTAAAGAGAGGGCGAGGCAGCATGCGCAAGGTTCCTTCCGCCTCGACCAGCCATGCCTCCCGTTGTTTCTTTTTCCTTTCTTTTTTCCCTTTTCCTGTCCTTTCTTGCCGGGAATGGCTCCATCGCCATCACAACATCGATCGATTCGTCCAACCGGTACGGGTTTACGAGGTACTCCTAGGCTGGGCTGATCAAAACAATGGTGAGGCGAAGGAAACGCTGCAATGTACACCTCGCCGGAATTCGCTCGGTACTCCCAAAGTCTCCCTCCAAGTTGATACCTGGAACCACAGCCCAAGGTCAGCTTGCAGGGGTTCGATCTCGTTAAACAGCGACATGGCTTGGGGGTAGCCAAAACCCTTTCCTGAGCCGGGCCCCGTCCCCTCCCCTCCACCAATATCACGTACAGAAAAAGTGGACGTCAAAGCAATCAACGCCGACTTTCCCTCGTGGGCGGTCCACTGAGCTTGATGTTGAGGCCTTCCAAGTCCACACGAGCGACAAAAGTATTAGCAGATCTCCCCTGCATCCATGCGTGCCCCTGCCGGAGACCCACACCATCATCTGCCTGCTTTCCGTCTCAAAGGGAGGACGGGGCTGCCCTCTGACCTCAAACATTTCAACGTTGAGTGGAATGGAAGACCAGCTGGGCAAGTTCTCGCGCAAGAAATAAAGCCTTTGCTGTTGGAGGAAAGCCTAAGGGGACGACCAAGTATGTCTGAGAGAAGCAACGATAAACCAACGATAGATATCAAAAAAGAGACAAAGTGAACGAAAATCAATTTAGCGTAGCAAGACTAGTAATTCTCTCTCTGCTCCGTCTCTGACGTGCTTTGCTTTTTACTCACTCCCTCGGCCTTAAAAGACCGCCCTTGCTTGTTGCCCTGGCATCCTGCGTGTAATCTATGTACGGAGCCCATACATGGCATACATGGCATATCTGCACAGTTCCTGCTCCCTGGAGCCGGTCCGCTAACTGTCTTAGTCTGAATGACCTCATTCAATATTTTCACGTCTCCTTGAACTCCGTGCTCTTCCTTTAGAACTGGTGATTCTCTTCTTCAGTGATGCCATCCGCGACTTCTCCCTCAGTCCTCTTGCACGTACGCACGCACACACGCACGCACGCGACGCTAATATGGAGAGTTCAATGTTGGCGCGGGGTCTCGAGCCGTGGCCGAGAAGCCCAAGCGTCCGGCAAGATCGGATCTGAGCGGCGTTCCTGTCAAAAAGGAACATGAAATACTTCAATGTTGTATCCCAGGCAAGTACGAAGTACGTGTAAAGAAGGAAAAGGACGGAGACGACGGGAATAACTCAATGACTAAGATGTCGGTCCAGAGCGAACCGAAAGAGATTTTTTTAAAGCGTTTATATCTTATTAGAGTATTTCCTTTTGTTTTTATCTAATATTGAGATGAGAGACCCCTTTCTCACAAACCATGGGTCGGCTTCCTGGGTTAGAACCTCTGGAAGGGCAATCTCGCGAGGGGAAGAAACTTTGTTTTCAGCCCCCTTCTTCTTCTCCCTCTCCTTCTCCCCACCAAGCAATGTCGGGTCGGTTGGCATAAAAACTATTATGAGGAATGCTCGTTAAAGAGAAGTGAGGTTCCACACCTCGGCCAAACCCGATGGTTCGGTATTATTATTCGAGAGAAAGGTGGCGTTCCCAGGATCTTCGCCGTTATCGACAAGGATCCATGGACATGACAAGGGGTCGAATGAACAAAGAATATGCAAACAAAAAAAAAAAAGGAAGAAGAGAAGAACAATCTCGGCATTGAGCAATCTTGGGACTGCAAACGGCGTCCTCGGCCAGCATTGCCGAGCCATGACAGCAATGTTCAGAACCATGGTCCACAACGTCCTGGTCTAGTGTTTGCGAACGCCGCCACTCCCGTGCCCATGGCCCTCTCACCAGCCAGTTCTGAGCCCGGCTGAGCGCGGCCGACGGCTCGCTGCCGGCAGGATTGCCCTCCCGTTATTCTCCAGAATTCCGTGATAATGACTAGGCTACCCTCCCCAACCGCCGACAGCAGGCTTGCCCAAGGTTCCCTCTCCATCTCATGCTATTGCTAAGGCCAAGGCTTAGACCAATATATTCGGGTGGGCGAGAGCACAGCGTCGCAAGTGTGCAGACCCAGCAGGACGCCGGAAGCAAGTAAATGGAATATCACCAAGGGCCAAACGGGTTGGAAAAGGAGGTCGGAAAAATTGTCAATGGTGGCACTATTCGACTAGTTGCCCATGCCCTCAAACGCCGCGCTTTTGTTTGCTAACCCCCATATAGACCATGATACATCCCTCACATTGCGTCTCAACGTTCGGCCCACGGATCCCGCGTCGTGCTTTCCTCGAGGCGAGGGAAGCTCTAAAAGAAAAGACACTTGCCTCACCTATTCGTACGGAAACCAGAGAGAACCCCAAGATATACATACAATATGTTGAGAAAAAGAATAGCACGATATGCAATTACGCCGTCACACCGCCATTGGGCGCTGCTGGTGCGGCTAAAGGTGCTGCTGCTGCTGCACTGGCTGCCTCACGCTCTGCCTTTTCTAGCGACGCTGGCCGATACTTGGCCAAGTATTTCCCTGCCGTCGGCCTTGCATCTTCATCTGCGTTGTAGGGGCAACATGTTAGCCGTAGATCCAAAGTCTGCGCAAAATAGGTCTTGGTTTAACTTACATTCTTGCCAAATCCCTTCCACCGTGTCTAGTGCAAGCTCGCGCACTGGAGGCTTCATCATGATTAGATAGAGTAGGCTAGTCAGGGCGAGACCAACTACTGTCGGATCGCGGCACATGTGTTTTATGCGCGAGAGTATGGCCGGACTCAGCTGCGGAATCTCAGCCAAGAAGCGCGTGAGGATCTTGTCCTGCGGGTGGAGGTAGGGGAGAATGCCGTCTAGGAGCTTTAGCGCCAGCTTCTCATAGTGGATCGGGCTATCCGACGACCTGGCCGCTTGTAGCCTATCATTCAGCCACTCTTCGCAAAGCCAGGCGACGGCAACGTCGATCCGCTTTCGGAAATCATCCACAATGTATGTATGGAGTACGCCGCGTATGTCGTTACTTATAGAAACGGATGTCCCGCCGTCTTCGTCCTCCTTCTTCGGAGAAATGTCGTCTAAGCCAGCGCTCGACTGGGCGGCAAGTCGGACTAGGAGAGTGACTAGGGAATCACGGTCACCGAAGCTGGAAGCGAACCGGTTAAACCCGACCTTGGGCTTCTTCGCTGCGGGATCATCGGATGTCTTGAGCTGCTCCACTAGTTGCGTGATGCTCATCTTGCCAATCGCAACGGCTCCGTCCGTTGTGAGAGGAGGCGCAGATGCTAATGTAAATGCCTCCAACTGGAGACCATCCTCTGCATGGGAAGGCTTCAACTCCGTGGACCCATCAAGTTTGTTGAGAATCTGCTCAGTATCCTCGGCAGCATAAAAGTCGGGCTCATAATCGTCGTCATCTTCTTCCACACCCAGAGGCGCGGTGTTGGGGTTGAGAGCTGGCGGCGCTGCGGCTAATGATGAGAGGCGATCTCGTACGGCCTAAGTTGGGCGTTAGAGGACGAAAGGGGAAGATGTTTATATATTGCCTTGTTAGATGCTGGGCTAAGGGGGATAGTAAGCTTACTTGGATAGCACGGTCGAGAGCCTGTCGGTCGACGTTGACAAGGGTCGAGACGTTTAGTCGCGCAACTAGAGCAAGGGGCACGCTACCCACGTCAAAAGACGAGAGTGGTGTCGACTCGGTTAAAGTAAACACGGCACCGAGGGTATGCGGTCCCGTGCCCAGCCGAGGAATCTCCTGGGGCGGCGGTGCCGCAACGCCCGCAGGCGACGTACGGAGGCGTTTAGCCTCGGAGACCTCCCTTTGTTGAAGATCCAAAGCTCTTTTCCTAGCTGTATCATCAAATATTTCGGCTTTCATCCTCATTAGGCGTTCAATCTGCTGGTGTATCCTCGGCGCGAGAGGGTGGTGGGGATCCCTAGAGATTAGTTAGATAGCCTGCCAGCATGACGTCGCGGGAGAGAAAGCGCATACCTTTTAGCAAGATGGATGAGGAACATTCGGGTCGTTTTCTCCATGGATTTGGCCATCACTCGATCCTTGGATGTCATGGGGGAATTGGCGAGCTTTAGAGGATTGAAGTTCAACACCGTGTTGACGATCCTGTTGGACGTCGCTGGTCGTGTGCGGACTAGGATAGAAAGGCAGTTGAGAGTTGCATCAACGACCAGAGCATCGCTGAGAGTAGAGCACGCCAGAGGCTTGGTTAGATGATATCGCAGTTTACATATTACACATCTTCTCTCTCGAAACCTACCTGCTGTTATCTTGCAAAACCCCCAGCATTCGGTCGAGCAGGCCGAAAGCTTCCGCCTCGAGCATCCGAGGGTCTAGCAAGGCATGGTTTGGCGGCACCTTATCAAGAGAAACGTCCAACCCCTCGCCACGCTTCACACAGTTAGTAGCTGCATTTCACATCAGCGAGATAGAAGCAGCAAAACATACCCTGGGTTCTGTTCCAGAAACAGACTGCGCGAGAACAACTTTCTGGGCGAATTTGATGCAGCAGATCTGAACAGACGGGTTCGCGCGGTCCCATATCTGGAGGATCCTCGTCTTGACGGCGGTGATTCGTTCCCAGGTTATTGTATCGTACGAATTTTCTATGCTATACGTGACATCAAGTTTGTCAGTTACAACGAACGGCATCGCTCGGTTGATATTGAGAGCAAGAGAGAAGCAACACTCACATCCATCGCAAGGTGATGGGATAGATGCTGGCGGCTGTTTGGATCATGCTTCGGAGCACGTGGGCATCTTCGTCTGGATTTTCTAGGATCGACTGGACGGTATCCAGCACAAAGGGTTGCATGGACTCCTTGTCCCTCGAGGGCAGGGCCGGTGTCGCAAAGGTATCCGCGAGGAAGTCGGCTGTCCATCGTCGAAGCTCAAGATGTGATGTTGGGGCGATGATGGGGAGGATTCCCTTGACGACCGAGGGATAGAGCTTCACATCGCCCAAGACCAGTTTTCGGGCATCGTTGAGTTGCCTTATGTGGTCTGAAACTGACAAAGAAGTGGCCATGGCGAAAGAAGGGGCGTGATATGGTGAGCCTGAGACGGCAGCTCAGGAGATGCGATCAGGTTGTCTGCAGCTCGAGGTGCATAGGTAAATTCGAGAAGCTCAAACGCAGAGAGGGACCGAAGCGTGAATCGATTCGTTTACATCGAAGGTCTAGAGTACGGCAGGGTATCGTAATGAATCGCGGCCGATGAGGGAGATGGCGTTGCGACGAGGGTGGCGGTCAGGTCGTTGTCGAAGTGTCTGCGCGTCGAATGAGGAATGAAGCAAAGCTTGCCTAGGGACGCGATGCTTGCGCGACAGATTTTCTGGGCCGTCGACAGCCCCAGTTGGAAAATCACGATTACAAGTCTGACCCGCCAGGATTATCAAAAACTTTCCCCGCCTATCCTACGATTTTCAGATTAATGGTATGAGAGGAAAACTTGGATAGGCGCAGCATTGGTGTTGAAAGAATTGGTGTGAGAGACGAAAGTCATTGCTGAAGCCCAGTTCAGATGGGTCAGATAATATTACTTCGTACCTCAGAAAACTTCAGGTACAGGTCGCAACTGCCCCAATAATAATCAAAGGCCAGACCAAAGGTACTTGGGTACTTGTGTTTCGTCGTCCTTGTCTTCGCTTCGGACAAGATTTGGATGCACGTCACCAATACAATTACCCACCACCAGGAGCAGATTAGCCGGATATTCACCGAATTACCTATGCCAGACACGCCACTACCAACGATACTTTTTCTTTGCGCGAAGTTGGCGAATAGGTCGTTCGGCTGTGACACCGATTTTATACCATACACTCAGACTATAATACGCAACAGCAACTAGTTTTTCGTGGCAATATCTCTACTCGTCTATCACGCTGTGCTAACATCACAATGGCTGGGTAAGGCACTTCTCCATTCCCTCTAATGGCCTTTAGCGGGCGTGACGATGTCTTTCTGCGACTCCTCTCTAACACCCAGGCCTCTTCGTTTAGTGCTCCAAGATCCACCTCCTACTACGACCGGAATCTGCGGCAAGGACCGGCCTTGATCCGCGCTCGTCGGCCATACCTTGTCAAAAATGCCGTCACTGGCCTGGCCCTTCTGGGTGTCGTTAGCGGTGTCTGTACGTGGCATTCCCCGTCCGGTCCCCTCTAAGCTTGCGTATGCCAGATACTAACTAATCTTTTTTTTTTTTTTGGCACAGACATGTGGACGATAAACGCCGTCGGTCAGGACAACTTCGAGGACGTAAAGGTTCCCGATGCGCCAGTACGGAAAACCGAATCGCAATAGAGCCTCATCGACCCACCCCCAGGATTGAAACTGTACACTTTAGAGAGACCTTATAGCTGTTACTCCTTTACGATCTTTTTATCTATTGAAAGCTCGAATCAGGGTCAGAGTCGATAGTGGGGGAAAGCTCATTTTCGCACTTTGGAGATGCTACATCTAACTTTGTCGGCAAGCATCCAGCATGTATACTTATATATTTCCCACGAACCTAGCCGTTAAGGTGACTACGGCGCTATTGTACATTATTGGGCAAGAGGAGACGGGTAGAAGATTCCCTTCCTCGGCCCAGGAGTTGATATAAACGATGGTGGCCTACGCTACTCTATCCTCAAATGAATTTTCCCATACTTTGTTTGGTCCCAAGCCTACACCAAAAGGAGAAGTGAGCGCCAACCGGCTTTAGAGGAGCACACTCCGTGCTTCGAGACCGGAACTCCATGTGTCCCACACCAAACCTCCCCTACTGAAAAAAAAAAAAGAAAAACTAGTGGTATCAAAATGTCAAAAGTAATAATATCCTACCCCGAGTGCAGATGAAAAGCAGGACACGTAACAGCAGGCACAACGCAGAAGATGAAATCTAGGCACTACGCTCCAGATGCTGTAGCTCGCGGCTCCACTTTCGACGCCGCGGGTCGTGGCCCGGCTTTAGCAGCGCCGGCAGAGCCTTGAAGGCTACTCGTACGCTTCATCTGTCCGTGGCTCATGGCACTTGAGGATCGTGCCATCTCTGGAGACGCGGACTGCCTTGAAGCGGGGGACCGTCCTTCGGCGGGTGTTGGGAGATGGCGTGCCCGTTTTGCCGCGGCGTTTGTTGTTGTGCGCCAGGCGGATCGGAGGGTGAGGCTGACACGGCCTTGTGAAGTTGGTGTTGAGGGTGGTGGTTTGGATTCGCCCACGGCGTGTTTCTGATGAACTGCTCGCCCGCTGACCCTATCGCGTTGGAAAAGGGCGGTATTTGTTGCTGCAACATGGATTGTTGGCGCTGACGGCGTGCTCGCTCCACAGTCAGTTAGCACCGGGTAGCCATGTTGGGGGCAGAGAGGGCATTATAGCTCACCCTGATGGCCTCTATATCTTCCTCAATCTCCCCCACGCTGGCACCTCGCATGGGCGGGGCAGCGGGGAATCCGATGTGTTTAGCCATGCCAGAGAGTATTGACACTTCCGTGTTGTACGCCACTGCGTTCCGAGTTCTCTGTGCCGGAGCGGGCGGGAACAGGAGGGCATAATCGGGAGCTTTGTGAGGGTTCCGACGGGCGCTCTGTGTCTCGTGCCTCTCCTTATTGAGTTCGAAAGCATCCTCTCTCTCGCTTCACGTATGCCCTGGTAAAATTGGCCCCATATTATTGCTCTCCGAGCCACTGCAACTCGGTCGTTGGCTTCGAGAATGAGTTCGTATTCCTTGTTGATTTTTTGTAGTTTTTCCTCGTGCAGCTCATCTAGGCATTGTTTCATATTCAAGTATTCGGGGTGGTAAGGAACATCTGCTGTCAGGGCTTGTTCCTCGCTTTCGAGTTTCTCGAGTCGGTCTTTATACAACCTACAGGGATTTCCTCGGGTTAGCTTCGACCTTCAATCATGGCCAATCCAGGGGTTCAAAAGGGGGAAAGGAGGAGGAGGAGGAGGAGGAGGAGGAGGAGGATAAGAAGGGGCAGGGCAGGAATAAGCCGCCAATGGGTATCTCTTACCGGTCGCGAAAGATGCTAAACTTCTCTTCAATCGTGGTCCACTCGTCCAGAGCAATTCGCTTCCTCTCGGCTAGGAGACACTGGGTTAGACAACAATCTGGGCTTCGCGCTACGCGCTTGAATACGGGTGTAATCGCTCACCTTCTTCATCATCTTGCTTCCCAGTCGCTTCCGCGTCCTCATCGGGATCGCCATCAATCACGTCGTCGTCTACTCTGGGCTCGGCCTCTTCGTCGCTTGGACCGTCGTCGTCTCTGGTATCCACGCCATTTGTCAAGGAATCTTTCGCTTGTTTTCTACCGTTCCTCGTTATCTTCTTGGTTACTGCCGGCTCTGGCGCAGGAGAATCAGTCGCGGGCGGGCTGTCCGCCCTCTCCTCTTTGACGTCGCCTGATCCCGAGCCGGATCGCACAGAGCGGGGTTTATTGTTCTTTGAGTCGGCAACCTTGTCTCCATCGCGAGAATCGCGCTCCGGTACACCATTGGAGGCGGCCCGCTTTCGCAAGGGAGCTTCAGAGTCGGAGCGGTCTACGATAGGCGATCGCTTGCGTTTTTAGCGTCAGACGAGCTCTGCTTTTCGTCGCTAGAAGTAGACCGAGGCGATTTCACCGAGGATGGAAGATCGTCGGGAGGGCTAGAGGGAGGCGCGGATATGTCTACGTCTGAGAGAGGATCGTCTTCTTCTTGAATAGCGTCTGCGATGAGTGCAGCGGATTGCTTAGTAGGTGTGACGTCTAGGGCGTCGTCTTCGTCGACCCGACCAAGAACAACGTTTTGATGGCGAGTAACTTGGGGCGTGTCATAGAGGCGCTCGGTCTCGGCCTCGGTATCATTGGCTTCTGACAGGTTGCTCTCTGAATCTGAGGGGGTCTCGATGGTCGGGATCATCAAGAGCCATGGCGTCGGGGTCATCCGGCTCGCCATCTTTATCCTCGACCTCGCTCAAAGGGCTTGAGAGGTTACTATCGCCATCATCCGCAAGGATGTTGGTGGTAGTGAGAGGAGGAACTGCGGGAGCAGTCGCTGCCATTATTTCGTGGGTGAGGGTGGCAGAGTGGGTGGGAGGATGTGTGGAGCTTCGGTCGGGGATTCGGAAGCCAGGAGAGGGCGACGGTCTTGACAGAAGCCCACACGGGTTTTCCTAGTCCTTAGGTGAGGTGACGCGTGCGTCAAGTCGAGAATAGTTTTCGGCGCTCTCTGGGCCTGTTGCACTGGGCTTGGCAGCTCTGAGCGGTCAGGTGCGAAAGGGCCAAACGGGACGGCTAACGACTCAATTGTCGGCTCGCACTCATAGAGGCAGCGCTCGATTTTGAAAATATTGGTACCATTAATGGACCAGGTCGAATTTCGAAATCTTTTCAGTAGCCCCTCGATGCTAAGAAAGGAAAGAGAAGTGGTGGCGGCGAAGGGTTGGGAGGGGAGAGTTGCCGGGGGAGGTGAACAAGTGTTGCGCGATCAAGGCAAAGAGGGATTCTCGGAGAGTGCGATCTCGTTGACACGGAAAAAGAGTAAGAGCATCAAGTGGCAGGTCAAGGTCACAATCGCTGCAGTGACGGCACGACGCCGCCTGTTGCTCACAGCTGTGGAGGTTCTGGAGGCCGTCTCTCATTGGCTCAATAAAGCCGGTCTTCGGGAGTTGGCAACGCCGGTGGGGGAAAGGGTGCCAGAGGGAACTTTTTTCACCTTCCTTTCACTTTAGCTGGCATTGGCTGGCGCCACTTCCCCTTCCCCAACGAGGAAAAAGCCCCAAGTGTGCTCACCCGCACCAGGTAACACAGAGTGACAATGTACCTTGGCAAATGGCAGAACTAGCGAAGAGTGCCCCACACCGTCCTCGTCTTCGATTTCTTGGAGTACTTTTCTTTTTTTTTTTAATGCGTGAGCTATCAACACTTGAAAATTAAACCTAGCGCAAGAAAGAGGAAGAGAACAACCCAAATAAGGTATATGTGCAACTAGAAGGTGTCCTGATATTCTGAATCGACGAATATGGCGAAGGGGTAGGTTTCTCGAAATCCCCTGTCTCTTCTTCATACAAACGACATTAACATACTCTCAACTTCTAGTACACGCTCAGTCTTCAAGCCTTCGGCGGCCAAGATTGATCCAGCACTAGATGCGCTGTTTAGCAGTAGTGTACGCATGTCCCCAGTAATATCCTCTGATTCTCTTGTCAATTGTTAACTTGAAACTACAGACCGGTCCTGCGCCGCCCATTGCCGCCAACACCCGCAAGCCAAAACGTACTCAACCCACTCCAGAATCCAACAACGACGATGAGGACACTTCGTCAGGCAATGGAGCCACGGACGAAGATGCCGGTGACGAGGAGGTAGAGAGCGAGCTCGACGCAAGTGCGGACGAGAGTGAAGATAACGAAGGAGAGGTCAAGGATGCGGATGAGGTCATGCAGGACGCAGCGCCGCTGGGCGTAGACGCCGTGCCTACACACTCGGAGAAGAAGCGGAAGAGAAAAGACATTACCGATGACCTTGAGGACCGACATATGCGGAAGCTCATGCGGGACAACAAAGACAAGGAGCCCTCCAGCAAAAGGCAAAGGGGCGTGGACGGCGAGTCGAAAGAATCCGGCGTCAAGGGCCTCGCCGGCTCTGCTGAAGAAGACAGCGACGACGATGCTCGACCGGTACACGAATCGCTCGCTAAGGATGCTCAGCCTGCAGACATCGAAAAGGCCAACAGGACGGTATTCCTGGCAAACGTTTCTACCGAGGCCGTGTCGTCCAAGGAGGCGGTCAAGACACTTCGAGCCCATCTTTCTTCTATCCTTGATGAAACAGCAAGCCCCAAGGAGAGGATAGAATCGATCCGGTTCCGGTCCCTCGCATTTTCGTCTCTGGCACTACCCAAGCGAGCCGCTTACATCACCGGATCGCTCATGGACGCCACAACCAAGTCTTGCAACGCGTATGTTGTGTATTCCACCCCTACCGCGGCGCGCAAGGCCATCTCCGGCCTCAACGGCACCAAAGTTCTAGAGAGGCATCTACGAGTGGATAGTGTCGCCCATCCCGGAAAGGTTGATCACCGACGATGCGTCTTCGTCGGTAACCTTGGGTTCGTTGACGATGAAACCGTGCTCAATACCGATAAAGAGGGCAAAACAAGCTCCAAGAAGCGCTACAAGATTCCCTCGGACATCGAAGAGGGCTTTGGCGCGTTTTCGGGGAGAAGGCCGGCAAGGTTGAAAACGTGCGCGTGATTCGTGACCCGAAAACTCGCGTCGGCAAAGGATTCGCCTACGTCCAGTTCTACGTAAGTTTTGGCTCTAATCAGTTTACCACCCTGCGCACCCTCGATCTACATGGTATACTAACTTCGAGTCTCCGTAATATCATTTAGGACACCAACCACGTCGAGGCAGCTCTCTTGCTCGACGGCAAAAGTTTCCCCCATGCTCCCGCGTAACCTCCGCGTAACCCGTGCCAAGAACCCCCAAAAGACGGCGTTGGCGATGCAGAAGCGTGTTGTCGCGCCGGCCAGGGCCACGTCCGCGCCCGGCAGCGCAAAGTACAAGCCCAAGGTAACGCCCGAGGCACAATCCATGGCCGGCCGCGCGTCCAAGCTCCTCGGCTTAGCGGGCGCGGCGCGGCAGGCGTTGGGGGCCAAGAAAGGATTCACGCCGAGGGCCGGTCCGAACGTGGGAGACGATATCAAGACGCCAGAGCAGATTGTGTTTGAAGGCAGGCGGGCCTCCGCCGGCGACGGCCTCAAATTGGGGAAGCGGCCGAAATTCCGAAAGTCGGGCCCCAAGAAGCTGCAGGGGAAGCGTTCTCAGCGCTCCGCGACCTGGAAGAAGAAGAAAACATCGGGCGGCAGTGACTGATGACCCATTGGATTACGGGAAACGGGGGAAGCGGTCGATCTTGGCATCGCCAACGTACTACTGCCATTACACGTACTTTGAGTTCAAATGCTATATGCCATCTGTACCAACAATACATCAAGGTAGCTAGCTTTATGTGGACATATCAATTGTAGGCCAAACACTCCCACTCCACCTCCAAGCCTCTGGGGAGAGGGCAAAATCGGGGCGTTATGAACAGGAAAAATACAAAATGCATGGGTCAATTTATGGACAAGTTTCGCTCTCTGGGCCATGTCTTGTTATATTTGCTCACTAATATAGGCCAATGATTCCAGACCTTGAAATCGGCATAAATAAAACCAAAATCGGAAAAGTTGTAAGACTATCATCATCATCATGGTATCATCGCAACTGCAAACGACGAAAAGAGACGCGCACCGTGTGCGTGTAGCAAACGAAGGGGGTGCCGAAGGGGGTCCAAACTCCGTGAGGTAAAATATTACTCCGCGAACGAATCCCAGTCCGCGCGCGCCTCGACGATGCTTGCACGGGGGTAGCCAAGACCCTCCCTTTAATGCTCGTACTCTAGTTCATCGCCTTCGAAGCCCTCGCCCTCGCCAGCGACCTCCTCGTAATCCTTCTCGAGCGCGGCAAGGTCCTCCCGGGCCTCGCTGAATTCGCCTTCTTCCATACCCTCGCCAACGTACCAGTGGACAAAGGCGCGCTTGCTATACATGAGATCGAACTTGTAGTCCAGACGCGACCAAGCTTCCGCAATGGCGGTGGTGTTGGAGAGCATGGAGACGGAGCGGTCGACGGATGCGAGGCCGCCGTCAGCGGGAGACGCGGTGGGGACGGCCATGGGCTTCTGGTAGTTGATACCGATCTTGAAGCCGGTGGGGCACCACTCGACGAGGTTGAAGGAGGCCTTGGCCTTGAGGGCGGCAATAGCGGAGTTGCACTCGCGAGGGACTACGTCGCCGCGGTAGAGGAGGCAGACAGCCATGTACTTTCCGTTGCGCGGGTCGCATACAACCATCTGGTTGTTGGGTTCGAAGCCTAGATAACGGAAAGGCCGAGGGGAGAAAGAGAGGCAGTCCAGTCAGCAGGCCGTTCCATGACGGTTCTTAGGCCGTGAAGTTAATTGGGTCTACTTACACTGGAATGTGAGGTCATGGACCTTGAAGCTTTCGTGAGCACTCTTGGAAGCGGATACGACGGGAGCGTAGCTGATGAGAGGGTAGTGGATGCGCGGGTACGGGACGAGGTTGGTCTGGAACTCGTTCAGGTCGACGTTGAGGGCACCATCGAACCTCAGCGAAGAGGTGATGGAGCTGACGACCTGAGCGATCAGGCGGTTAAGGTGCTCATACGAGGGCCTAGCGATGTCGAGATTGCGCCGGCAGATGTCGTAGACAGCCTCATTATCGACTAAGAACGTGCAGTCGGCGTTCTCAATAGTGCTGTGAGTCGACAGAACGGCGTTGTAGGGCTCGACAATTGCGGTAGAGACCCTAGGGGCGGGGTAAACAGCGAACTCGAGCTTGCACTTCTTGCCATAGTCGTTGGCCAAACGCTCCAAAAGGAGGGCACCGAAACCCGAGCCGGTACCACCTCCGAAGGAATGGAAGATCAAGAATCCCTGGAGAGACTGGCAGTTGTCTAAGCGGCGGACGCATAGGGTTAGTACCACCTTGGAACTCGAAACTGTTTGACAGCTTTAAGGCACGGCTATAGAGGGAGGCGCGAAACGGGAGGAAGGGACCCGCACCAGCTACACGCTTGATGGCAACGCAGGCAGAATCTAGCCAATGGGAGGAAAGAAAAAGAAGAAGAAAAAGAGGAGGGAGGAGGGATGGGTACGAACCAAGAACACGTCGGATGCGGTCCATGACGCTGTTGATCTCCTCTTTACCAACCGTGTAGTGACCACGGGCATAGTTGTTGGCGGCATCTTCCTTGCCGTTCAGCAAGTATTCGGGGTGGTAGAGGGAACGATATTCTCCGGTCCGGATCTCGTCAATGGGAGAAGGGTCAAGATCGAAGAAGATGGTTCGGGGAACATATTTGCCACTGCTGGTTTCAGTAAAGAAAGTGTCGTATGAGCCTCCCTCAGGAATGTCCTTGGCGTTGGGGTCGGGCCTGCCGTCGGGCCCAAGGCCGTGCTCGAGGAGATAGCTATGGTAGTGTGAGTTGGGACAGTTACGGCGGGGTTCTTGAAGAGATCTTGTGGAGAATAGAGCAAACATACAGCTCCCAGGACGAGTTACCGAGCTGGGTACCAGCCTGGCCCAGGTGAAGGTGAAGAATCTAAGCAGCCCAAGACGTCAGCATGCTGAGGATGAGAGAGATTGACCAGTCGAGCCCAACCAGACCGAGGCTGAAGGGGAGAGTTAAAAATCCACCCCCACCCACTTCCTCCTCCTTCAGGCATTGGGGCTTTAATTGAGGGTATAGGGTCGGTGAGCGAGAAGAGGGCGGGGTTTAGGGCATCCTACCTCTCCTCTCATCTTCAATGACAAAATGAGATGCGAATTATGCTCTAAGATGACAAAAAAGTTGGGGAATCCGAGAGGGAGGGAGGGGAAGATATGGAGGGGAAGCTATAGCTTTGAGGTGCAATGCACACGGGCAGCGCAAGGCAATGGCAAAAGGAGGTGGAGAGGATGAATTCGCACCGGTTGGGCGGTGGTCGTGGACGGCGGTAGTCGTGGTTCGTCGAGGTCAAGGGGAGGGGAATCAACGGGCCAGGGTCCAAGACCAGGTCGATCCTGCCCACGCCGGGATGAGATGCTCCACGTCTTGGGTTGGCTACATGTCTGTGGCCAGCCGAGCGGCCTTTTTTTTTTTTGATCGATTCGGGCACAGGTGCCAGCGAGGAGACCAGCCATCTTGGCTAACTCGGCTTAATGCAGTCCACGATTGCCCCCTTGCAAACGCTTCATCAGACTGTGGAATGGATCAAGTCTTCCCTCCCAGGGAGTGATTTGTGTCAGGCCAGCTACGAGTATCTAGCGGGAAGCTCCAGCGGAAAGCTCTACTCTCCGGATGGCCCCCATCCCATCCCCCACGCGAATTTGCCAGGGGCCGCTCGCCCATCAAGGGATTTCTCGATAATTCTCTTCAATTTTATCAAGCTGTGGCATAGGACAGGCTTTGATATATAGGATCCCTCGTTTATGTTGCTGATCTAGCTCTCTTTCGGACCAGGGGGTAAACAAGACGTTAGGCGGTAGCATCCAAGAGCAATTCATGTTAGGGCAGCGAAATTCGGAAAGCTATCGGACCCAAGCAACCAAAGCCCACGGCCTCGGTCATCCAATGTCTTCAGGGTTAAATGTTGGGGAAGGTTGACGAGGAGCTGGAGCTCGGCATTCTGACTGGTGCTGAGAAGACTACCGCCACATTTTGTCGGTGGGGCCCACGCTCATCAATTGAGGAGCTCCCCTTGGCTCGTGGTACCCTGAGAATGATTACCCCTCGAACCAAAGGGGCGGGGAGCAAAGTCAAATGGCCTGGTTGATTGACTGCATTGACCTCACTGGTTTCTCGGCGTGGAGTCCCCCTGGCTGGCCCGCCTCTCCACCCTCACCGCCTTCTCAGCAACGCACCAGCCGGGCCCCAAGGGTCCTGCCGAGGGCTCCGGCCCTGAGATCGTCAGTTTCCCTTGCCATTGTTCTTCCTTCAATATGTCTCAAGTGAGGATTTGGCGAAAAAAAAAGAAGAAGGAAAGGGCAGCATATGCCCCGACTTGAAAAAGAAACCCCCAAATATCCTCTCTAATTGATAATAGAAGCCAAACCCAGGAGACAAAAGGAAAAAGGAAAAAAGCCAGACATTGGACCCACATATGCACGGTTGAGCGTGGACATCCCGGCGACATTGTCTCCATGTGCAAGAGATGTAATGGATCAATCGATCTTTACCTTGGTATCTTATGGTATATCCTCAATCTGCTTGGGCTTGATGAGCAAGCCGATCATGATCAAATTGTTTCAATCAAGAAAGGCTGTTGAAGGCCTCCTGTAAAGGGACTACATGAGGCAGAAGAAGCCTCGGCGCCCCAAGCTCACGGTGCCAATCAAGCCTCGACGGCTGCCATGTCCCATTCCCCATAGTAAACTGAAAGCGCGGGGTTGGTTCCGATAAGATAAGCCCACGCCGCCAGATCCATCCATCTTATCGATAAGCCTCTAGCAGGAGAAAAAAAAAAGAAAATTCTCGACGTCCTCTCAAGTGCATCAAAACGTCCAGCTCAAGACGAGATTATCTTCACTCTATCCTAAGAATTTTTCACCGTCTCATCTTACCACCACAAGATGTTGCGTACAGTGTATGTCTTATTTCCCCCTCTTCCCTAAGCAAAATTCCAATTTTGCAAAGAATCAGTTCAAGATTTTGGCTCTCCCCTCCCCCTCTCCCAAAGACCCATGAATTCTCTTAGCTGACCGATGTCCACTGTCCCCCTCGCTTTTAGAAAACCCCGAAATGCCCGCTCCAAGCGAGCCCTCGAGAAGCGCGAGCCCAAAGCCGTCGAGAACCCCAAGACAGCCCTCTTCCTCCGCGGAACCAGCTGCTCCCAAATCGTCCAGGACGCCATGACGGACCTCCACTCGATGCGCGCCCCGCTCGCCAAAAATTCACCAAGAAGAACGAGATCCACCCCTTTGAAGACGCCTCCTCCCTCGAGTTCTTCTCCGAAAAGAACGACGCCAGCCTCTTCGTCTTTGGCAGCACGAGCAAGAAGCGGCCCCACGCCCTCACCTTTGCCCGCATGTTTGGCCACAAGACTCTCGACATGCTGGAGCTGTACCTCGACCCCGAGCTTCCGCCGCATCTCCCAGTTCAAGGGCCGCAAGTGCGCCTTTGGCCTCAAGCCCATGATCGTCTTCGCCGGCTCCGTCTTCGAGAGCCCCATCGAGAACGAGTACACCCTCGCCAAGAGCATGCTCACCGACTTCTTCGCCGCCCGGGAGACGACGGAGAAGATTGACGTCGAGGGCCTGCAATACATTGTCTCCGTCACCGCCGAAGATCCGGTCGACGACGACGCCAAGCCCACCATTCACGTCCGGGTGTATCTGATCCAGACCAAGAGGAGCGGCCAGAGGCTTCCCCGCGTCGAGGTCGAGGAGATGGGCCCCGCATGGACTTTCGGGTCGGCCGCTTCCGAGAACCCGACGAGACCATGCTCAAGGAAGCTCTCAAGAAACCCAAGGGCGCCGAGGAAAAGACCAAGAAGAACATCACCACAGACATAATAGGAGACAAGATTGGAAGGATCCACATCGGAAAGCAGGATCTGAGCAAGCTGCAGTCCAAGAGGGCCAAGGGTCTGAAGCGTGGCCGAAACGAGGCCGAAACGGAAAACGACGATGTCATGGCCGTGAGCGAGGAGGAGCTTAAAAGGCAAAGGGTGTAAAGTTTTCGAATGCTTTCTTGACCGTGTCTCTTATAGTCGTCCCGTAGGGGAACGGCATTTTTCACTCTCGAGTGGGGGGCGTTTAGGAGTTGTCATTCTCATTGATATTTATGATTGAATAAAAACAATGATATTCAACACCCATGGATCTACCAATACTGTAGTGTCCTAACCCTTTAAGCACATATACACCTCCGGCTGTAGCCTCTTTGTTAGGAGGCCGCGCCAACCTCGAGTTTCGGGGGATGCTGCTGGGTCTTTGGGGATGCCCTCAGCTAAGAATAAGCTTATATAGCGGATTTGGCAAGTAGATTGAATGGATTGGATCAATTGACTGCCGGCCCTTGGGCGGAGCTGAGTATCAAGTTAAGTAGCTACGCCTACACCTACCACACAGAGAGAAAAGCGCCAACTAGAAAAGAAAATGAAAAAATGTATGTAATGGATGGAAACAAACCATACACAGAAACTCCCTTGCCCATCCCTTCCTACCCTTTTTAAAAAGGATTTAAAAGAAAAAGAACCCCTGCCATTTTTTTGGCGTTATACCCCGTAACCCCATTAAATCATAACCCTGACCCTTCCAAGTCTATCTCCGTGTACTCATCATATATACTCGCTAAATGTTAACAATGTTCATCTCCAACCGCAACCTTGTCTCACCTCCGTCCAGACCCAGATCCCCTCTTCAGCTATAGCATGTTCTGATCTAGAGGGTCGGGGCCGCAAGGAAGCGGATTCGGCTGCGACAGCATCTGCGCTACGACTTCGATATGTTCAACGAATGTCGTTTGCTGATTATATCCGTGGGCGGCCCTATTCGTCTCGGCTACCCAGTCAAAGCCCCATACCTCAGGTGGGATGATGGCGCCCTCGTAGAGAGCTATTTTCAGAGGCCAGTCCAAGTGAGGCCACCACGGCGACCCCGACTCAAAGAGAGATACCACGCCCATAATTTCCCTCCGAGGCACCCCGTCGATCCACCACAAGTGCTGGGCTCGTTTGAGCAGGGCAAAGAAGCAGGCGAGTATGACCAGAGCACGGGGCCGTTTCAGCTCGATTAGCTCGACGAATCGCCTCGCAACAGTAGCTGGGAAGGCAAGGCAGGCTGCAGTATGGGGAGATCTGTGAGCCCAATTCAAAACCGAAATGGCATGTAAGTAGGCATCCTGCGTAGACTGTGGATCTTTCTCATCTTCGATATCCACTTCGTCCTCGATGCCGTGAGTCAAGTGTCCAAAGAAAGAGTTGGGCGATTTGAGTTCCGGGTCAAGTTGAAGGGGGCTGGGAATCGATGACGCTTAACACGGCGTGGCTGTGTCTTATCCACTGCCAGCTAGACACGACGACGGCTTTTACACCCTGGAAAGCGTGGAACCAGGATAGGGGTAGGTTGTAGCCGCTTCTCGTGTTTGAAGAGGTGGTAGAGTTTGGGTCGTCCCGGACAAACAGCCGCGTGGCCGTGGACTGGTATGCTATTAATGAGGCAGTAAGGAACAGTGACTCGGCATTTGACTCGTTGATGCCGGCCTTGAGGGTGTCGCAATAGGCAGCGAGGGACGAAGCCATGTACGCGTGCGACGCCTGCACAATGTCCTGGTCATCCGGATTCCTCGACCGCAGGTGCAGAGCGGCAACGGCAAGCATGGCGTCAGCCAGGTACGGCGCGCCTTCAAAGGCGAGCCTGGGCACGGCATTCATCCACACATCGTCGGAAATGTTAACACTGGTGGCTAAAGTCTTACACGTGTGCGTGGTATAGTGGTGCATGAGTTTTAATTCGAGATACCGGCTGGTGCCGCTCGGTACGCCTGTCGCGGCGGGGACGGGGAGGGGCGGAACACCTGCGTCACCGGGGGCACAGAGGGACTCGCAAAGGAGGGGAGGGCGAAGGCGCGGGGAGGGACGTCGCACTGGTGAAATTACTAGGCGCCGGGCTAACGGGGTCGAAAGTGGCAGAGGAGGGTGTCGCCGCCGTCGGGGCAGCCGTGACGAGTTCGTGGACGACTGTGGGATTCTCAAAGTCGCATGGCACCCCGTGCTTGACGCAATTGCCGCACTTGGGATGAACTTCATCGCACTACAGAACACGACGGCAAAGCGCAACGAGGGTCAGCCACCAATGTAGACACGACTATGGCAAGCCGAGAGCAAAGACAAATGACCCGCATACCTTGATTTTTCGAACCTTGCACCGCTTGCAACCGGCTCTAGACTTTTGTGAGACCGGCGAGGAGGCATCGCTCGGGAAGGAATCGAACGAGTCAGGTCCGCACGAGTTCTCTTGTTGTATTTTTTTATCTGAGGGGAGGGGTTCGGTTTTCTAGTCTGTTTCTATCCGACCCCTTTATTTATTTATTTTTCGGGATCGCGATCGCAATAAGAGGGGAGGAAAGGGAGGGGGTTCGTTCGCTACAGGTGGAGGCGGAAAGCACCGCGGTCGGTGAGAGGAGGTGCCAGGCGTCGAAGTTTCTTGCTCATCCCCTGATCAATTGTGTGTTGCGCCCCATACATGGCCAGGGGGCGAGCGAGCGGGGACACTGGCAATGGGATCTCGAGTGCCCAGACGACAAGACGCTTCGAGTTGATCGAAAGTCGGTCTCGTCGAAAGAGAGGAGCAAGCGCGTTCGCCGTCGTTTGAGTCTCTCGGAGTTGAGGGACGAGAGTTGCACGCGAAAAGTGAAGGGGGAAGAATTAAGCCAACCATTAACAGCTGGAGGCCGGTTAGAAGCACTGCACAGCAGAGGGTACCGTGTGCCTTGGAGTTGGGATGCACCCACTATAGGGATTGATCGACTGGGCTGGCCAGCCAAGGGTGGCGGGCTCCTTGCTAATGCGTCCAGTCCTCAAGGAACATTCGAAAGGAAGGGGAAAAGCGGCAGGTACTGTACCGTACCCAGAAGTATGCGGGGCTCACATGAAGAACCCCTTCGCCCATGAATTTCGGCCTCCAACTCGAAGACCATTAGGTACCCATATAAATACAAAAGTACCTGCCATCCTTGATTTGCTTGCACGCTTGGCACAGTCTTCAAACGGTGATAAACCCCTCTAGCACAGGCAAGGACTATTAATACAAGTAACTCCGCCTTCATTGCCCTCCCGCAACTTACCCACGGGAGCTGAGAAGCAGAGGCTAAGGGTTCCGGTGTCAACATCAACAGCAATTGTGAAGAACAATCTAGGTTGATCAGTGTTGACTATATATTCTCTAAATGGCAGTTTGCGGTACACTCATCGACGCAGTTATGCAGCTCCTCATGCAGCTCCTCGATGCCCCGTTCGCCCGCTCCTGGTGAGGCCCTGATGGCAATGAGACTCTTGATTTGGCCCTATATATATATATATATATAATTGTTTGCCCTCGCCCATTCGCGACACAAGAAAATCTCGGCGTCCGCCTCCCTCGTCGATGAGTGAGCATGTGGAGGTAATGCAGGCACTGATAGATATCACAATGCTAGCCACAACAATCAGCTAGCTAAAAGGCCAGCTTTGATACAATTGGTGCTGTTGAAGGACGCCGCCAGCTTCGACGCAAATATGATCCATTGCTCAAGGTTGGTTTGAACCTGGTCAGCTGTAAGGTACCTTCTCGCCCAGGCACACACTTTTCGCTCTTGGTGGGTTTCCATTGGCTAAGGCGGAAGGCCTCGGGGTCCGGCTCGACCCCGAGCACTACTTAACCCGATTGGGGACAAATTGATCCCTCCGTACATGTATCCATGGATAGATCAAGGCATTGATCTGATGGAGATTGGCAATTGTATCCTGGCAAGCCTGGTAACCACTTCACAACGCTGGGGGAGAGGGCACGAGGCCGATGGCAACCAGTTGATCCCTCCGCACGTATACTCTTCAAAGTTGTATAAACATCCATTCCATTGGATCAGCGCCCTTCCAACGAGCACAGCCAAATCCCGAGCATGAGAAGGAGCAAGGAAGAAGAAAGAGAAAAGAAAAAGAGGCACACAAAAAACTGATGTAGTCAAAATTCTCACATTATTTTACAGTTTCCAGCGAGCAAGCAATGTATAATAACTACAGGCTACAGGCGGCGCTGGCTGGACCGGCCAGATATCATAGTTGACGAGAGTGCGATAGCCGAAGCAGACCGAGCATATATTGTAGATGGCAAGAGTGCAAAAGCTGAAGGAGAGAATGAAAAGTTACAAACTGTGCAGCACGCAATACTCGTTAGGTATTGGTCATTCAGCATATAGCCCTGTGGCGTCCACGAGGAACAAAATCTCTGAATAGATGAGGGGCGCTGGGATTGGTCATATTCACGACCGAACGGACTCTCCTGGTAGCGGTGAGAGGACGGTGTGTGTGTGCGTGTGCATCAATGAGTGTGCGAGTGTGTGTGTGTGTGTGTGTGTGTGTGTGTGTGTGTGTGTGTGTGTGTGCCAGCGGTCAGGCACGAGGGCGGAGAGAGGCTAGCTAAACGAATAGATGCATCTATGGATCCATCAATCGACGTCCGTTTCCTTCCGGGTCGGCGTGATCAATGAGTGCGCGTTGACGTAGCTAACTATCCGTGATTACATATCCAGACACCCATGTAATAGATAACCTTGCGCGTGTGTGAGGCAGTCAGCAAAGCCCTTCACTACCAGGGGGAAAGCGGCGGGATCGCGCCAGTCCTCGATCTTCCAGTCCTTACATGTAGAGGGCGGATTTGATTAGAAATCATCTAAATCTTCTCCTCGTTGATAGGTGCTCGATCTGGGCTTTTTTGTTCCGAAAATAGAGGACCCCCGAGATGGGTGTGCACCACACCACATGCGTGCAACGGCTTTGCTTTCCGATTCGGCGCATCATTCCATCTTCTTATGCTTCTTTCAGTCCCGCTGCCCCCCTTTCCCGCTTGAAGCTGTGATATATCAACAAAAAGCATGAGGTTTGCATTTGCAGATTAACCGCGCCCCCAGTTGTAATTGATCGATTGGTAACGACGACGTTACCTGCTCGGCCCTTTGTTCTTTTTCATCCCGGGATGACTTCTTTTTCTCCCCTTGAACAAGAAGTCGATGACGTTGGCGTCAAGATTCCCATCCGCAGAGCCCTGGCCCCAAGGGAAAGAATAAGGAAAAAGGTCTGGAAGAAAGAAGAATAGCCAGCTGCAGTCTGGACCCTATTTTTCCCCCTCCCTTCCCGCGGGAGGGTTTAGCGTAATTCCCCAGTGTCAATTGCAAGGCCGACCAGATCGTCAATGTACTAGTACCCGCCCCCGTACCCGTCTCCGCTCCCGGGCTTTGCTCGCAGACGCTGGAAACTGGAGGCCAACGACGGCAACTCGCGTCAAGTTCCGCTCGAAACTCGCTCCATCTCTACTTTCCTTCGCCGCCCCTTTCCGCTCCCGTTTCTTTGACTAATGTGCGGATTGGTAACCGGGACTTGCGCCATCGAACCATCTAGACTTGGTACAGGGTCGGTGCAATGAAACCTCCCAAAGACGTGCTCGCTCACGCCGCCCTTTTGGCCCCATCAGTAAGCGCGTGGTCGGTTAGCATCCACAGATGACTGATAGTCGAGGACTCGTCGCTCCCGGGGCCTCGGGGAGTTTTTGATAGCAATTAGCACAAAGTTCCAAGATGTCGCCATCGACCCATCCTTATTTAAATCGCCAAAGAAATCCCTTCCTTGCGTCACTCTTCCTCCTTGAAGCTTAGTCTCAACATCGCGCCCACTCGTAGAAATACCACCTCATTGCCCTCCTCGCTCGAGGTCGTTCGCCCTTTTTTACTGTCCCCTCCTACATCCTCTACTAGGAATTTCTGCCATCTCATATTATTCCGCACCGCTAGGTCGCTCTTTCCCCGGAGCCTGCGAGAGAACTGTGCCCACCCGCTTCTTGCTCCCCGGTCGCAACTACCATTCGGCGCATCGCCCTTCTCCGTTGACAAAACCAGGACCACCTCATACCTTGGACGAGTCACTTCTAAATCGCCTACGGCCCCCTTGGTCTTGCTGCTTCGTTATCGCCCCTCCACCAATCGACCCCCATTTCAAGCTAGACAACATCCTAGCTAATAGCTGAGAGAGGGCCTCTATCCGGCGAATTCGCTTGGGCCCACCACAAGCCGGCGCAAACCCCAAGGAGAACACGCCTGATTAGGCAGGAAGCTGAGTCTGGACGAGGACTGTGTGCGAGATACGGTGTGCGTGTGTGCCCAGCGTGCCAACGTGCCAGTGTGCCAGCGTGCCAGCGCGCCAGTGTGTCAGTGTGTCATAGAATCACTCCATCTCCACTCCTCTCGGACCCTTCCCCGATCTCCTCGGACGGTGGGGAAAACTCGATCAAAACTCATAAATCAACCCGCGAGCAGTCCCTTATTCTCCGGGCCTTTTATTGAAACACCAATTGCGGATTTGTGACGCCTTGGAGATTCCCATCCCTCTTACACTTTTGCGATACGACTATTAGGCCCATCTTTCAGTCCGTACGCCTGTGCTCTGTTCACTTTTTTCTCCCACGTCTTCTCCCTCTTCTCCACATATCTCAACATGACGGCTAGCGACGGCGCACCCGTCGACACCCCGCCGAGGGCACCCTCGCCAGTCCACAAATTCGGGACTTTGGCCGTCCACGCAGGATCTCCCCACGACCCAGCCACCGGCGCCGTGATTGAAGCCATCTCGCTTTCCACCACCTTTGCGCAAACCGCCGTGGGCAAGCCTGTAGGCGAGTACGAATACTCGCGCTCTAGCAACCCCAACCGCGACAATTTCGAAAAGGCGGTCGCCGCTCTAGAGCACGCCAAGTATGCGCTGGCCTTCTCCTCGGGCAGCGCCACCACCGCCAACATTCTGCAGTCTCTAGCCTCGGGCTCCCATGTCGTCTCCGTGTCGGACGTCTATGGCGGCACTCATCGATACTTTACCCAAGTCGCCAAGGCGCACGGCGTAAAGGTCACGTTTACACCCGAGATCGAGGTCGATATCAGCGCCCACATCACCGATCAGACCAAGCTCATATGGATCGAGACTCCCAGTAACCCGACCTTGAGACTAGTGGACATCAGAGCCGTTGCGACGGTGGCCCACGCCCGCGGCGTCATGGTCGTCGTCGACAACACCTTCCTCTCCCCTACGTCCAGAACCCGCTCGACCTTGGCGCCGATATCGTCGTGCACTCCGTGACCAAGTATATCAACGGCCATAGCGACGTCGTCATGGGCGTCGCCGCCTTCAACAGCGAGGAGCTCAAGACTCGCCTCAGCTTTCTCCAAAACGCCATCGGCGCCGTTCCATCCGCCTTTGATTGTTGGCTGGCGCACCGCGGCCTCAAGACCCTCCACCTCAGGGCGCGCGAGGCCACGAAAATGCCACCGCGGTGGCCGAAACTCTGGAATCGAGCCCCCACGTCATCTCCGTCAACTATCCCGGCCTAAACTCCCATCCCCACCGCCACGTAGCTCTGAAGCAGCACCGCGATGGAATGGGCGGCGGTATGCTGTCCTTCCGTATCCGCGGCGGCCACAGCGCGGCCGAGCGCTTCTGCCAGCGCACTGCCATATTCACTCTCGCCGAGAGCCTTGGTGGCATCGAGCCTGGTAGAGGTACCCAGCAGCATGACCCACGCCGGAATTCCCAAAGACCAACGTGAGGCCGTTGGCGTATTTGACGACCTCGTACGCATCAGCTGCGGTGTTGAGGATGCCGATGATCTCGTCCAGGACGTCCTTCGGGCCCTCGAAAAGGCCGTGACCGAGACCACCCAGGAAGGGTCTAAGAATGGCGTAACCAATGGAACGAATGGCAGCCTTGCGCACTAGAAGCGGGACAGTTGTTTGCGATTTAGAACCGTGTCTTCCGGATTTTTAGACGGGCGGAGAGAAAACGAGTGGAGGTCATCATCGGTCATTAGTGCCGCAAAAAAGCCCAAAGATAGATCTAGTTAGTTAATGAGAGATGAATTTCAAGAGACGAAACGTGTTTCTGCAGAGCATATCCGTCCGGGAGATGTGCTGCGAGCCCAGAAGTGACGCTACCACCTTTTCCCTCTACCAACTAGAAGCTCTGGATAGCTATCGACTAACCAAAGCCGCAACGGACACCGCCTTGACACTGGCTTTCAAAAGCACATAACATACTCTATTTGGCTTGGCGAGGAGAGGGAGTTTACGCGAAAGAAATGAGAAAAATAATCTTGTTGTTTCGTTAGGTCGTATCGTTATTAATCGACATCATAATTCATCGTCCGGAGCGCCAATCTACATAAACCGCCCCGTGAGAGAAACCACCCTGAGCACCTTGGCAAACGAAAGAAAAGATGAAAAAGGAAAGAGAGGACTATGAAAAGGAGGGCCCCCATGTCTTCCATGTATAATGTTAAGTGCAAATTAGGCTATACCCGGGCCTTGTGCCTCATCATCGTTGCTAAGGGGCTGGAGGGATAACTGGGTGGGAGCAATTTCTGCATGTTCTTCAACCTGCTGAAGAGGACCCGGGGGCGGCAGCTCTACAAGATCCTCGAGGTGTTCTAAAGGCAGCGCATTGGCTGTTTCTGGGCTCAGCGAGCTCCGGTGCTCCGTTAGTTTGTTCATCCCCGTGCACGCGGTTTGCGCAATGGCGTGTAGTTCATCCAAGGTTCCCTTGTTGCAGTTTGGAAACGTGTCGTCAATGCTCCGCAGCCACGTTGAGGTGGGGTTGGCCACGAGGCTTTGGTAGGCAACGGTATCCCATTCCGATGGCCTCACGGGTTTGGGCGGCACCGGCTTGGTTTCCAAGGCCCAGGGTTTGTTATTCCCTGACGGGGCAGCCATGTCGCGGTGGTCATCACCAGAATCGGGTCCGAGTTTGCCCAAGCCCGTGACAACTTCGACAAAACGGCGGGAAAGGCAGCGCTTGAACCCACGGGGGTCGTCAAGATCGAAATTCCGGTGTGCCACTAATTCGTCGTCTGTACCGTAGAAGTCATAGCCAAGCCGACTGGCTCTGCAAACACGAAGGTTTGGCAGAGCCTCGCGGACAACCAGGGCGATCCAGACATCCCCTTCGTTAGGACAAGAACCAGACATTCCGACCCACAAGACCTTGGAGGGGCTTAACTCATTAGGTGCCGTACCAGCAACTTTGAGATACACCTCGTTGAGGAAGAGCTCGCGAAGGGTGTTCCCAAAAGAACCCCGGCGGAAGCGAAAAAATCGGCCGATATTTCAACTCGCTTGAGCTCTAAACTGCTGAGCCTCTGAAAGGGCAGTCGGGGGTTTGGGAGAGCCATGACAGCCCATTCATCCACATCTAGGGCCGTCGAGAGCGTGTGCTTGATAGCCTTAGGTGGACGATAATCGCAGTCAAGTCCCACCAGACAGAGGGTCTTGAGGCGACCGGCTGATGCAATCAGGCTCCAAAGGGAAGCAGAGTATATGCGAAACCTATCTATTAGGGGCTCGCGTCTTCGTATCGAAATCACAAAGTGTTCGACCTGCTCCATCGCGACGCGAATGTTGTTGACGTCGATCGGGTTAGTCCAGAGCCTGCAGATGGATATATCTGCGGCGTTTTCAAGAACGAGCACCTTGAGCTTAGAATGCTCCGACTCCTCATCTTCTTTGCGACCAAGAGCTGCAAAGGTATTTGCCAGAGTAGACGTGACTGCCGTACAATGAGGACCGACCAGGGGAAAGGGCAGATTCAATCTGACGCGCTCAACCCGACTGCAGTAGAAGAGTATTTCGGTGACCTTGGCGCGGTACTCCTCCTCTGTGAAAGACTTGGTGTTCATGCAATAACGGGTCTGTAGGGTATCGCAGAATTCCCTCATCGATGGCACTTCCCTGAAGAGTGTGTTGAGAAAGCCAACTTCGACTACACAGCCCAAGGTTATCAGAATTAGAGTTCACGGAGCGGCTATCGTCCAAGCAAAGACGGTGCGTAGATTCAAATTGAAGCCATTCTATGGAGAGGCACGGAAGTCTTACGTTCATCCCTTAGTAGCATAAGGTCAATATAGAGAGAGGTACAGTGATAACCGATCGTTTGGAGACCTTCTATCATTGGGGGTCGCCTGTGACTGAACCGGCTGATCCTGGTGAACTCAAGGTTGAGAGTCTGGCATAGTACAGGCTTCAGAGCAGTATCGAATGCCCGGCAAACAAACCGTAGATTAAGCGCCGCATTCTTGGAGGTTGAGAGCACAGTAGTCCGCAGGATTGCGGCTAGGATCTCGAAGGGAATTTTGTCCATGGCGACGGGCAGGCCCTTTGCTGCCACAGGATGTGTGAGACGGGACCTGTATCAGACTCGGGGATTTTCCTCTCCCACATCTAAATAGTGGTTTAGTTTCTCGGATGAGGTTGGAGAGGTGATGTAAGGGCGGCCAGGGATGCCATTTGAAGAGAAAATGAAGAGCAGAAAGCTGGGCAAATCTCTGAATCAGGAAAGCTGCACTATCTCTGCGATTAAAATAAAAAGCCGATGCAAGGAATTCCACTGAATGGACACATCTAGTCAACCTCGGCTCGGATGAATCTAGGCTGAGATTCAGGGATCGCGAGTCGTGGATGTCGTTGTCAACTCCGTTGCTTCCACTGTTGGTCCTTCTACACTTGCTCGACTCTTGCCCCGCCGTCTTCCCCCTTGATGGATGACTAGTAGCTTGTGACGGCTGTGGAGGGTGCAGTGGGCCTTTTGTGGCAGCGGCTCTGCACGGGCCAGGCCTGTGCCGCTTAGGTGAGAAAGACAGGATTATGAGCATATCCTCATCCCCTTATCCAGGTGCTTACGAATCGAAGGTGGTGATGCGATGAGTTGGAAGGGGGCCTTAGGGGCTACATAGAGATGTCAATACGCATGTGTGCGGTTTTTGGCTAAATGAGGGGGCAAGTCAACAACAAGAGAATGCAGCATCGGCGACTCTTGCACTCTAGAAAAACCTAAGTGTTGCTTGCTTCTCTTCACCCTCTGTGGGGGCCGACTTGGGAGTGTTTCGCTTGGTTATGTAAGCCAGGGAAGGATTTCTTCAGGACGCTCCATAAAATGAAAAATAACCAAAGGTGAAAAAGGAAAAATTTTCTGCATTGTCTCTCTTCCATACCTCTTTTCAACCAACAACATACTCTGGAAACCGGACACTATCTCTCCTCATCGAGACTCACCACGAATGGGAAGCATTTGACCTTTCTACTCGTTCTAGAAGCTTTGAGCAGGCGCCGTCATTGGAAGCTGGATTTGGTCAGCGCAGGCTTGCAAGTATGACCTGCCGTGCAGTTCCCTTTGGCGGTCTTTGGACCTGGGCAAACCTGCTAGAATTCACCTTTGATGTCTCTCTTTCAGAATGACTGAGATGAATCGCCATTCCGACAGCATGAACCACCTCTTCCGAGTGCTGCTTCGCGACCGCGGACACTCTCGCATGCCAATGACCATCACACTTTTCTCGCGCTGAAACTGCCGAGACTGCTTGCTATTCCCGTGCTATCCAACCCTTCTACTTCAGTCCGCAATGGACCTCGGGCATATGTGTGTACAGCGTCGAGTCAAACTCTCATACTCGCCTAGCTGAAGGATGAAAACGTGCCCAGATCAATCCTTTATAGTTGCCCATCTATTACCAAACAAATCGGCTCCGATATCCCAACGGCCGAGGTGCATGAAAGATAGGGAAACAGAATATTTGCTGTGAATAATGTGTAGATGCGGGTGAGATTGGTCATGATATTCGCCAATGCCAATGCCAGGTGAAGTCTGATGTTTTTCCCCAGGACCCTTTACAGGTTGCCCAACGGAAATGGGCGTCAAGACCTTCAAGCATTGATTTAGAGATGCGTCGCTCGCCAGGAACCAATCGGGCCTGCCCATACAAGGCGTCTGACGATGTTTTTCTCGGCTTGTCCACTCAGGGCCGGGCGCACGAATGTCAACAATGTGACAAGCGCTGAGGGCGCCACCACGTTGCGGCCATGGTTAGTCAAGTGGCAGATGAGCCAGCAATGACTGGGGGCCTCAAGTCCTTGGTATGTGTCAGGTTGGTGATCTGCCTGCTTAGGCCTAGGTCGATGGCTCTTCAGCGATATTATCTGCTCCTGGCCTCTTCCACGGACTCCGCAAATGTCGTGTATAGGTGGGTCTGGTCTGTGGGTGGGGTTTACTGCCCGATCTGTGATCGGAAGCTGCCAGTGCGCTCACTCCTCACTTCGGCTTCTCCGCTGTGGGAAGAGATAGTGTAGATTTGCACTCTTATTATTACATCAACTTGTGAGGTGTCGGGGAATGAAGGCCCCGTCTGGTCTGGCCGGTCAAAGGCAGGGGTATCCATGACACCTTGAAGCGGCCATCCCCTTGATGAAGCTAACCATCCCGACAACGCCTTCCACAACGCCGCTAATATGTCTGGTGCAAAGAACGGGCCACGAGGCGTGGTCCTGAGATATTAGTTTGAATATCCGTGTTTCGAGATATCGGCCATATTCCCATACATTTCGTTCGATGCGAGCTTCAATGGTCCTGTTGATTGCCGTTGGTACTTTTGACCCCTGTGATCTTACAATCCCCCTCTTCATATTCTCTCCTCCGACCCTGCCGACAAGGGCACTCCGTTCTTCTAGAAGATAGTGGAGGAGATTTGTCACCCCGATCTATGAAAGTCGACATTCAAAGCTGGACGCGGATGTGGAGCTTGTTCACTGACGTCTTGGATGCCGGATGTATTGTCCTGGGCTTTCTTACCCCTCCACTGCGTTGCAGGTTCAGCTCTGTTGGCCTCAGTCCTCTGTTCCGCGCCATCTCCACAGACAGCTCCTCCTGTTATTATGATTGTTGTTGTTTTTGTTATTATGACTATTATTATTATTATTTCATTATCGTGTGTGTGTGGCACGCACTTTCGCCCCAAAGTGCAGGATCATGTGGGACGAAGCCTCTCGAACCCACCCTCCTGACTATGGGGTGTTACACTTAGAAAAGTTGCTCTTCGTCAACACGAGGCTGGAGTATTTCTATGAGAGCTGAGGACTGGGTTATCAAGCTGTACGATTCCGCTTTCTTTCGTTACCCATGGGATGGTAACATCAATGCGGCAAATCGGAATCTTGGCTCTCCACGACCAGTATGATAGGTTGACGTTACTCGGTGATCCTCGTCGGGTGTGGGAGCGTCATGGGTAATCGTGGTCAGAGGTGTGATAGCAGAGAGGGATGGAGGGAAAAATGAAGAACGTGGGGTGTAGCCGTGATAGGCTATTGTGGGGAGGAGGGAGTGATACAGGGTATGAGCTGAGCCAGCCAGCAAGGTCGCATTGATGGATAATACTTGTAATACCAGCTGCCCAACAGAGATCTCTGCTAGCCAATAACGCCCGCTTGATCAAGGATCTAGATCCGAGGCTCTGGGTTGGGTCTCCGTCCACGGAACCCCCTCCGCACCGCGGACTCCTCCCCAACCCTTGAGCAATAATAATAGCAATAATAAGGGTCCAACGACAGGCAAAATCACCTCACCCGGCCTGATGGAGAGACGATGGCGGTTTTATCTTTACCACCAATTAGCCGTTTCCTCGCTTTTCAACCGATTCGAGCAATGCCGAGATGACGAGGAGCAGAAGGTCGAGCTAGAGTAGTTTTCTCCATGGTGGATTTGTTGCTCTCACAGTGTTTAGAGGTGGACTCGTTGGAACCGTCAGCGAGACCTTCCTTTTACGGACTCGTCTGCGCGGGATCTCGCGTCACTGATGTGGTAACTGTTGGAGTATTGGGCCCACGGCATTTGCTTCTTTGTGGAATGCCATTGCTGCGCGTATGTTGAATAATAAGGTACCCCCTTCCCGCGGAGTGTTGTCCATCCGTGAAATGAGATCGCAAAGCCGCTTCGCGTTGCGAGTTGGCCGCTAGTCCTGATTCGAGGTTGGCTTGAGCACGCCAGCATAAAGTCGCAGAATGGGAAAATTGGCCTGCGTTGAACTTGACTAATGTGCAGCGCAGGCCTTTGGCCCATGTTCCCCCTTTTTGCCTTCGTGCATGGCGATGATATTACAGAGACAAACCCGTACAGCCCTTTTACACGGTTAAGACGCGCTCTCTCTGAGGCTTCCTGGGCCTTCGCGTTTGGCCAGGGTAGGGGAAAGGGGAAGGGTCTTGAATGTGGTGTGGAGCACCCCCGATTTATCAGCAATATTTCAATACTATGGTGTATGGGGAAGTTGAAGTGCATGCTTGAATTAAAGATGTGCACTCGTACATGGCCCGAGAAGGAGGCCCTGGCTTAGCCCTGCTCAGCTGAAAAACTCACCCAAAGAGGACTCCCTTGAGGAGAAAGGCTAGACAATGCTACGTTGGATGATGTGGTACGAAGTACGGATGTGCGGTACGTACCGACTGGTAGGCCCCTTCTGGTTTGATTTGCGACCGAAGGCTGAGGGAAGGAAGGAACGTGCATGGGGCCACTGAAGGGCTCGAGGTTGAACAAGGTTGGCCCCAGCGCTCCATTCACGTTGGTTAATCGGGAGCCCTGCCCGACAGGGCATTCTCGATGGTCCTACCTGTAAATTCCCGATCAAGACGACACCCCATTTTGCCCTGGGCCATCTCAAATTCTTGAGACGGCACCCCCTCGTTGGCGGGCGCCCTGGAGGCCGTCAAATCTCCAGCTCATCTACGGCATACGACTCCTCTATTTTGCCTTTAGAAGGAGTGGACAGGGGTTTGTGTGGGGTGGTAGAATTCGAGCACTGATAGTGATACTCTCCCGAAAAGAATGTGATACGGCCGGGGGCGAGGGGAAGAAGCTTTCGAAGACTGAGGGAAAGAACATTCATTGATCTGAATGCTGGGCGTTGGCCATTACACCCATCAATTGATCCCTTAGATCAATGATCAAGAATAGGCTCTGGAGACGGACTTGATCAAGTGCTTTATCCTGGCCCTGCCTCCACTGGTGTGCATCGTAGTTGCGAGGGTGGACTGTGGCGCGCGAGTGGGGAATTCGCGGACGAATAGCCGACGTGTCATGGCTGTTGATTGTGTTGTGCTGGCCAGGCCTTTTTGATCGCCATTCCAGCACTCGGCTTGCATCAACAATGACCACAATGTGGTGTCGCCCCTCGAGAGAGCGTTGTTGAAGCGTTTGGGAAGGGGCAAAGGGGGCATGATAATTCTCGAAGGGGAAGGCACATTGAAATTTGCGCCTCCCTCGTCTCTACGCACTTTTCTGTCCCCACCTCTTTCAAAGAAATTACCTTCCGTGTGCCGTGGACGATGCATTCAGTGTTCCATGCTGGTCGAGGTCGATGTCTTGAAACCCCAAGGTCTGCCGCCACTCCCTCGGAGCCCAAAATACAAGTGACAACCTTAAAAAACCCCCAAAATCACACTGTAGTGCCACGACCATAATGGTAACACACAAAAGTTAAGATCTCCGCTCAAGGCTGGCCAAGAATTGGGGGAGGTATTATCGTCAGGAACAATACAGTCCAGTCTTCGTCAAGTCGGAGTGTGGAGACCAGGATTTTGGGTTGGGTTTCTTGGACGAACCGAGAAACCCAACTGCAGATTGTTTGGTGCTGGGGTTTCGTTTAGGTTTACAACACTCCGCTATGATTCAAACTTGGGCGGCAGGAGTTTGATCGCCCGTTCGTGACGGACTTCGAGAACTCACACTCTTTCTCCCTTCCTGCCCTCCCTTCCATCTTGGTTGATCATCAGGATTGCGACGAGCTACGTCTACGATCCCGCCTTTCCGGTAGCGACGGAGAGCGATGAAAGACGCTCGGGCCCCACTCCGTGCAAGACATGGCTACCCATGAGTCTGTTTCTCTTGACAGTGAGACGCTGCTTCGGAAGACTCCCGTACTCCGTGCTCGCCTTCGAGTGCACCGGGGTTCCTGGTGAAGGGGCAAGGTCATTTCGAATCTTTTGTTCCCGAAGTGGGCTGACCGCACATGCCCAATGCTGCGCTCCACCCTTCCTCCCAAATTTATGCTGCTGGCTGCTGGCGTCTTCGCTCGAAGAAGTGGCTTGCTAGCAACAACGGCTCCTCTTGGATCTCCGAAAGTATAGCTTCCGCCCCCACTAAGGAGATTGTGAATGTGATAGACCTGTGATGGATTTGCTGACGTGAAGAGCGGAGTATGGTATGGTGCAATATTTTGGCAATGATAAAGGGAATTGAAGGAGACGGGAGGCTAGAAAGACAGCTCCTCCACCCCACTCCCCTAGGTGGCTTTTGGTGGATCTCCGTGTTGATGAATTGCGTTTGATGATAATAACAATAATAATCATACTGCGGGCCCTCAGATTTTTTTCCCTTTTTCCTTTTTCTGCCGCTGTACTCACCCATCATGGACACCATTCAATTCGTTCCATTTCTCCAAGGGAGCAAGAGGCCTCTGGTACCTATCGGCCTAGCCCTCGTCCGCGGTTGGTTGCATGGGCAGGAATGCAACGAACTCGGAAAGCACAACGAGGTTAAGGAGCCAAAGGTGATTCGAGTGCTGCGGTTCGATCGGCCTTGGCTGATTTTTCCAGATGCGCGTACTTGCGTCTGTGTAATGTGCAGGCTCCAGACCGCACATGGGCTGCATTACAAGTATCAGCCCTCAAACTCTCTGCTCCCGCCCTTTTGGCTTTTACTGATGTGGTGATAATTGAAGGGCACAGCCCGGATCCACACCGATGAAATGCTGCTGTGGACAATAGGCGGGGTCTTGATAATACGAGGTGGGAACAAGGGCGTGGGGAAGAAGTACAGTACACTACTCTCGACAGTTCAGCCGACCAGGCGGCCCATTGGCGCGCGGAGGCCATCTCAGATGCCTGAATCTTGTAATTTTCTTGGCCTGTATATTGTATCTCTCTCTCTACGTCTCCCTCTCTCCATCGGCCCTTCGTTCTCTTTTCTGATGGGCTGACCTCCCTGACTCTCTCGAAGAAAAGGCAATCTACAGTTCATGCGCCGGATGTTTCCCCATTCCGTGCGAGTGAGTGAGTGAATGGCCAAGGCCTTACCGACCTTCCGAAGGACGACTGGGGTTCGAATGGGCAAATCGAGCACGACGCTCTGGGCCTGTCCGACCTTTCGTGATCGACCTTTTCATTACAAGGAGCACGCCCACTAAGCCCGAGTTGGCGTGCTGGCGCGCCTTGGCCTGAGGTGATTGGGACCGACAAGTCCTTGTAGCTCGGGCTAGAGCCACTGCGGCATGCGCCAAGCAGGTGCCTGCCTAGGCTGGATTTGTCCTGGCCGCAATCAGCCTACTCAGATGGAGAAGTGACCAGCCCATAGGTACGCGTGAGAGGTACAGCTGGCAGAGGAGGCGACGTACGAAGTATTTTTTTCTTTTAAATTCGAAAGGTGAGGGGACTCCATCCAGGGGAGAAAGGGGGAAAAAGGAAGAAATTTTGAGACACGTGGGTTCACTTTTTAACTGCTCCGTGTACCTGATTCTTGTCTCGCATGCTTTGACAGCTCGGCTGGAACATCAGCATGTAAGGTTGTGAGCTTGTCTAGTAACGCTGATTCCAGATTCTGCGTGTAAATTCTGCGACTGCGGGAGGTGACGGAAAAAGAAAAGGGAGAAAAAAAAAGAAGGAAGGAGATGACGATATCTGCGGAAGCGTGAGGTCTGCGTCGGCAGTGGGGAGGAGGCTTCAAGTAAAATAAATTGCGAGGTTCGCGCTGCAGGCGGTAACGGCGAGAAGCGAGAAGCACAAGGTCGTAGCAATAGCGTCATTGCTAATTTATTCCACGTTGAAAAGGATGTGGGAGACATGGGGGACAGGAAGTTCTTTTCTGGTAGCGGGACGCAGGATTTGCAAGCTCTTCAGCTTGCTCAGCCTACTCTCTCCCGCTGAAATGCTACCCTATTACGCTTTCCAAGTCAACAGCCCGAGGACTCTTGAAGTCTGGAAAATGTACCAATACAACCAGACACGTGTTGGCTCAGGCCTACGGGGCATCGGAATGTGGGAGGAGTTCGAGGTGGCACGTCAACCCCTTCATACTTGGACTTGGGTGGGCGGGCCAGCGAACCAGCCTCAGTGGTGGGCTCTCCACTAATATTAACAAAGTCGCTTTGCAACGCGCGCCGCGCCTCTGCAGATACTTTGGCAGCTAATTCTCAGGCGGCATGGATCGAGGTACATCTCTGAATCTTGAGGTACAGATCAAGCAATGTATCAACGAAGAATTCCCTCTACAGTCCATAGGCTGGGGATGCGGCATGGAACAACGTGAGGTACCTCGATTGTGTAGAGAGGTGCGTCACTGATCAATGTCCGTGACCTTTGAGACAGCCCTGTCGTGGTCCTTTCATGTTCCCAAACTGAACGCGCCGTATTACCCGTCCACGACACTAGGTCGGGAAAGAACATTGAACTTTGAACAAGGCAATGCGTTGCCAAATGAAAAAGACATTTTAGCGCGGTGGGCTCCGGGAAGGTCTCGCAGGCCAACAAGAGGCTTGGCCGAGAAAGCAACATTTTCTCCCTTCTCTCCCGGGCACGTACAAAGTATCTCCCGTCAACCCCGAGTGCCTGGGGTCTGAAGATCGTGTTTCTGGCGTCTCCCATTCTTGATCCACCTCCTCCTTCTTCCGAACTCATCATCCCTTCCCACCTCGTGCGGAACCCTTCTCATAGTATATACATCGTTTCTTCTCCCCCTGTCACTCGCTTTCGTTCACCTCTCCTTTGGCTCACCTCCTCCACCCACCCTGAAAGACACGGCCTCTCCCATTCACCCTTCTGGCCTGCGTTTCCCTAATTATCCAACTGGACCGAACCTGAGAGGCCCTCTTACGACTTTGTACGGCCTCCCGAATAACCCGCTTGCCCATTCTCCGGCTGTTGTGGGAAGTGATTGGAATCGAAGGGAATAACACTTTCGCCAATATTATAGCTCCCCGCCGCTTGAAACGTACCGTACCATCGAACCACCGCGCAAAGAGAACGGATTTCTCCAGCCAAAGCAAATCTCACCCGCTGCTCCCAATCGGAAGTTGGGCGAGATCGGCAACGCCCATTGTGCCCCAGCCATTGTCATTGCTTGGTCTGGGATATTTCACCAACACGCGCTGAGCTCACTCGGCTCTTCCAGCCTCACGAACGAACCTGAACCCGCTATTGCCTATATCTGATCCCTGCCGCCCACCTTTCCCTGCCTCACGAGCCCACTCTTCAACCCTGGGAGCTTTGGATGTAACGCTGTCTACCCGCAAAAGAAAGCAGGCCAGCGGTTCTGACGGAATATTACCAAGGAAGACCTTCATCCCCTCCGCCTTGCCTCCCGAACCCTCTTTTTCTCAAACCTGTTCCCACCCATGAACCATTGCGGCCATGCAATGAGTGGTCCGACTTTGACGATGGCGTCCGCCGTCGATTCCTCTACAGCAGCTCTCCCCGATCTCACTCCTCGGAAGATTTCTCGTTTTCCCACTCTAACTTGTCACAAAACCACCGAAGCCTCAGTTACAAAAGCCTGCCGAAAATCCCCTACGCGATCCCCACTTTCGATTCTACCTCAGACTTGGAGTCCCGCCTGAGCCTCGACACCGATGTGCTCACCTTCGCCATGAGCAAGGGCCTGGCACAGAAGGCATCAATCAACGTCATCACGGAACCTGCTGCACAAGCCAAAGTGGAAAAACGCCCCAAACTCGGCCGGAGCAACACCGTTTCCGAACGGACCCGGTCATGGCTACCCAGTACGAAGTCGGCTACTAACATTCGTGATTTCCTAAGCATGAAATCGTCGTCGCCATCGACTGATGACCAGTTATTGCAGGACGAGGAAGGCTCCGTGCCAAAGGCACCCCAGGAGCGAATCCGTTCCATGAGCCTCATCTCTGCGTCTTCCCCAGCAGGCCAGAGGATGTCCTGGGCCGCCGGCTCGCCCATTGAGTCTCCTAGCTCTTCGCCGGAACCGGCGGACGAGCTAACCATGACCCCGACTCTGACCCGGGACAAGGGTTCTCGCAAAGGCTATTCTAGATTCCCGAAGCCTTCAAGTAAAGACTCTGAAGAGGGACGCGGAAACGAGACTGCCCGAACGACGGCACGAGCCTTCAACCGAGCCAGCATCTTCTTCACGGGAAAAATGAAGCCACGGCCCGCACCTGTTCTTGGAAAGTTATCGACAGCCTTGGACTCTGATGATAGTTGCGCCTCTTCCTCAAGTAGTATTGCGGCGGCTACGAGAAACACCGACACGCCTACCTCGCAGTCAACCTCCGTTTCCGATTTGAACTCGACGACAGATGCATCCTCGCTGGAAAACTCGGTCACCTTCGAACGGGACCCTCTCGTTTCTGTTTTCAAGAACCTGGATCAGGAAGCCGCCAAATTTGAAGCCAACGCAGCCCCCATGTTCGAACGCATGTATGCGATGAAATCCGCGCTCCTCGTCTTCCTCCATCAGTATACAAACCATGGCACCATCAAGCAATTACACACCGAAGACGTTGAGCGCCGTGCTGTCGTCCTCAACAGGTGGTGGATCGCGCTTCTTGACCTTTTAGAGAGCTTGGGCCCTCACCCAACGCCCGGCGTTGACCGAGTCTCCCTGCTTGAGGCCCTGACACTGATCATGATGCGACCCGAGTGGCGCCACTCGACATCCGTTTTCCTGCCATTGGGTGATCGCTCACCTAGTGAGCGTGTAAGAGCGAGGTCCTCTACCCAATCGTCGAATTCTTCCGATGTTTCGGCGGAAGCGGCTCTCTTGACGGAGTCGGCAGAGCACAACGTCCGATCCATGTTCGTGGCGAATCTGGTTCACCAGATGGACATGGTTGTCCGAAAGATGTCGCAGCGGCCCGCTCCAATTGGCCTTGTCAACTTTTGCGGAAAGGCCTGCGCATACGCCTTCTTTTTGCTCCAGGTGTAGCCAACATTCTTGTCAGGCTGTGGACTCTGAATCCCCTACTTTTGCAGCGCGTGGCGGATGAATTCGCTCTTCCAAGGAAAAGCAATGGGGAAAGCGATGACATCGTGGCTCTTTTCCCACCCGCGGTCAGCGGACTCGGATGGTCCTCCGTGAGAGCCATGAGCACAACCCTCAAGAAGACACCAAATGTCCCGGGGCCCTGGCCAGGATTCCGTGGCACTTGCCATGGCTCACGCGTTGGAGGGGCGAGACTCGGATCTATTCTTCATCTTTGCAAGTATTACCATATTCTCGCAGAAGAGTTTATGCCACCGGGCCTCCCTTTGATTGAGAAGGCACGGGCACCCGGCTTTGTCATTGTCCATTGCCAAATCCTCTCGGTTCTCGACACAACCATTCACAGACACGCGGCGATCCAGGCTCTAGCCATGACACCTCCCATCTCCGATGGCGTCCACGGCGTGGACGCCTCTGCAACTGCACTCCCCGGCCTCCCCGCCGACCTTTTCAAGAGCATGTCGGAAAATCGGCTCATCGTCCTCCTCAAAGACATTCTGTTCGATACGAGCCCTGCGATGGCGGGCCCGAGGCACACGTTTGCTGAGGCCTTCATGGCCGATATGAAGGCATCGGCGAAGATGACGGCACAGTTTAACTATAACGCTTGCCATACGCTCTGCGATTTTCTGGAAGAGGCGCTGCCCATCTATGACAGTGCCGAAGAGAAAGGCACAACCCTATCCCAGTATACCGATTGGCCGTTTTGGCAGCGAGTTTGCAAGCTGATCCTGGAGTCCCTCAACACCATGTCGGAGATGAAGGTGCTGTGCCTCATCTATACTATCTGGGATGCCGCGACGCGAACTCCCGAACGCAAGGAGGCACTCTGCGTCGATTGGCTCCTCAGCGACGCTACCTTTTTCCGGCTGTTCAACCATTGGTGCCCTATGGTGAGATCGTACTTCATGAGGCTTCTCTGCTGGAGAGTCTGCCGAGACGATGGCAGGGCAAGTGCGCTCGACAGGTAAGCACAAAGAATTTTGCGTCATTAAAAGGCGTAACGACAAGCGTTAACACGGTGAATAGGAAAATTTTTGGGCTTGTCTCAGCTCGTCTCAGGAGCGTTTGGGCGACATATCTTTATGTCAAACAGGATGCCGAGCTCAAGGGGCGATACCCGCCCTCAACGGCGCCCTGCTACCCAACTCCGGGCAAGAAGTTCATGATTATCCGGAGCGAAGCCAACGCGATAGCCACCAACTCTTTCGCCGGCTTTGACGCTACAGGCAAGCTGCCAATTTCGGATTTCCCTATCAGCAACCTCGGCGCCGACGACGTTCTACAGTCCAAGCCAGATGGAAAGAAGAGGTGGTCGCTCCTTGGGCTCAACAAGGTGCTCTCATTCAAGAGTGATTCCAAGTCGCCCTCGGATGAGGAGGGGCCGGCGGTCACTGCCCTAGGTGAAAAAGTAGGAAGTGCTCCGCCGCCGCCGCCCAAGGGAGGTAATAGTAGCGCATCGTCTACCGGTAGCCGTACCCCGGACCCCCTTTCTCGCAGCGCTTCTCCCGATCTCAAGTCCAGCGCCCAGTACGTCTTCAGATTCGTTCTCAACTGGTACCCGCCCGCCGCTGTTCCGACTGTGAATAGGGTCTTGGCCCGCCCTCGAATCCCATCACCCGCCCAGTCATGGGTAAGCACCCACGAGCGAACGGATAGTCTACCCTCACCGGTAGCCCCGGGCCTCCCCATTACTCGCCGCGTCTCCGGATCGCCCCAAACCGGGCTTATCACCGAAGCCAGGAATGCGACCCCACTGGATGCTCGGGAGCGCAGCAAGAATCGCGCACCCTCTCATCTACCCTAGCGAGGAGTGGAAGCGGAGTGTCCCTGCCTTCGCTACGCCTAGACTTGGGTGATGATGATGAGGGTCTCGGCCTTGACCTGGGTCTGGATCGACCGGACAAGAGCGTGCCAGAAACCGTGCCAGAAATTGCTTCTCCAGGCGGCGAGCCGGCTACCGAGCCCGTCAAGCCGACGGGCACTCAAGCTAGCACTGCGGCGTATTCGGGGCGTGCTTTAGCGGAGTGGGGCATCGTCGTATTCGAGTGCAACAACTTTGTCGAGAGGCGGCGCGAGGAGGGCGTTCTGGGTCTCGCCGAAGTCGAAGTGCCTACACTCGCTCTTGAAGGATACCGCCGTATCGGTTGAGCGAGGAACAGTGGCCGTCTTTGATCCCAACTGGGCTGGTCGAGTCTTGTTCTTCTTCACCTGTCCCGGCCTGAAAATCTTTTCCATCGCTTTCATGTTGTGTCTCTCACTCTCTCACTCTCCGATGATCTTACGCCGCTTTCAGCCATCACACACGGTTGCCTTTCTTTAAATGTTGAAAGTAACTACCCTCATCGATTTGCATCGTTTTCATTCCCTTTCCGGCCATCATCTATACCACGGCGTTATAAATACAGCATCCGACATTTGGGTTTGATCTTTGGAAAGTTTTTATGCTGCGCGTCTCTCGCCGCATGTTTACTTTTTCCCCTCTTCTCTTTCTTGCACTCCTTTTACGGTTCTTAGACCGTGGATACCCAACTCTTCCGATTCACGAGCTATTGATTTCTCTCTCTTACCTTCTCGCCTCTCTCTTGTCCTGTTTCTTGCCTCTTCTTCTTCTGTTCTCTCATTTCTTGCTGTTCGCTTCATGAGATACCTAGACTTCATTATGACTACTTGGCGCACTCTGCTGTTTCTCAGGAAGCGATTTGCGATTGTTTCTACCTTTATCCCCTTCGTCGGCTATTTTTTTCTTCCCTTTTTCCTTTTTGTGTGTTCTGTTTCTGTTATTCCGGACCATATATACCTCGACACTCGGCCAGACATTTGATGCTATGGGGTGAACGGATTTTCTGGTTTGGTCATTTGGATGCAATTCTCCCTTTATAGTTCAGTACTAGAAAAACACTCATCACTCGAAAACAGTATGAGAAAGATTGGAAGACTAGGAGTTATCGTTCTTATTCCCTTTGTTCCTCACTAAGTTTACGGGAAAATCGAAGCTTGAGGCGTTCTTGCTGCACTCGCAATATTTGTATAGTTTGTTTTACGAGCCATGGGGTATGGCCGAGGTTTTAGGGGCAGGTAAACTCGGGGAAGTTTGGATAGCTCCAAATAACATCAATTGATATGGATATACCTGGTATCAACCGAATGACTTGCCATCAGATTTCCCTTATAAACGTCCAGGACTTGCCGGGATTGAATAGATGAGTAGATACATGTAGATACATCGAGGTAGACGCATGGTTTATACTGCAGCCTCTGAGTCATGATGGCAGCCAGAGATGCCAAATGATTCAACTTCTGTGTCGTTGACTCAAGTTTATAGGCTAGAATTTGAACTTGGAAGGTTTGGACAGGGTGTCACAATCCATGGAGGTTCTATTAAGTTAATACTGCCCGGCTCAAAATCATCGTCACGCAATCTCGAGTCACCATTGTACTTTAGCTGACTAAACAAAAGCTAGACAGGAGACTGCCTGTGTGCGCACGCCTGTCTCGGAAGTTTCGGCGGATATCCACCGATATCATTCACATGGTCCAATGGAGAGCACTTTTGACCAGCCTAGGTCACTTCGTGCCAGCTCCTTTTCTGGCGACACCCCGCGAGTGAGGAGCGACTTCTACTTCTGCATAAACCCTCGAGAACCCGGGGGCATAATTTCCTTATTCCGCTAGGAAATTCGAGAACCCACTGATACCTGGTCCGCACAACGCAAAGGACTCCACGAGTCCTGGGCTGCCTCCCCTGTAGCTACAATCGCCGCTTCCGTTGCGGCGCCATACGATATACCACCTACCCTTTGCCGAGTTCCTTGCTGCTCAAGCTTCACAGAGGCCCGGATCCCCGAAATACAGAATCAGAGCTCGCACTCTATCCTCCTCTCCCCGACAGCCCGCCCTATTTTCTCCTGATTCCTCTTAAACGAACTTGACGGAAAACGCGCCTCTGCGCCGAGAGCTCTGCCCAAGATGCCTTCGCCTCGTCGCATGAGGCTTCTCTGCGTAGCCGTGCTCGCGGGCATCGTCATGACCATGCTGTGGACGACCCATCAACACCGGTCATCCCTCACCACCGACTACGAGACGCCCGACTTTGGGCGTCCCGGCGCCGCCAAGGATAGGCACGGCAAAGCCGTGGTGGACCCGCAGGCTATAAACGCGGACCGGCCCGCGGGAGGCGGTGCTGAGGCGGCGGATAGCGAGGAGGTGACCGATCGCTTGAAGGCGGCGGAGCAGGAGGCCAAGGGCATTGCTCAGGCGAAGGCGCCCCTGAAGCCTGATTCGCCGCGGCTTGTCGTGGGCGTGGGGAGCTCGGCTGATGGCCAGGATGCGGCGCTCAAGCAGCACGACGGGGACGGAGAACCTAAGGGAGCTGCGGCGGGCGGTTCGGAGACGGAGGAGGAGCACAAGGCGGAGCAGGAGCTCCGGTCTATTCTAAAACGGGCGCCAGGTATGACAACGAATTTCTTCTTCCTTGCCCACCCCTAAACCAAAAATTTCCCTCTTCTTGGCGTATAGTTTCACTGTGGTCACTGTGGCTTCTTATCGCGCATGGCTAACCTTCTCGTCGCCCCTTTTCTAGTCATAATATTCTCCAAGACGTACTGCGGATTCTCTAGACGCGCAAAGGCCCTCCTCCTAGAGAGGTACGTGATTGACCCGCCACCTCACGTTGTCGAGCTGGACGTGCACCCTCTCGGCCCCGAGCTTCAGGATCTGCTCAAGGAGACCACGGGCCGAGGCACTGTCCCCAACATCATGATCAACGGAGTCAGCATTGGCGGCAGCGATGATATTGCCGATCTCGACCACGGCGGCGCGTTGGTAACCAAGATACAAGACCTTGGCGAGGCGAGAATGGTGTCGATGAAGCTACGCGTGTAAAACTGTACGATTAGAGCGGAGAACTCAGGGTCTAGGTATCGGGTTACGTGGGTGACTTTGATTTTTTGATTTGTTTTTATGTTTATCCTTTTCACTTCCTTGCCTACCAGTGCGGCTTTGTATTATTATCATCACACTTCGAGTGTGACATTCTCTTTGCCTCTCTCCCATGCTGCTTGAGCATCAAGAGTATCATGGTCCCCAACACGTTGTGGGTGTGTCTTCATCTTCTCGCTCTACTGTACACATACGTACTTAGCCCTGCCTAGCCTGGTTCATACAATCTGTCTAGACTAGAAGAAGCGTCTAATACTAAAATCAGCGCTCTTTGCAGCGTGGAGACACCACCAACCAGGCCCAAGATTCCGACGTGGACAAAGGAAACTCGCATGGCCTGTTATGACCGGTTCTGATGAAAGAGCCTTGCTGTGTTGAAAGCGATATGCGGTTTGGCTTTCGAAGGAACTGGAAGTGTGAAGCCCTTGTAGTAATGACATTGATAGTTATACGGCCAGTCCAACATTGATCCATCATGGGATCCATTGGATCATCACTACAATAGCACTCAGTGCTGAGTTGATGGATCAGTTATGTTGATCATTTTATGGGGGCAACACGTGACTCATCAGGGGTGCCAGACCACTACATAGGGCAGGAACGTCCCTTGCCAGGCGCCAGGAACCTGGAAACTACTTGCGACATGCGCGACGCCTCAAATTGAAGTATTACTTGACGAAAACCCCACTCAAACGCTCTCAGAGGCCAAAAAAGTGCCTAAAAGTGCTCCGTTCTTCGCCATGTGATAAGCGACCCTCTCCTCGACCCTTTGCCTAGTTCATGTACCATGCTACTATCCCGCCGATTGTTCACCACCATGGCTACAGGAGTCAACAAGGTGCCCATCCCCGCCGGGGAGTCGACTATAGGGGCAAAATCGTCCTTGCGCCCATGGTGCGTTCGGGCGAGCTCCCGTCGCGCCTGGTTGCGCTCAAGTACGGCGCTGATTTGGTTTGGGGTAAGTAAAGGAAGAAAAAAAAAAGACCCAAACCCCCAGCCCGTAGCCCCGCCCCTCTCCCTTTCTTATGGATGTTGACGACTTCTCCCTTCCGATTCTAGGTCCCGAAACCGTCGACAGATCCATGATTGGCACGACGCGTAGGGTCAACGACGCCACGGGGACGATTGAGTGGACGCGCCAGCCCTCAAACGGCCAAAAGGCCCCGCCCGAACATGCGACGGAGAGCACGATTTACAAGATGCACCCGGCCAAGGAGGGAGAAAAGTTGATTTTCCAGATGGGTACCTCGGACCCCGAGCGGGCTGTCGCCTGCGCGCGGCTCGTGGCCGCCGATGTAGCCGGCATTGATGTCAACGCCGGGTGTCCCAAGCCCTTTAGCACGAGCGGCGGCATGGGCGCAGCCCTTTGCGCACCCCAGACAAGTTATGCGCCATCCTCGAAGCCCTCGTTAGGGATATCGTGCCCGAGTTCGAGATCGGCATCAGCGTTAAAATCCGGATCCTCGACACCGCCGCCGAGACCGAGACGCTCGTGAGGCGTCTCTGCGCCACTGGCATCACCGGCCTCACGGTGCACTGCCGGACCACGCCTATGCGACCACGCGAGAGGGCCATCCGGGGCCAGTTGCGCATGATAGCAGACGTGTGTCGCGAGGCGGGCGTCGCGTGCCTCATGAACGGGGACGTCACCAATCGGGACGAGGGCCTCAAGCTGGCCGAGGAGTTTGGCGTCGACGGCGCCATGATTGCGACCGCGGCGGAAAAGAATCCGAGCTGCTTCCGTAGCCAGGCGGATGGCGGTCTCGCGCCCTGGCGGGAGGCTGTCGAGGAGTACGTCAAGCTGGCCATGGAGGTCGAGAACAAGTACGGCAACACCAAGTTCCTCCTCGCCAACATGGTCCCGGGCAAGCAGGTCCTTCACGGTCCCATCACGCAGTGCAGGTCGCACACGCAGGTGTGCCAGCACCTCGACTTCTCGCACCTCCTCGAAAAGGCTAGGGCCGCTGACATGGCCCTCGAGTTGGGCGAGTTCGCCCGGGCGCCGCGCAAGAAGGACAAGAAGGCGAACGCGGCCGCGCTGGCTGCCGGAGGTAACATGGCCCAGGCGAGGAAGGCGAGCAAGACGACTGACAATAAGCTCGCGCAGCCGAATCGGCTAGCCCAACCAGCCCAGGCAGCCCAGACCGAGACTAGCCTCCCGGTAGCGGAGCCTCCCTTGCAGCCGGCCGTTGCTGCCTCATCAATGTAAACCGGTGGGGATGGGGGAGAGGGTAGTATTTGTCGAAAAATCGGTTGGGGAAAAACTAAATAGAAAGGGGGCATAGCATCAGCAACTTGAAATACTTGGATGGCGTTCTCTGGGGGAAATCTTTTGCGCTTTTCATTTCATTAACATTGTTTTTTTCCTGTTGCGCATCATCGGTTGATATAGACTGCATTGTTTTAGCATGCCTCCACTCATATGGCACCTCCTCTTGGAAGACAATGGATGACTTGGTCTAATCTTCACTCAACTTCACTTGGGTTTCCTCTTGGTTCGCTGTAAAAGCAACAAAAGAGATCCATTTCTTTACTCAAAAGTCTATTTAGATAAAAAGAGAAAAACGTCATTGTACAATGTGATGGCCCATGCCTGTCCCCTTTTATTTACCCTTCCTTACCCAGCTCTCCACGGTCTCCCTCGCATTCGATACTGTATCGTCAACATACTGAATGCCTACATCCTTGTGGAGCTTGGCAAAGTGCAGTCCCTGCTTGATCGAGTCCCGCACTTGGGTGTGGGTGGAGGCGACGGCGGGGAACCTCTGCTCATACTTCCACGCCAGGTTGGAGACGTTGTTCATGGTGACGGGAAGCACAACCCAGGCGGCACCGGTACCGAAGACCAGGGGGCGGTAGCCCTGAGGAAGACGTTCTTGTTCCTCGCAACGATGCTGCCGGCCATGGCGGCGACGAGGACATAGACGGCGCCGGGCATGAGCTTCTCGCCGCTCTCCTTGGACGGCGCGAGCGAGGCAATGGTATTGGTGAAGGACTGCTCGAGGTTGAACGCCTTGTCGACGGTGCGGTTAACGGCATCCTCGGCAACCACAACCTGACGGTAGAGGAAGAGGCGGGCCTTGCCGATCTCGACGGCGAGGCGGTCGGTGGGGGTGGGCCGGCGAGGAGCCTGCTCGACGGGGGTCACCGGGATCAAGGCATTGGGAGGGGCCGAAGCGACGGGCTCAATCTTGGCCGGGGCCACGTCCTCGACGTCGTCGTAGATAGGCTTTCGGGACGGAGCTTCGGCGTGGGCAATGGTCGGCTGGAGGGCGAAGCCGCCGAGGAGAAGGGTGGCCGTGACTGGGGCCACCGCGCTCTAGACGAGAGGGAAAAAAACCTCGGAGTCAATTCTCATGTCCCCTCTTGCTTACAACAACGTGGCTAGGCACGCACGAGGGGATTAGAGGGACTTACCCGTTGCAGTAGCACTCTTGCGGCCATTTTGCGCTCAAATTGGAGCTCTTGGTCGTCAATTTCACATTCGTTTGTGGAGGTCCGGATTATGTCGCGAGAATTAGTCGGCTCAGGCTTGTCTGAGAAGGTCAAGTTGTTGGCCAGCTCGGCTGAAGTCCGGCTATTTCATACCCTCGGCTTGATGGGGCCATTCTTCCTCGCTGCTGATGTACATTTTTACCACTGCGACTGCTCTGGTGGAGAGTGGGATGGCAGACAGTGGGACAGGGGTCGGTCGATTATACCTATCACCTTCTGCAGGATAGCAACCAAACCCCTGGGAATATCAAAGCCGGAAAAAGAAAAAAAGAGGTCGAGGGAAAGAAATCAGAAATAGGGAATGCACGCGAAAAAAGAGTTTACGACGACGCATGAAACGACTTTCTTCTTGAACCCTTTTCTTTCTTCTATCCTGTTGTCTTTTCCTATCTTTTGATCTTTCCTTTTCTCTCTTCTTTTGCCGTCCTTGGTGGATAGGCTCGGCGTCTTGCTTGACCCATAAATGATTTCCCCCAGCACCTCAATCTTTTTATAACAATGTTCAAAGCAGCTGCTCCTGGCTGCGAGTGTGCTCGGCCTGTCTTCGCAGCGGCGCATCCCCAACACACTCCGAGCTATCGTCCCCAGAGCAGGACTGCCCCGGATAACGCGATGGGGCTACTCGACCGCGGCCGAAGCGTCCGAACACGACGTCATCCGAGAGGTGTTTGACCAGCCCGACCGCGCATCCAAGTGGTTCTCCTCGACGAGTCCCGCCGCGCGACTGCGACCGACCGGCAAGAGTGCCGGGCTCTTCAAGAACCGGTACCTGACGCGCCCGGAAGGGTTCCAAGTGTTTGCCTACCACAACCTCCAGAGAGCCTCGCAGCTCGTGGACAGGATCCTCCATGCCTCGACCGTCGACGAGTACCGCCAGGTTGTGCGCAACCTCGACCGGCTCAGCGATCTCCTATGCCGGGTCCTCGACCTCTGCGACTTTGTCCGCATGACGCACCCCGACCCCGTTACCAGGCCGCCGCCAGCGACGCCTGGGGCATAGTCTACCAGTACATGAACCAGCTCAACACCACCACCGGGCTCAACGACCAGCTGTGCAAGGCCATGGACAACCCAGACGTCACTTCGGCCTGGTCCGAGGAGGAGGCCATCGTGGCCAAGACGCTGCGCATCGACTTTGAAAAGTCGGGCGTGCACCTCCCCGAACGTGCGGGCCAAATTCGTCGACCTGTCTCAGCAAATCAGCGAGGTCGGCACCGAGTTTGTCGGCACCATGGCGCCGGAAAAGTACACGGTGCAGCTGCCCGCCGCCAAGTTTACCGGCCTACGGCCCGACATACTCGCGGCGCACACCCGCGGCAGCTACGTCCGCCTCGGCGCCGTCGGCGGTGCCACCACGAGCGCCTTGCGGACCGTGCTGGACGAAGACGTGAGAAAGGCCCTCTACCTCGCCTCCAACACCGCGTCCCGCCGGACCGTCGGCCTGCTTGAGGAGATGCTGAGGCTGCGCGCCGAGTTGGCGGCCCTCACGGGCTTCGAGAGCTTCGCGCACCAAAACATGAAGGACCGCGTCATGGCCAAGACCCCCGCCGCGGTGGTTCGCTTCCTCGAGGCCCTGCAAAAGCACAATGCGCCCATCGTGCAGCAAGAAGTAGCAGACCTCCTGCAGGTGAAAAAGGCCCGCCTCGGCGCCCACCACACCCAGCTCTTCGCCTGGGACCGCGAGTTCTGCGCGCAAACCGTCAAGGAGGAGATGAAGGACGAGACCTCGCGGGCGCTCGGTCCTTCCCCGGCGCACTCTCCAACTACTTTTCCGTGGGCACCGTCATCAAGGGCCTGTCGATCCTGTACAGCCGCCTGTACGGCATCCGCCTCGTCCCGCGGGAAACCCTCCCCGGCGAGGTCTGGCACCCGGACGTCCGCCGCCTCGACGTCGTCTCCGACAAGGGCGCCCTCCTCGCCGTTCTCTACTGCGACCTCTTTTACCGCGAGGCCAAGTCCCAAAACCCGGCCCACTACACGATCCGCTGCTCCCGGGACATCCTCGACGGCGAGATCGAAGAGGTCGCGCTGGACGCCGGCCGCGAAGGTTTACCCAAGTTCGACTCGGCCGAGATGGCCGCCAACGACGGCATGGAAGCGGTGCGCGAGGGCGGCGTGCTCAAGCAGCTCCCCACCATCGCCCTCGTCTGCGACTTTACCCGCCACGGCGGCTCGAACCCGCCGCCCTCGTCGGCCGCGACGTGGAGACGCTCTTCCACGAAATGGGCCACGCCGTGCACTCCTTCCTCGCGCGCACCTCCTTCCAGACCGTCGCCGGCACCCGCTGCGCCACCGACCTCGCCGAGCTCCCCTCCACCCTCATGGAGCACTTCGCCGTCGACCCCACCGTCCTCGGCCTCTTTGCCCGCCACTGGAAGTCGGGCGAACCCGTGCCCTACGACCGCGTCGCCGCCCGCGTCCGCGCCTCCAAGCGCTTCGAGGGCCTCCAGACCGAGCGCCAAATTATACTCGCCATGGCCGACCAGGCCCTCCACTCCCCGCCGCCCGCGACCCGACCTTTAGCTCCACCGCCGCCTACCACCGCATCCAGGCCGACCTCGCCGCCGGTCCCCCGACGACCCTTCCACCTCGTGGCAGGGCTTCTTCGGCCACCTCCACGGCTACGGTAGCACCTACTACAGCTACCTCTTTGACCGCGTCCTCGCCGAACGCGTATGGCGCGTCGTCTTCCGCGCCGGCGAGGACGGCGCCGCCATCTCCAGGGAGAATGGCGAGTGGCTCAAGGAAAACTCCTCCGCTGGGGCGGCAGCCGCGATCCCTGGCGCTGCCTCGCAGACACCCTCTCCGACGAGAGGATCGCGGCCGGTGACGAAAAGGCAATGGCTATCGTGGGGAGCTGGGGCATCAAGGACGAGTTCCGCCCCTAGTTAAACAGAAAGAAAGATGGCCGTTTTTCAAGCTAAAACGCTGGATTGTGCTCATCGATCACCACGACTCCCTTCCCTCCCCATGTGTATGAAATCTGTATCACAATCTCAAGAAATCATTTTAGACCACTACTACTCCTGTCTTTATCTGCGGCAAGGGAAAAAAACCATCTATTCTCCCCCGTGTTGTTTGTACTTTTATCTATGGTAGGGGGGACTCGCGGGCCCCAACAATCTTGTATACGAACCGGTGGTTGATTGTTAGATAGAGTGTGCGCAAGGGCATGAATAAAACTTAGACGTGTGAAAGTGTAACCAGGGTTTCTCCCCTTTATGACTACAAGCGCCAAGCAAGTGGGCGTGAGCTTAACTGGTCGACCGGTTTTAGCCTACCAGTGCACCAAGGTCTCTCGTCTCGGGAGTCCGAAGGGGTACTTTTACAATATGCATGTCACAAATTGGGAGCGGACGACCATCAACATATGCGCCGGCTCACTAGCCTACACCTTACACCCATCCAAGGGGTTGCCAATCTTACTTGTAGCGTTGAAACCCAGAGAACTTTTCATTGAGCTCTGTACTATCTTAGGATATCGTTTCCTCTTTTCTTTTTCTTTTTCGAATTTGTTTTGGCTTTGTTTCATACATTGGCATGCTAGTACCTTGCTGAACGAGCAGGCTATGATGCGCTTAGGCAGAGGCACCGCTGATGAAGAACCACTTGTCGATGGAGCTGTCGATCTTCTCGGGGGCAAGCTCCTGGTGGGCGGGAAGGGGAGGCAGCTGAGAGGGGCTGACGCGGCTGTTGGAGTGCTCAACAGTGACGTTGGTGCTAGAGGCCAAGCCAGTCAGTAATTGGTCACGGCTGATAAGCCCTTGCCCCAAGCAGTGGGAAGGGGGAGGGTTAAGAAGGGGCTTAAACTTACGTGGAGATATCGCCAGCAGGGGCCTTGCCGGAGATGAGCTTCTCCCAGGCCTCGGCGCACTCACGGACAACGTCCATGGCGTAGCTAAATGAAAATGCTCGTTAGTCGGGTGATCGGGAAGAGCCAAGTTGAGAGGGAAAAAAAGAAGAAAAAAACAGGGCGGCATGGGCGTACCTCTTGTTCTTGCACTCGCCAGTGAAGGCGAACTGGTTCTCGGGCTTGCCATCGGGAATCTTGTAGATACGGAACCACTCGTTGGTGGCACGGAGGAGGCCAGGAAGGTGGCGCTCGACATCCTCGATGTCGTTCAGCTTGGGGGCCAAGGGGTCGTTGACATCGATGACAATGACCTTCCAGTCAGTCTCCTCCTCGTCGAGAAGGGCCATGACGCCGAGAACCTTGACCTGCTTGACCTGGCCAGTGTAGCCGACAAGCTCACCAATCTCGCACACGTCGAGAGGGTCATTGTCACCCTTGGCCTTGGTCTCGGGGTGGATGTGGTTGGGGTCCTCCCAGGTCTGTACGATTCGACGGGTCAGTCTGTGCTATTGGCATTTGAGTCTTTTTAGTATAAAGGCGAAGTTTACCTGGGGAAGGCACCGTAGTTCCAGAGGTAACCCTTGTGAGGGAAGCAGTTGCGGACGAATCGAAGCTTGCCCTTCTTGGTATCTTGCTTGATGGGGTTGAGGAGCTCCTCCTTGGAGATCTATCGGCAACAGTTGTTAGTATAAATCTAAACGTTTTGGTTGACTTTCTGTTTTATTTTCCCGGGAACCACCGTGGCCCAACCAAGAGCCAGCCAAACAAGTGGCAAGCTTTTGCACTGGCAAGGAGGGGTAGCTTTGAACTTAGAGCTGCAGGTGGGAAAGTGAAAAAAAAAGACGGAAAAAATAATTGTCGGAAAAGTTGAGTAGAGAGGACAGAAAAAAAGCTTCGAGGGGCCAAAGGGCCCTCTCAAAACGGACAACTAACCTCCTGCTTGGCATTGGTCCATCGGGGGATCTCGACTACCATGTTGAGGACGGTCTGCTCAGCATTGGCGTAGAGGGGAATGTCGTGGAAGGGGAGACGGGAACGCCATCCTTCTCGATGTAGACGCGGTGCTCCAAGGTGTGAGGAGCACCGACCTTGCGGAGGGAGTAGGTCATTTTTGGATCGGGGGAGGACTGCGATGGGAGGAAGTAGAAGATGCGCTCGACAGGTGACGAGCTATCTGGGAAACGCGATGAGAAGGAATGGTGGAGGTTGTGAAGGGGGTCGTGGGGTGGAGGTGATGTTATTCGAAGGAGGGGAGGGGTAGTTTTGCCAGACGCACGAGGACGTGTGGCGGCAGCAGACGTCGAGATTGGATGGGCAGCCAGGGTGGGCAAGATGTGGGCACCGGGCAGGGTTAATCTGCCAGGTCTACGATTGCGATTGGGTTGGGGCTGGAGGTGTGGCGAAGACGAAGACGGGAGGGAGAGGGACTGGTACCGTAACCGTGACGGGGCCCTGGACTGAGACTGGGACTTGGCCTGGGACTGGAACCGGGCCTGGGACTGGGACTGCGGGTATAGCGCGTGTGTGCTTGCAGAGCAGCCTTGGAGACGCTGGATGGGTGAATGCGCGGAACGGTGGACGCGGGTGAATGGAAGGGCCTGCAGCGAGATTCGTGGCGTCATTTATATCCACCTAGCACGTTTGTTCGCTGGCAACTATTAAGAGCAATGACAAAAAAGAAGAAGAGGACTTTCGGTCTAGTGGAATGGAAGGGGAACGAAAGGCGAGAAGGGCCTTGGAGATCAAATAGCAGACAAGGGCAGGTGGGCCGACGACGAAAGGGGTCAAGGAAAGGGCCGGAAGTAAGAGCTTGAATTTGAAGGATAGGGCGAGCGATGCGGCGGGAAAATAAAAAGACTTTTAGGGGCAGGATCACCCTTGAACGTGAGCTCTGATGCTGTAGGAAGGTTCAATGTTCGTGGAAGCCTTGGAATTTTAGTGGGTGCTCTGGTGCTCTCGCCGTGTATCAAATCCCGAAATCTCTTGCCTCTTTAGCGCGGTACCGTCGATTTTGTTCCTCGCCTCCGTTTTTACCTCGGGCCAGTGGTCTCGGGAAACGTCGATGTGTGTTTGGCTGAGCAAGGGAAAGGTACCTGTAGGAGTTCCGGTCGTCGGGTCGTCGGGCTGGTGGATGTTGGAGAAAGAGAGCGAACACGGCGGATCTCGGCGCGATGGCACCATCCTTGGCCTCTATTCTCTTTACCTTAGTGGGACCAATGGGAGGGGCGCATTTACTTCCCTCACAGTTGTTTGGGGAAACCCCGGGATAAAGGAGGAAAAAGAACGCACGCACCAGCGCCCAGGAGCGAGCTGCCCCTGGAATGCGCGGGCATGCTGCGTGCGCGCTACATATTATATTATGACCAGAGCTGAGTGCAAGATGATTCATAGTACTTTCGTGTACAACCCTTGTTTGAATTCATCATGGGACGCAGGCAACCTCGACGAGCCTCCTCCGAGCAACGTGGGTTTGCTTGTAAATTATTAGGGGCCGGGCTGAGCCAGGGCTATCTTGGTTGGGTGTACCGAGGTACTGCCTTGCCGAATACAACTAACCTCAAAGATTACGCTCCCCTATCATCCTCCATGCATTCTCTTCTCTTTGATATTCGTTGATAGCAGCATGCCACGATCATGATAAGCCTTTGCTTTGCACTGGCCACCTAGCCCTTTGAGCTCTGTGCCCTCGGCGGTATCATGGATTAAATCCTACTAGGCCCATTGCGAGCCCTGCGATCTTCAACTTTTGTTTATATTTTCAAACCTCGGGCGGAGAGACCTTTCTAGGATGAACTACATCTTGCTTCCTTCCTCTAGTTACGACTGCACGTTCCAGTAGAAGGCCATATCCCTTCCTCTACCGGGAGCAGGGTCCGCGAGACAGCTTCGCTTCGTTGCACTTCAGCTCGCGCCCTTTAACATATTCCATGAACGGCAGCGACTCAGTTGCTTCGACCAGCGCAGCCAGGGGCGCCCAGCAAGATCACAGTTATAGCAGGAAAAGCACCACCAGAATATAACACGGGGCGTCGAAGAACAAGTCGTACAACCGCAAAGATTCGAAATCCCCAAACGTAACTCGTCTGTCTATGTCGTGACGGGTATCATTATACGTAGAGGTGTATATAGAGACATTGGTAATGTACATGGTTGAATGACGCTCGACACTCGATGCTAGGCGTTTCGGCGCCCATCTCGTCCGCCCTTCCGCCTTAACCGTCCGTCAGGTCGGCTTGCTTCTGCAGTTTTCGCGAATGTCGATCGACCTCCTCCGTCAGGCTCTTGATGCCGAGCTTCTCGCAATCGAGGCTCATCTCCTTGCCATCCTCTGCACAGGGGGTTTACCAGTTAGCAATTGCCAATTCGTCCCTGCCATGTGACGGATACGAGGTGGAGCCTTTTTTAGTTAAATATAAATCACGTACTGAATTTGACGTTGAGGGAGCTGGGCTCGGTCGACGCCCTCGGCAGTAATGTCGTCTTGACAGCAATCGTCTGTCGCGCATTGGGAGGCAGGAGGGAGAGGAAGAGTCGCGCTGACCGGGCCGCAGGGGAGAAAGGATTGAACTTGGTCGACACCTCGGTCATGAATTTGGTGATCATCTTGACGCGTCCCGAACCGGGTAATCGAGAAATATATGTTCTTTAGTTCGGAAGCTCGAGAGGGCCACACAAGGGCGGGCTTTCTTTTTTCGGTTATCGAACGCAGCGGGCGCGATGCGGTCGGATGGTGGGAGAGATCTGTCGATATACAATTTTTGCGCTACTGGTCCGAAGCTCGAGGTTTGCTACCCAGCATTGAATTTTTACACGTTCGATAGGTCTTGGTTGCCTTACATAAGCAAGGCCACTTCATCAACGACACCCATTCAGAGGCTATCCTTCCGCCAGCATTCCGTCATCTGCCAAACTGGACAGCTTTCCGGATTACGGCTCACCGAACAAAGTCGACCACCCACAACCTCTACCTAATTTTCTCGACGTCCGATCTCTACACCACTGGCGGAATTTTTAAGCGAATAGACATCATGTCTCTAGAAGGGCTGCAAGACCGCCTCACGGCACTGCAGGAAACCACAGCCCAGCTTCGAGACCTAATCGAGCGGCTTTCCAACCTCAAATTCACCCCTGGCGCAGTGCCTCTACGAGCCGACGAAGACAACACCGTTTCGGCCGAACTCGGCTCTGAGATTAGTCAAATACTGCGGGAAGAGGAGGATGAGCTCGAGATTTTAAAAGAGGAGGTGGAAGACTTGCGCTCAGGTCGTCCGGGGAGCGACGCCGAGCACCAGAAGAAGCGACTGAAGGAGTCTTTAGCTCGCTTGGAGAAGGAACTCTCAGTGTATGTGCTATTTCTTTTTCTCTTTCCCCTTCCAGTTTATTTGTTCTGTGAACCCCACCCTTGATCCTCTATTCATACAAGCTAACTTTTGCCGTGGTTCAGCCATCGTGTGTCCTTTCGACAAGCCCAGCTCGCGGCGCGGCAAAGCCTCATCGAAGCCCAGAAGCTCGAGCGCGAGATTCTCCTCAAGTCATATTCGCAGCCGATCCCGGCCGACGATGTTTCGCTTGGCGATGACGGGGCAAACGGTGGCTCTGGAGTAACGCACCCACCGTTTCGCAAGAACCAGGCCACCAATCTTTCGGAAGAGGATCAGCAGGTCGTGGCAGCCAGCACAGAAGCCACGCGGGGTCTACATCGGCTGCGCGACAACATCGAAAAAGCGCTTCTTGTCAGCGCGGCCACCCAGGAATCACTCGAGGAATCCTCCACGGCGCTCACGCAGGTCGGGGATTCGTACATGTCCCTCGACACGATGCTTTCGTCGTCCAAGGAACTCTTGGGAACGCTTGTCAAGTCCCAGAAGAGCGATACTTGGTATCTTCAGACATCGCTTTACATGCTGCTGGTGACGTTGGGGTGGCTCGTTTTCCGGCGATGGATGTATGGTCCACTGTGGTGGCTCGTCTGGCTTCCTCTAAAACTGGTATTCAAGACTTCGGTTGGCGTATCCAATGCTGTTGGCCAAGCAGGTGGCCGGTCGGACGGAGCTAGCCAGGCCGGGTTGCAGGACGCCAAGGCTTCTGTCGAGGGTCTACCCGATGAGAGCCTACCCACAGTCAAGGTCCAAACGGACCCGTCAGATAAATCGGAAGTGGATCCGGACTCCATGGTAGAAAAAGTCGGCAAGTTGATCGACGAGGGTGAAGCGGAAGGTGACCTGGCAGTATCTCAAGATGCCGCAGACATAAACACCAAGGAGAAGGACGAGCTATGATTATATAAACAGGAAATAATCAACTGCATCATTGGCGCATCACGTAGAACCATCCGAACAGGAAAGAAGAAACCACGCATGAATAGACTTTACATGACCTCTCATTATTTTCTCCACATCGGCCTTTGTCACCGAGGGCATGGCCATCTAAGCAGCCAGCCGACGAACCGCCCCTTGTACTATCTCCCACTCCATCACTCGCTCACTGCGCAGCGAGTCTCTTTGGTTGGACAACTGGGATATCGCTGATCCACGGGATACCAAGCTTGCGCATCTCGACGGCCAACTGGAACAGGTAGTCGAGACTCTCGCACATGGTCTTGGCCTTGTGGACGTTGTCACCCCAGACGTAAACGCCATGCCTCCTGACGAGGATCGCATAGGCGTCGGGAAATTCGTCCATTGCTTCCTCCATGAACTCGGTGAGGTCCTCCTCGTGGGCGGTGTTCTCGATGACGGGGATGCGCAAAGTGTCATGGTAGCCTAGGTTGCCGAGCTTGGAAGGACCCTTGCCAAAGCCCTTGATCTGCTCAATGTTGTTGATCTCGAAGACGGTCCGTCGGTCCGAGTTGGCGTCGGCCTCGAGGAGAAGGGTGACGAGGACGGCCCATTGGGAATGGGTATGAATGCAGCATCCGGCGTTGCGCTTGGTGAAGGCGGCGAGGAAGAGGGTGTGCACTGGGAGGGCCTTCCGCAGGGTGGGGAGCGGAGGTACGTTCGGGGACTGGGAGGATTTTGCAGGCGCAGGGAGAGGACGTAGAGGTCTGATGCCTTCATGAGCTCTTTTGGACGCCCGAGGGCGCAATGTAGACGAGATCACTACAGAGCAAGCATTGTAAGCAAAGAGCAAGGGCGCAAAGTATTGTAGTTCCGGGGAAACCAACTTACTCGTCGCGAATGGAGCAGCCTCCGCCGGTTCCCGTAACCCATCCCAGGGTCCAGAACTTGGCGCAAAGCGAAGGGATTAGGTTGGCGGGGTGGTCGGGGCTCTCCGAGGTGATGAGCTGGTCCCCGTTGCCCAGAGTATCCTGAGGGTCGGCCATGGTCGAAAGTGGTCAAACCTCTGGCAAGGCCGCGCAATGTGCTTTCTTTTTAGTGGCTTATTTTTCCTCCTTCCCGTCTGAAGAATGGTTTCCCTTTGGCTCGTCTTTCTAACGCACTGCCCAAAAAATGCGAACAGAGGAACGCAGTAGAGAACCGTTTTCCGGAAGCTGTCAGTGTCTCTACTATATCGATTACATGTGGTACTTTGATGGCGGGGTCCAAAGACGGGCGAAATCTTGATGGTGGGGTCTAGTGGGGGAGCGAAATTACGTGACGGCGCGAACGTTGCCCACCACGCAAGCACGCATTGTTAAATCCGTAATGTGAGCAATCCAGAGCTAAGAGTGTTTCCCACGTGTCGCCAATACTTGCAGTGTAGGGATTGATCTGGTCTTCTGCTCCATCACAATCGCCCGCGACGGAGCGGGTCGAGGCGCCAGGACGCCTACACCTATCCGCAGGCCCGTCGAAAGCACGTAATAGCTCCCGAAAGCGCATCTAGATCAATTGATGAATGCCCTCATCTACCCTCCTTTGTCATCCTCCAACCTCTTTTTCCACCTATAGCTAAAGCCCGCTCGTGATGTGCTTTTCTTGATTTCCCGGTGCATATGATATTTAGGTCCAGTAGATTATCTTGCTATGGCCATACTCTTCTTACGCGTACGAGATTGAAATGTTATACCATTTGAAAAGGAACGGGGTGCCGAACATAAGACGAGTCCAGAAATCCACGCAGGCTGGAAAATTGATCTCCTCGGAGCTCTTTCAGACGGGCTCAGAGGATCGAACGAGTGCGCCGAATTTTATTGGCTCGAGTAGCTCAAACTGGACGGTCCTGGTTTCAGTGTTCACATTACGGCCCGTTTGTCCTGGCAATCACGTGCCATGGGAGAATTAGACCTCCTCAAGCTTCGATATTCTTGGGAGCTCTCCACCGCCACAAAAGCTTTCTTTTCCTCACCTCTCGGCCAGCGTGGTCAGCTTTTCTCGCGTCGACCATGTGCCCTTGAGTGCCCCTACCTACATCATGTAATCGTTTCCGGCCCTCTCTAGGTCTAGAGTAAGTCACAAACCGTTTCCCTTTCTTGTATCATCGGAAACCCCATTTGGCCACGGAGCCCTCAGAGGATGATGTTTATAATTTCTTGAATTCTGCAATCCTGAACAAGCCCGCTTGCGGTGCTTGTTTTTGATGAACCCCAAGACCTGACTCTGCTCACGTTGGCCCGCCCATTTATGCGTCCCCAAGCATCTACTCTCCAAGTGCTAGCGATGTAGGGCGGAGTATAATTCTGTTCGCAATTGAAACCTCGAATTCTCCACGATTTAAAATACAATAGCTAACGAATCCAGCCTCTATCTTCCTTCTTCTCTGCACCCCCTCTTGCCACCCTTTTACGTGTGGACCGGGACTCCAGCGGCATATCGATCGCCGACCACTTCAAACTTTCCAAGGATGTGATCTATCTCTGCCATTTCCTCGTCGGTAAGTTCTACGATCTTGTTGTTCTCCTCGACCCTCGCAGCCGTCGTAGCCCCAGGGATGGGGATGATGGTGGGCATGTTGGGCCGTCGGGCCAATGTGAGACACCAACCAATGGCGAGCTGTGACATGGTGCAGTTCTTCTTCTTGGCCAGCTTCTCTACCTCGCGGACGAGCTCCAGGTTGATGGGGAACGTGTCAGGCTGGAAGCGTGGCAGGTGATGACGGTAATCTCCCTTTGGAATGTCATCGGGAGTCTTGATTTGTCCAGTAAGGATCTAGAAAGAACAGAAAAAAGAGCTATTGTCAGTAAATCCTTCCTTTGTAAAGTGCGCTGGCGCTAGCGCCGAATGTGGTTGGGGATGTGAGCTACGTACACCGCGTCCGAGAGGGCTGTAGGCGACCAGCGGAATGTTGTATTGAGCACACGCCTCGGCCACACCATTCTCCAAGACTTCGGTGGCCCAGAGGCTAAGCTCTACTTCGACCGCCTCGATCTTGGTGACCTTGACCGCCTCATGGATAGTCTTTGCGGAGACCTCGGAGAGAGAGATGCCACCAATCTTCCCCGTCTTGATGTACTCGCTCTCGAGCACACCAAATGTAGTCTCGAGCGGCACGTTGGGGTCCCTTCGAGCGCACTCGAACAAGTCGACCTTGATGGTGCCCTTGAGCTGAGAAACGATTTCGTCGACGGATCGCCGCGTGTTCTTGGCCGAGCCATCAAACATCAAGGTTCCCGGGACGGCACCTCCTTCATGCTGATGACTACCTTGGACGCGTCCTCGGGGTACTTTTCAAAGTAGGCCGCGAGCAACGTCATGCTATTGTGTTCGGGTGTGCCGTAGAACTCGCCGCCGTTCCAGAAATTAGCGCCACTTGCGAGCGCCGCGCGCATCGCCGCAAAGGCCTGCTCTTGGGAGCAGGGCTCGGGTCGCCATGTGAGGCCTATGCAGTCGACGGAAACAGCGTTAGTTACCAAAGCCACGCACGCGCTTAGCCATATAGCCCCCTTGATTTACCACCGCGGGGTCCATGCTTGGCCACCTATGCTTATGGGGCAGAGAAGACGGAAGAGGGAAGGGTATTAGTGAATCTTACCCATGAGGCCGAAGCCGATGGTGCCAACTTCTCGTCCTGCAATCTGAGGCATATTTGCTCGATTATACTGAAAATGATCTAAAGGAAGAGAAATGTGTGAAAAGGGTAGAAAGGTGGGACAATAGGCGTGGGTAGTATTTGGGTATAAGTGGCTATGATGGCAACCGTTACTTGATAGTCGCAGAATGATCTTTGGTCTATGAGCTTGCTCAATGGTTTGTATAATGAATAGAGATCATGGTCAAGAAAAAGGGTCAGTTATCGGCCATATTTATATTCAGGCAGGCCACTCTAGAACTTGAGAATTCGGCTTCAACGGACATTATGCCATCATGCTCCCCTCGACGGAGGGAAAGGATCGTTCGAATCAAGATGCATCATGGAACCATCTCCCAGTATCTCCCTCCCGAAGGGCCACGCGGGGATAGAGGAGTCCGCGGCCGGGATGCGCAAGGACTCTGCCTCGTTCGTGGCCGTATAAGAGCCTTGTCTGTCGCCTTCTGCAGAGATCGCGGAAATATAAACCCCGCGCTCTTCTAGGTGGAGTATGCATAGCACTAGGCCTTTCACTAAACGCCGACTCGTCCTTCATCATTGAGGAGGGGCCAAAGCTTTCGTAAGCCTCAAAACCTCTTAGTAGGGAAACCAACAAAAAAACATTGAAAGAGAGTTGGCTGCGTGCAGATCCTGGACAGCCAAGGGTTTTTCACCTCCCATGGCACGCAGAAGCCTCCGGTGTTAATCGAGCCGCCCGCGCGGGTTTTACTAGCTCCACACGATGGGCTGGACGGGGTTTGTCAGCTGAAACCAGCCCAAACCCAGCCCAAGCTGTCAGTGGGCTTTATTGTGCAGTATTACAAAGCCACACGGCGACAAAAACTCCATCGGACTTAACGACGGAGCCCTCCAGCTCCACTAATAACATTGAAAACCTTCCCGCCATGGCGCCGACCAACGCCTTTTCTAAGAAGCATGAGGGGATGTAGCGCAGCAAAGGCGATAATGTTACGAGGTTGCTTTTAAACTCCGAAACTAAAGGGGTATTTTTGGCCAGGTAGCTAAAACAAACGAGATAGCTGACTTTGTTTCGACGTCATAACCTGGGGGTACCGACTCCGCTTGACTTCCCCAGAACAAAGACGTAGGTTTAATGAGACGAGGCATTCCATCTTTGATCTTTACCATTGGCAATATTTTACACCGGAGGGTGTCTCTATAAACCCCGGTGACCCCTTCCTATAGTCTCATTTCACCTCCACGCGGATTTTGGCTTCCTGCCCATCCACACAGAATCTGAGGGCCCGGGGACTATCCAACAGCTCCTGCTCCCTCTTGATCCACCGCCCGACTACACCACCAGATGCCTCCCCAGCCTCTTGATCACCGCCGCCGCCGAGCCCTTTCGGCGCCGCGCTTTCGCCCCCTTGTTCCCCAACGGCCCACTCCATCTCGTCCCCGGCAATCTCATCCTCCTCGTCGCTGCTGTCTCCCTCCTTCTCGTCAAGGTCTGCGGCGGGATCCCATTCCCCGTTTCCCAAATGAGCTTTACTCGGAGCGGCGGAAGCCCGAAAAGCCTGCCCGCCATCCCCTTGAGCGCGTAGACGTCGAATGAGTTTGGAATCTGCTTCGTCCGTGACTTTGCTACCTTTTCGGCGGGATCGAGATACTTGAAAGTGACAGTGACCAGTCTCGCCTCGAGGAAGTCCGGGTTCACCTCTTTCCGGCGGATGATATCAGGCTCGCCATACTCCTCACAGAGTTCCGCATATCGAGGATGCGCCCGAAGCACCTCGGCACCGGCATCCTCGGCGACCGCGGCCAACTGCTTTGCGATGCGAGAGAGGTAAAACATCTCGGCGTTGGCGCGATCGTTAGGCGTTACGGACACAAAGTTGAGCGTTTTGAGTTGGCTTAGACGGGCGATAGTGATCATGTGTGCTTCTTCACTCGAAGCCCCGCGTGACTCCTGCTGGGCCGTTTGGTCCTGGATCTCGTAAATGGGGTTGTGGGCTAGGCGGAGGGCGGTGAGCCCGGGGAATACGGACTGTAGAGAGTCGACAAAGTCCCACGAGGGAATTTGATTATAAGAGAGATCCACGTAGTGAATGGATGGCGGGAACGGAGAGATGGGTATGGAAGGGTCCGACGTCACGGCTGAGATGCTATTACCCTTGAGATGCAAGTTGCGTAGCGAGACTAGGGACGAGAGCATGGTGACATCCGACAGAGCCTTGAACCCATTGAATTCCAAGTTTAGAACCGTCAAGGATGACGAGAGGGCCTTGGGCAGAGCTGTTGGAATGGCGGTAAGCTGGTTTGTTCCGCAGTGGAGGCTAGCCAAAGAACCAAATCTGGCGGTGATATGGCATATATCATCCCACCGGAGTAGAGTCTCCTCAAGCGCAAGCTCCTTGACGTGGGTGAAGATATGATCAGCTTTCTCGAGAGAGTGATCACGGAGGACGTCTTGAAAGCGGTTGCCACTACTCGAAGGAACGGGAGGAAGAAGGACGAGTATCATGTTAGCCTGATCCTGAAGGAGAACCCTCGGTCCCTAGGGATCTCTAGGGCCATCTTAGGGAATGTTTACGGTAGTAAAGGAAACGCACTTGATTCTAAGGCTCCGGAGATCGGGCAGCTGACCGCAGACCTCGACCAAAAGTCCAAAATTATCAAACAGGTTGCGGCTCAGATCCAGCTCAATGATCTTGGGGCAAGTCTCGGCAACGGTCATGGAGTCGAATCTTCCGTCACTCAACCCCATGGCAGCGGTCGAGGAGACACGCATGCCATCGAGGATGACGATCTTGAGATCCTCGACGCGGGCTAGGCGTGAACGGATCTTGTTGAAGCCCACCTCCTCGACGACTTTGCCCGAAATCTCAATCAGGCGCGCCGAGGAGACCGGTGCATTAGTAGTAGCGTCGACCTCGGACGCGTATTTCTCGTGCAATGCCGAGAGAAACCCCTGCGGCTTCTCCGCGGGCCGAGAAGGCCGGACGAAGGAGGCTGCCGTGGGGGAGTTGGAAAGACCTAGAGCCCGCCACGGAGGCACCCGTCAGCAAAGCTAGAGCGCGCGTGGTGACGTGCCATCTCGTGCTACCAAAGCAGAATGGAAGAGGGTGAAGGAGAAAGAGTGGAGTGGATCCCCTTGGTGAGAGGAAGAGTCGGGCGAACGGGAAGGGGAGAAGGGGAGAGGGGGTGAGGAGGCAAAAGGTAGGGGAGGGGGTGTTGGGACGAGAGGAAAGGAGAAATTCTTTGTCTACATTTGAAGTACTTGGTGCCTTTGTGGCTCCCGTCGTGCTTGCCCCTCGTAGGGTCATCCCATTCTACTCCCAGCCAGACCCCTGAGGTGCCCGCGACATCGCCGACATAGCGAACGGTGCAGACGGCGCCGTCATAGGACACACGTTGGCCGACTCGCGGCGGCGGGCCGGCGGACATGTCCTGCCCGGCTAAAGGCCGACTCGGGGGTGAGGCGTCACCGCCGGGCCGAAGAATTGCGGGGAGGGGAGGGGACGGATTCGTTTGTGCGCCCGGGAGAAAGCTGAGTGGACGAAAAGGGTTAAAGAAAAGAAAAAAAGAAAGAGTGAAGGAGGGGGCAAGGCGTGTGAACGGTCGCTCTTGAAATTTTCTTCAGATCAATCAATAACCGGCGTCACCGACGGATGGATTCCGGAAAGTGAAGGCAGACTTCCAGGCACTTGAGTATGGGAACTTGGTGCAGCAAGGCAGTGGCACCTCAGGTCCCAGGCACAAGCCCTGAACAGCCCATGAGAATTGATTTGACGGGATGGGGCCAGTATTGGAGTGGCCGCTGGATGCACTGGGTCAATTAGCACAGGCCACAGCCACTTTCCTAGTGGCTGCTGTATTATTAGGCGCTCCATCGAGGTGCATCGGCTTGGGCGTGCTGGGACCAGTGCCCATTGATCCCCTAAAGTGGGCACTTTATTTGAGGCTGAAAGTGGCCGAGTCCAAGTTGACCCTGCAGTGTTAGCCTTGCTTCGGGGCTCGTAATGCCCTCTGCCAGACACCGATTTCGCCGAGTCTCCGGGCTCACCATGCGTTGGTCGTTTTAGGCGGCTCACCCAACGGAGCCTAATTCGCTGCCATGGGTCGAGGGGGCCTTTCACGGGCTGCAGGCTATTAGTTGAAGCATCAGCATTGAATCCCGATTTCTGCCACTAGAACCCGGCAAGAAACATTCTCCCCCGGATGCTGGCTATCCCACCTCGCTCAGAAATGTGTACAATCGGGATGGGAGTCACCTGCATGCACATAACATTCGAAGATAGGTACTAGATGATCGATTGGATCTGGGAAAAAGTCAACCTTTTTCTCCCTCTAAAACGAGTTTCTCTTCCCTCAAGGACCAGCCTGTGGTAGATGGAGATTGACGCCTCTCCTTCTCACGGATGAGCCGTCCTGGGCCTGATAAGTTCAAACGCCATCAACCCTTGGATCAGGGTGAGCCCTGAACACATTTGTCAGGAGCTGCATCCCGCAATGTGTGGTCCGCGATGGTGGTATTTACAACGGCACCTAACGAAGTCGTGTCAGCGTGCAGAAACGCGCCAATCGACAACGCCCCTCGCCCCTGACACTTGGAACCTGTGCCTGCTCTTCTTCGATATTTATATCTCGGGACTACGGAACGTCACCGAATATGCTTCAATATACGAGGGCCTTGCAGGGCGGGACAAAGGGCGAGGGAAGCCCAGAACAAGAGGGAAATCAATAAAACAATCGTCTACTAACGTGCTCCTATCGATGTGACGGCCACAGTTGATCGGAAGGCGTTTCCGCCGGCTGGAAGACTGTCGGGCCTCCTCATATTTTCTCCTCCTCCTCCTCCTCCTACTCCGCCTCTTGTTTTTCTCCCCTGCTTTGTGCCGTGCGTACCAGTTTCTCGAGGCCAGAAACAAGGAGATATCGACGCCGGTTCCCGGGCACGGACTCGTGCTCTGCACAAGCTATGTAGGTTCGTCCGATACTACCTTTCCCTTCTCCCCCATGTCTCCCCTCAGACGACGGCAATGGACGATGAACCATCCGAATTTATTCACCCTGCAGCCCGGGCCTTGGCTTCCTATTGCTTTCGCCCTGCCCTCCCTTCATTTCCATTTTCTTTCTTCTTCTCTGTTTGTTCTTCATATGCATATCCCCCTCAATTTACTTCTGCACATCTGCCGCACACCCCTTCCAGCATCCTTCCATAGGTCGTTCTTTCCCCTTTCGAGTGCGGGGCACCTCCTCCAAACGGAAAATGCAGCTGCACCCGCCAGCATTTGAACAATGACGCATCCGCGAGAGGGACAGATAATACATATACGCTGTGGCAGGTAAGGGAACCCCGGGGGCCTCGGACGTAATATGCCCGGCCCACCAGCCTTCCGGAGAGTATAACTACCGGACCAGGTTACCTTCGCTCGCGGCTTTTATCCTCGGGATAATACTCTACAGAAACGTCTTCTGTACCTTAAGTATGCGCAATGTTCCGGGAATTCCGTCACAAAAGAGAAAAGAAGGTTCGAGGTTGGAATGAACAACCAAAGGACGAGTTACACGCCCCTCCCAAAAGAAATGAATTGAAAATAGGGAGAAAAAAAAGAACAAAGGAAGAAGCGAGAACCAAGGTAAGACAAGGCAACCCCAACCCTCGTTCACCACGCGTAAGCCATGTGTTTCGTCTGCATGTACATTCGGCCTCCTTTCTATACTTCACCCTTCCCTTTTCTACGCCCCCTTCCCGGAAAAGCCATTAGACGTCAATATTGTCAGGAATACCTGCTCCTTTGCTCCGGACCAGTGATTCAGAGAAAAAGGGGGAGGCCATCCAGAGCTAGGATGCTACCCTACGTTCGGGATGTCGATAGCCTCCTCGGAAGAAGTCGATCCAGGATGCCAACCATGTGTCTGGTTGCATCGCTCGGGGTTTAAAGTAAAGAGAAAAAGGGAAAGAAAAAAGAGAGCAGGGGGAAATACCAGGGGACTGGGCTAAACGGATGTCCAAAGCCTGGGAACGTTTAACATTTGGCAGTCACAAATCACACCAACGATGCGCGCACTAGGCGAGAGAAATATAACGCTTTACATCGCGATTCTGTAGGCTATCATCATACTATCATCATAGTCTAACAACCACCTGTACATGACTCCATCGCCCTGCTGTGGTCTCTGCTCAGATTCATATCATTGCGCAACAGCTACTTCTAAAGGGAAAAAGAACAAGAAACAAGGAAACCAGAAAGGACAAACATAAGGGGTGCCGAGAAAACGGAGACCAGCCAACCAAGGCCATTTATATGCAAGAAAACCATTGCGTAAAGGACATGGGGAAGATGGGAGATAGAACGAGGAAAAAAAGAGAACAAGAAAAAAAAAAGCAAGGGATGATTTGTCTACCAAGAAGCCGGCCCTACTTCCTCTGGGAATCGTATGCGACCCCCAGTTGCTCCGCTAGGACCGGAAATTGCCTGAACAAGATAGAGTGAACGCTAGGGGTATAGGGTGCCTTGGAAATCAAAAGCATGCCAACATCTCTACAACCGAACAGCCTGACAAAGGAAACCATCCCTGTTTCCCCACCATTAGCCTCTTCTTTGCTGCTTTGGAAGACACACAGAGCTTCTTGGCGGATGCCGTTGTCGCCAACTCAGGAAAGAGAAAAGGACTGGTGGACAGGAAAAGACGAGGGATGAGAAGGAAACGCATGCGACAGTGAAGGTGATAGTTTTAGCTCCGAGGGTGTCCGCCACTGATAATCTAACCTGACAAGGAAAACTGGAAAGTAAAAGGAAAAAGGTGGGTGGGTGTATAATCTTGACACAAGGAAGGTCGGGAAGTCGTGAGGGATAGGTCGGGGAGGATGAAAATAATCACCACAAGGCGGAGATCAATGCAACTAAAGGCAGATCTGAAGACCGCGCCACAGCCAATAGGCGGCTAGTAATCATCGTCATCGTCACCGCCCCTGCTGTTTGCTTCTTTTCTGATGGGTATCTTGATTCCCTGGTGGGCAAAGCATTTGGAGAGCGAGGTGCTCTCGCAAACACCGGGAAATTTCTTGGCAGAGAACACAGTGAACACGTCACTGAAGCAGGACGCGAGCACCGGTGACTTGCCCGTGTTAACCACTGGGCCGTCTCCATTCCCGTTGGGAATTGGGGGAGGGCCCACGTTCACGAAAGAGAAGCGAAGCCTTTTACATGCGGAAAAAGGACAAGTTAGTGTTCGTCCTCTACCGTGAAACAGAAGCATGGAACAAAGACGTACCTGAAATGACCCTCGGTTCGAACGCTAAGATCTTGGAGGACGAACCAGATGCCAATCTTATCATTCGAGTCAATAAGACGGAAGGCGCTAGCTGCGAGGCTTCCAATGAGATTACGCGTGAACATTCCCTGGGGCTGGTTCTGGCCCATGCGGCTCAGATCGCCGTAGCCGGGAGACGTCGCGCCATAGTGGCTCATGGCGCTGTTCGAAGGAAGCTGAGGGACTCCTCCCATATTGGCCCGGAAATCACCCTGTGGGTAATACTGATTTGCGGGTGAGTAGGCGTTTGGTGGCATGTACGGTGCTGCAGATGTCGAGTCAGAATCTTTTGATCATGGCGCATGCGGCTAAAATCACACTCGGCGGCGGGCCGTCGATACCAGCATCCGCCAAGGAAGGGGGTGGGCAAAGGAAGAGACCAAGGGAAAAAAAAAAAAAAAAAAGAAAAGACAAGAAAAAGAAAGACGAAAAAAAGAAAGAAAAAAACAACGTACATTGAGGATAGCCTGGCTGGGGAGGCTGTCCATAGGGCGAAGGAGCTTGGCCGTATCCGGGAGGCATCCCATACTGAGGCATGACGGGCTGACCATAACCGCCCATATCGGATGGCGGGTATGGCGAGTCGCGGTGTGATGGGAGAATGTTGGCGAAGGCGGGAGTCGATGAGGTGAGGCTGCCATACGACGCCGGCGTCGTGGAGGAAATCGACGGTGTGCCACTCGAGTGGCGGACAAGGTTAACTTCGCGCGAGCCATCTTCGTTCCATAGGTCTACGTTAAGCACAAACATGCCATGGTCAATGGAGCTGGAGTGCGATTGCTATTAGCCACTCGTTCTAACTTTCCAGTCTAGGTTTGAAGGTGATGTGGCGCAATCGTCACTGTTTGTCAAATACCTACTTGACGTCCACTTCCTTGCCGCTCAAATCTGTCACAATGAGCCTCACGCAAGGTGGAGGGTAATTGGGCGTCGGTCCTTGTCGCCAAAGCCGCACATGCGCGCCCGCTTCGGTTGTTGTTCGACAACAAGTCTGCGTATCAAGGAGTGGTTAGCTTGCGGGCAGAACAAGAAGGAAAGCGCGTGGAGGGCAGCTTCCTGCTTGCGATCCGAGTTGGGTTTCAGTTCGTAGTCACTGTAGGGACACTCACGTATACTTCCTACCCGTTGCCTCATCGACTTTGGAGATGGACTGCAGCAGCGACTGGTTCGGAGGGAGGCGGGGTGAAGGGATGATGGAGGTGGCCGGGGTTCCGGCGACCTGGCTCCCATTGCTTTGGATATTCTCAGAGCTAGGATATTGGGATATGGGGGTAGAGTATTGCTGCTGAGAAGGGTGGCCGTGGTTGACCTGGTGGGGATGCTGTGGTGGGAGCTGCTGTTGCGACACTTGCTGGGGCGCAGGTGGCATCTGCATCGACATATGAGGGGGTTGTTGAGACATCTGGGGTGCTGCATGTACGCAGCGTTCGTGTCGCCCATCTGAGGGTGCATAATTGGTGGGTATCGGGAGGGATCCATCGTGATAACGAAACTGTCGGCTTGTGGAAGAGTTATGAATGGCGGTCGGCCGGTTCGCGCGCGCGAGGTGGAGGGAAGGAGGAGAAGGGGGAGAGCGCGGCGGGTGGGTGGAGCTCGTGGAGTTGCGCGGACTGCCAAAAGAGATGCTGAGGTAAAAGCAGGGAGGGTTGCGGGTGCTGGCAGGGGCGCAGGGTTTGGAACCAAGGACCCCTCTTGTAATTTCAACTGCCTTCTCAGGGCTTCGTTGCCCTTCTGCGCGTGCTGGAGATGGGCGGACGTGTTCCACAGTCTTCAGTTAATCTTCAGTCACAGAGGAATTGCAATGCAGTCGTATACCGAGGAAATCGTTCGGAATCTCTCTTTCGCTCTCTCAAAAATGGAAGAAAAATTGGCCCCGCGGTAGGGATGAGGAACAAAAGTTGAAGAGGGGATGCGCCAAATTGGGGGAAAAGAGAAGAGGAGTGGTGAAAAATTGAATACTTAAGAAGAGTTGAGCTGAGCTGGCTGGCTTCGTTTGGGAATTTTGGTAACGGCAACGCGGGTTTGCGCCTGGGCAAAGATCACGCAAGCCAAAGGTAAGTAAGTATTGTGCAGAATGTGATGGGAGTAGAATCAGGATTGCGTCGTGACAAGTTTTTCTATTCTTCTTCACAGGTGTTCGGGAGAAAGAAGGGTCCAAGATATAGAAATCAATATCGAGAGCATGCCATTGTGGAAGTGGCAAGGGCCGTCCTTCTGTATTTATACATCCTGAGATACTTCAAATTTCTGGGGGTATAAGTGAGATACAAGGGCGATAGTGGGACGCACATTGTATGGATGGTCGGAAAGCAATTTGATCCATCGATGTCAAGCACTTTGAGTAGAGCCCACACTGCATTATCCAGGGAATTGAGCAAAGCTCTCGCACCAGCAAAGGCATCGATGGTGGATGGATCCACCATTGTACCCTCCCTCGTACATGGAGTTGAGAGCCACCACCCGACATTGCACGGCCAACAGCGACGCATGAAACGGAGGCTCGGCGGAGTGAGCAGCAGTGTACAAATCTCGATACTTCATGTTCAGATTTGGGAGCTTGGACACGGAGTTGAGGGAAGCAGCGAGTCCCTGGACCCCACACCCTCCCTAAACCCCCGTCCCCCCGTCCCCCTTCTGGGTATGTGGGTAATAGCCTACATCAATGTAATGGATGGAATGGATCCATTGGATTGATGTAGCCTTGGGTGTGCTTGTCAGTATCGTAGCAGTGGACAACTCCGGACACCAGTGGCGTGAAGCGAACGAGGAATTATTGTTTTTTTCCTGCTCTTTTTCTTCCTGGCTGGCTGGACGGGAGGGCGAGAACTGTCTACAAGTAGGATGTCATCAATCCGAAATCACACACCCCTTCTCGCAGCCCTCATCAACAGGTTTCATCAACACGTTGTCCGGATACCCCGCCGGCTACTCTAACCCAAGAACCATGGGGATAAATTCTGTACGTTGGCCCGAGGCTGTCGCTTATTTCCAACATCAAGTCGGTTGGACAGCAGGCGAGTCCAAGTTGTGTTGAGGTTATGGGCGTTCGCCCACCAGAGTCTGGATGGCGGTTTGCTCAGTGGGCAGAGTTTTTGGCCAGCTCGATCTAGCCGGGCTCTGTCATCCCGCCCCTGTCCTGGACGTGACCTTATCGGACAGAGAGAAATGTTACATTATGCAGCGGAATGGATCCGAGAGAGCGAACACGGCAGAGCAGCCGCTTTACAGGGAAGCCGAGATATTGGTTGCTGGGTCTCGCAAGGTATCCAAAACCTCTTGTTCTCGCTGTGCCGTGAGGGTATACTCTAGTAGGCAGTACACTCGCTCAGCTATGACGAAGGTGAGAAATGAGCAAAAGGAAGATCTTAGATCTATTAAAAAGCGAGTTGAAGAAAAGCGACGAAGAAAATAAAGTCGGCGTTGTTGGTACCTCTCCACCCTCAACCCTCAGCCTGGTATTGCCACTGGAATCTCGGCCTCGGGCTAACAGCAAGCCCACCCTCTAAACTTTGGATAGCCGCTCTCGGAACGCGCTAAGTCGACGAGATGGAGCGTTGGCTTTATTAGCTTAGCCTTCGCTTCCAGCATGCATTTGCCCGGTGGGTTGGCAGGCTAGGCCCGGCCAGGCCAGGCCACCACCCCGAAGATGAGGGAGGAACGGCAGCACCTTCCCACCTTCCCACGCTGAGGATACGCCCACCCTCCCAGGCAGGCCTCGACAAAAATGCACCAACACGACGGCGCACGCAACAATGTATAAATTCCGTGACTATAGGTCTGTGGAGATATTATTGAAAACACCGATAGAATAGGGGTCAACTTATGGCAGGGCCAGCCGCTTGATGCATTCCCGGACCCGGCCTAGCAATCTACATGTATTCGTAAGAAGAGCGATCCTCCTCGTTGCTCTTGCTCGCTACCTACAATTGATCCCATTACGAATGCGAAGTAATAGAACCGGCAATTTGGTGCAGGGCTTTATGACTGGGGGTATTTTTTCAGCCAGCTCTCTCCGTCATCTTGATTGATGTACGAAGTACTATTAAGATCACTCGCAGCTGTTCCCGGTTTGGTTGCCTCAAGTCACTCGCTCTCCCCTCAACCGCTTGGCGCCATTGTAGAATCACCCCACCCTTCGAGAATCCGCCCAGGTTACTTGAAAAAGGATCGCTCCATCGTCTTCAATGTTCAACGTTGTTGGTGTGTACGTACCCGGCATGCGTAACAAGGGCTTCTTAGCTCGCTGCCGTTACCGACCCGAGCAGCAGTCCATCTGAAGAGGGCCCAGTGGGGGAGCAAAAGCCAGGTCAAAAACAGGACGATCAATCAGGGGATCGTCCCAAAGTACCTCGGTATACATCTACCCATTGGAGGGATGGGTGAAAAAGAAGGGGAAAAAAAAAAGGAAGAAGAAGAAAACAAAAAAGGCCAGAGGGATACTGCTTCTGCCCACCAACCCATCCTTCCCCCGTTCTGCCGTGACCTTGTGCTGGGCTTCCCGCATTTTAGGGTGTGTTCTGGTCCTCGTTCGTAGGAACTTTATACCCCCATTCCCTGAGCCTGCTGTTTCCCCTCCCTGTTGGCCTCACCACATCTGGCCTGACAACCTTCAAGCGTGGGAGTTCTCGGTAGAGCCCTTAACGACATGCATGGTAAATAACTTGTCTATCTCAGCCGCCCTCGGTGAGAAGTTGGGGGTAACGAGTCAGGATGTTTACTCGGGCCTGATCAAGAACCTGAAGATTTCGATGGATCAAGCAACAGCGAGCGCGTGCTCCCCATGGGTCACCTGAGATGCCAGCAGAAGGGTTGGTGGGACCTCCTCAAGTGGTGGTCAGTATCAAGTGGGGGAAGGGTTCAAGGTTCGTTGCAGCGATGATGGAGCTCCCCAACGGCCACCCACCCCCTTTCCCCTTATTTGGCTAGCCCCTCCTCCTCCCGTTTGCTGTCACTTCAACCTCCACAAGGTTCCCCAGCGTAACCCGGCGAAGCTTTGGAGTTAATTCTAGCGTTGACCTAATATATCACTAGCTCTCTTGTATAAACCCCTCATACGGGGTATGTATTAGCCGTCCATGCCAAAAAAGAAGAAAAAAATGGCAAGATAAGATAATAGCCAAGACTCGATTCTGTCGAAAGCTGCGCGTGGGAAGCCGCCCCGAAGCCATACCCATTTCTTGGCCGACTGCTCAAGCCACCCTCATGTTAAGCCTGTGCTACCACCCTTGTCTCGGCTTCGTCGAAGATATTCATGGCGTGCGGAGATGCCTTGCACCGTGCAGGGATGTATGTTTTAGACACACCCAACCAGGCGGGACATCGACAAGTTTCCACGCGAAGGAGCTTTCCGAGGAAAGGAAGAAAAAAAAAGGATGAAAAAAAGACCATAGCTAGCATGTCTCATCTCAACGGCCCCGACCCCCTCAGTTGAAATACATGCTTGCAGGTAGCAACCACGACTGATCTCGACGTATCGTCCGAGCGACAGCGTTCGTCCCATCCTCCACCAACGAACCTGGTCGCAGTTTTCTGAAACGTCAAAGATTCGCCCTTGAAGAGCTGCCATAAGGATTACGTATTTCTTCGGCCCATGCCTTTGCACATTGTCCTCGTGCAATAGCTCTCGAGTTCCCCTTCAAGCCTCACGTGCATTTGATGGCCGAAGTGGGCCGGGAGATCCTTCACTCGTTGCCATCTTTTTCTGTGCTTCCTCCTTTCCGTCTTCAACCCCCTTCTCGCACATGGGCGAAGTACATGTATCTGCACCTCGCAAGGCCCTTGCCGGCTCCGCGGCTGCATGTCGATAGCAACCACCCCAACTCCGCATCAGCAAGCCTTCCCGCCCTCGCCCACGCCATCGCCTCCCCTTTCGAGGTGTGCCCTCCTTTTGGTGCCATCCACCAACACTAACACCTCACCTCGCAGGGCGAATGCGAAGGGAATGGTGTCCAAAGTAGCACATGGGACCCTCCGCGTAGTTTGATTGCCGGCCCACGTCGTGCACGATGCATGGCTCACCCTCTAAATACACCTACAGACGCAGCGCAGGCGTCGAGGACTCTTTACGGCGGCAATAGATGCAATAATACCTACCCCGGAAAAGAAAAATCCAACCCCATCGCCAGCTTTCCCGTGCGCACTCCCCCAAAACGAATCCTCGAATCCGCTGCCCCCTCAACACTTGTGACACCGCATGTAGGCGACGATTTATCTCCAATCCCTTCTTACCCCCGTCGTAGATCGGCGCCTGGACAAGCCCCTCGAACGAGGATCATCAAGCTTCAGTCGCATGTAGAAATCCATCTAGAAGCATCTTCGTTCCCTAGTGGGAAGCCCAGCCAATGGACTTCCGAGTGCTTCCATCACCCGCCGGAT